TTTAACGTGCTATTCACACAAAAAGGGGCTATAAACACAAATTTCGCAAATCACTCCGAGTAGAGTCAATGCACTAATTTAAGGAATTTGTGAAGTTGTTGTTATTATTTAAACAAGATTAGTATACCGTTTGAATGGGGATAGACTACATAAGTTTTGATAAAATCCGAAGATCGCTATCTCTTTTAAAAAAAAAATTATAGCCATGTAAACTTAAATGTTCAGTCCATTTTTAACTTCTCGGAAAACTTTAAAGCTGAATTTAAAAAAAACTAGATGATATTTGCCAGTAAATTTAGATTTGATGCAACCCTACATCAATGCACGTCAAAACAAAATATTTACTTTGAGGCTACGCCTAGTAGTTTTTTTTTAAATCGAAATTAAATGATGCGATTTGGGTATTTTGGTGAAATTACTATAAAAATTAATTTAAAAGTAGCCGCTTGGCATGGAACGTGTTATGGGGGCTGAAAATATAGGAAATGACCCATTCTATCCGCCAAATCATTTTGGCACACGATGCGCCAAACACCCTGTATATCGATATATTTGAAAAATATCGATACGATAAATATCGATATTTTTTTTCCGTTTGCCCATCCCTACGGGAAACCACCTAGCGACATCTGATAAGTTTAGTTTGCCATGAAACAGATACAAATAAACTACTGCCATCTATCGTCGAATGGACTATCTTGATAGCGCCATCTTTCTTTCAGCTTGCAAGGCTAAATAAATAATGTTTGTGCGTCTTATTGAATTACATTTCTTTTTTTTTAATCTGTGGTCTATGTACGATTATTAGAAAAAAAAAATTACTTGCTTAAAAATAACAAAAACGTAATTTTGATTTAAACACCTCTCAAGCCCTTTAGGTTACAGTGTTACAGAGCCGACACATACACTCGGAAATCATAACCCTCCTGGTGCAGTCGGGTAAAACCAATTTGTAATATTCGAAAGATGTTCCTGTTCCTTTATCAGGTACAGGTAGGAAACCTCAGATGATTTTTACCTGAAATTTTTCCCCACAAAGAAGTAAAACACTATAAATACTTTTTATTTACTCGTTTATAATATTTATTCATCATTACATCTAATTTTGGGTTATTACAAAATACTATTTGACATACACATGTACAGAAAATTCATCGTAATGTAACTACAATTAAAATGAATTTATTCATTATTTAAAATGCTCTTAGCCTGTTCACATAAATGATAATGATGCATGCAGTACAAAAATGTACATAGAAGAAGTGTTTTAATCTAACAATTTTAAGCTTGTAAAGCAGTCGTAGAATGGTAAAAGGGCGATGACGTCCCCACCCTTCAACAGAAGAAATACTGATCCATCTTAATAACATGCTAGATAATCGATCGAGGTAAAGAAATAGTTATCTGTCCAAAAGCGAACAAATTCTATAATAATCTGTGATGAAGATAAATATTTAAAATAACATAATTATAACAAAACTAATTTATTACCCGTTGAAAGGCAGGGAGCAATCAACATGATTAGATCTAAGGCCATTAGTGTTTCTTTTAATACATCACACAAATGTAAAAAAAAGATATTTTTAAACTGTACATTTGAATAATGTTAGGATTACATTCACTAGAATTTTGACATTATATTTGATATAGTTATTGAAATCAATGCCTGCATTATTTGAAAAAGTATAAATCGGGACTTCTAATCATGTTTCAACAACACTTTGTCTCTGTAATAATATCAGAAATTAAACTAAACTTAACTAGATAGATAATATAACTATTACTTATATGTATTAACTCTAAGAAATAATGTACTTAATTTACCATTTGGGAAACGATATTCAACATAATACTAATAGACAATTAAATGATTATGCTCTTAGAGTCAAAAAATTACTCGGTTACGTTGCTTTGAGCTTTCGTAGCCTTTTCTGTTTTGGGAGATTCTTTCTTTGCATCTGGAACAAATAATATTTATTAAGTTATTAATACATTTGCAATGCTATTTATGGCGAGTAACATTTATATGAAACCACAGTGTGAATTAAAATTTGTATTTATACTGACCTAGGGATGGGAGCGATTTGAGAGACAGTTCAGAAGTGGGCAGTTTTATTCCCTGCTTCAACACCATTGTGCCATCCTGGAATCAATAAAACATTTGAAAGTGGGTATAATTAATATAAAACTAATAAATAAAATAACCTTAATTAAAATGATTAAAATATTATTATCAAACGAATAGGGTCGATTCTACTACCTACTGAAATATAACCCGATCAACATAATTTATGTTTAAAATATTTTCATTATTTTTCATATTTAACAGTAGATTACAATTTGAAGTTTTGGCTTCGGCTTCTAATCTTTGTTTGAGCACATAGATAAAATTTATACAGGTTCATTTATGAAACCCACCTTCATCTCGACGAGGCCTTTCTTAGCCATTGCCTCAACCTCTGCCTTCGTCATAACTATCTTCTGCACTTTTACTACTTTCTTTCCGATTTGCATTTCACACAGTTCGCCTGGTTGGCCCACAGCTAAAATATAAATAAATATTTATTAGAACCGGTGAAATATGGTATAGTTTAAAACTTGATTGCTATGTGGGTTTACTTACTTCGCCCGGTAAGAGGCAATGGTAGCGGTTTTACTCCTGGCGGGAGTGCTTTGATAGGCACCTGAAACAATTCATTGTATAATAATTAACAGGCAGAAAGTTATCATAAGAGAAGGGTATTAACTTCAAAATACTTTAATACATATTATAAAGGTTCCTAACTCAAAAGTTAATGTAAATCACATTTGGCACATGCGAGACTGCGAATTTAGTTCAAATCTTTAGGATTCAAATTTGAAACAACTTTCATCCAAATTCTGCATAAAAATGGCTTTATAGTTTGAGGGATTAAAAAATTGCGTTTCTCGATGATGTCACCAGTCTTTAGAAATACAGGGTGTAGTACATATATGTATTGTTGTTTATCGAGGAATATTGTAAAATTCTTACCTTTTTCAAGGTTTGTCCAGTCGGAGACATCAACGTATTGTTGCTTGGAGGACTTGGCGCGATCTTTTGTTCTTCTGGTGCCTTTTTGATGACTTCTGCAGTCTGTAACATTTAGATAAGTAGGAATACAACGCAAATAAAGACAGAGGTTCTGTAGTATGTTCGGTTTTGAGCCAGGTTTCTATACAAAAATCAATATTATTATATCAAGTTATTTTAAGAAAGAGAGATGAGAGACAGGAAGAGTAGTAATAGTTTCACAAGGTTTGGGATGTTTAATTGCCTAGTTCGCATCAATATTTATAACTGTGTGTATTTTAAAGACTGTACTGACTGTAGACCCTTGAAAGAGAGGCTGAAAATAGTGAATGAGTTCTTGTTCTGCTTCTTCTCAATACTGGCCCATTTATTGTCCCGAAGCAGTGGGGTTAATACTGGGACGTGTAAGTGCTTTTTTAAAAGCCTACTTGCAAAAATAAAATTAGTTTTATGAGATTTTTACACAGATCACATAAACTAAAGGGAGATGTGACAAGGGGGTGGGGCCGGTGTCGCAGCAATATGACCAAAAACAGAACACATTGTTCGTGACAGCAATGACGACAGCAGCGACGTCATAATGTAAACAGTTTACATTGCTTGCGTAGTACTAAAGATTATTCGAACGTTGAGTACTGATACCACAGTGGATAATGGGCTCTTAATATTTTGATTACTTTGTGTGTGAATTTATAATGCGACATGGAGTTTCGCACTCAGCGCATTAGTTGACATCTCTCTATATCTCTATGGTTTTTTATGACATCCCAAGTACTTACAGGTGTAGTAGAGCCAGGCTCAGCAGTTGCTTCAGAGTTGTCAGCGGTTTCCTTCTCAGCCGGAGGTGTGGCCGGCTTACTGGTTGGTTCTTCAGCCTGTTTACTACTTTCTTCTTTTATTTTATTAGTTGGTTCTGCTTCGTTCTTTTCTGGTTCTTTATCTTCGTCCTCTGTAGTGTCGTCTTTTCGAACTTTGGCGGCAGGCCTGAAAGTAGGTCCAATGTTTATTATGTGTCCCAACTAAAACTGAGCGGGCGCCCTATTAACATGCATTTGTCTTTTTCTTTTTTATTTTAACCATTATTTTGTATTGTCATAATGTGTGTTAATAAAGTTATTTTATTATTATTATAAGCTCTGAGTTCTTGAGAGTCCAGCTACCTAAAAACTTTATGAAAGAGGATGGAAATTTTAATTTTTAATAAACATTTTATTCATCATGTTTTATTATCATAGGACTTTGACAAGAATAATGTTGTAACTAGGTAGTAGACTGGGCTGACACTGTGTAGGTTTGTTGTCGACACGAAAAGAAGAAGAAGGTAGTAGACAGCACAAAACAATTTAGCTTGATGAGGAATAGGACGCATCCGTACCGTTGACTTTGCATGGCCTGTGACATCACTAACTTGCTTTTTTTGTAAAAATTGTACACACCTACTTTATGGAAGCAATTGAGTATTTCCAGTATTGAATTCACTAAAAGATGCTTAGTTAATGAGGGTTTTCGCGAATGTAAAATCCGCCAGATGGCAATACGTAGACGCGAGGTCCAAATGCTGCACGATTGGTTATTTTTGACATGACATTGACAGATATGTCAAAATCCACCAATCACGCAGCAGTCAGACCCCACATCCACGTCCCGCCATCTAGCGGATCTTTCATTCTCGAAAACCCTCATTGTGTCAAATACCCAATGAGGGCTATCGTTTTAGCGCTCACCAGTTAGCGCCACCGTAGAGTAAGGTCCTGTCACTTGCTAGTAGCGAAGACAGTGGCACCAACTGGTGAGTACTTAAGTGGTAGAAGGACTATCGCATTTGCACTCATCAAGATGGCGCCACTGTAGAGTAAGGTCCTGTCAATCGCCAGGGGTGCCAACTGTCAAGTATAAAAACGATAGCCCTAATTCCATTCAAACTTACATTTCTTTAGGTTGCTCCTTGCGCGGGCGGCCGCGCTTCCTCGGACCGGCGGGCGTGGCGGGTGCGGGCGTCGCGGGCGCAGCTTTGGCGGGCGCGGGCGCAGCCTTGGCAGGCGCCGTCTTCAAACTGCTCCTGCGGGTCTTTAACTTCATCTGCAACGTGTTATTGCAATGGACAATTTGACACCATTCTCCAATAATTTGAAATCACAACTTTTCTAAAAAGACACTTTATTCTGCTTAAAAACTTAATTAATTTTAAATTACCTGTAAATTACGATTTTTGGTCGCATTGTAATTGAAAAAAGTAGTTTATTTGAGTTGACAAAATAGTGACGTCACTTGCTTGTAGTGCCATACAAAATCTATGGGAGTTTCGTTTTGACAGTTTTAAAAAGTACGTCACTTGATTGGTGGTGTCAACATGTCTATTTGATTACTCATTAAAAGTGGTTTTGATGATATGATATTATTATATTTGGTATTCGTTTGTATTTAGGGAGCGTATTCTAATAGGAAATTTATATGTGAATGTTTTCATTTCACGAAACTTATTTTTGAACTAGTCTAGCCTTAACAAGGCTCATTATCATCATCTCAGCCATAGGACGTCCACTGCTGAACATAGGCCTTCCCCAAGCTTTCCATGATGCCCGGTTGGTAGCGGCCTGCGCTAACAAGGCTTAGAAGAAAATATTTAGTTTTCAACTGTATTATTCAATTATTGTAGGATCTAAATAGATGAAATAACCACTGCATGGTTAAAGGTAAATATGAGTAACTTCACTTACCTCGTATTTATCTTCTTCCTCTGTGTATTCTTCATCATCAGTATCGTCTTCTGAGTCTTTATCGGAATCTTGAGATCTAAATACACAAAAGTAATTATTAGACTCATGTTGAAATTATTATAATAATGACTTGAATAGTGACAAAAGATCTTACTTGTCGCGAATCATCTTGGCGTAGTCCTTTATCTTAGAAGGTCTCGTAGACCGCCGAACGTTTTCTTCGGGTTGGGTCTTTTCAGTCGTACCATTTTTGACACTCTGAAAGCATAAGCGGAAATTTTAGAAGTTGGTACATTACTGCTTTCGAGATTTTACGAGAATCTTATGCTATCACCATAACCATAATTAAACAAGGTAATTATGAAATATATTGTTACCTTAGGTGTTTCTTTTTCTTTGACCTCTTCTTTCTTATCTTCCTTGGCAGCAGCTGCCGTCTTAGTTTCCTTAGCCTCCTTGGGTTCCTTGTTCTCTTTAGTGACAGCTTTCTTTTCGGCCTGCTTCTTCTCAACGACCGAGGTCTTGATAACCGTTGCCTCCTTCTTGAGTTCAGCAGCTTTGCTGTAAAATGATAATAAATAAAGTAGTAATAAATATGTAGTTTAATGTCAAACTTTGAGATGTGTAATATATTATCAACTGTCTGTATTCACCTATTGGGAAGACACTGGCTCCTGAAATACAGTTTACACTAGTTTAGGAGCCAGGGTTTCAATATAAAATGTTATAGTTTATTACATCAATAAAAATATTCTTATTCTTATTACATTTTGTTAAAGAAGTACAATGTGTGTCTCAGTTAAAATAGCTGAACTAGAAACGAAGCCTGGATTCGAAGTTCCAAGCTTGAATATTCAACCTGGTCAAGTTAACTGCGCACTTGGCTGCCGTGACGTCACATCGACGCTATGGTATGGATGGGGCGAACGCGGGGAGTGCGAGGTAGAGACGCATTTTAGTCAGGTGCGCAGTTAGCTAGCATTTACCTGGTGACTTTTGGAGTGGAAGTATGAAGTTGTGGTCTTCTATTTCTTAAACCTTCCATTGGTTTTGCCGGAGTTTTGGCAGCATCATTTCGAGTATTTGTCTGTGTAAAAGGAAGTATATTTTAATACAAAATAATTACTAACAAAATGAAGTCAGTTCTTATAAAAGACAGGTCAGATTGTCATATTTAAAACCCTTACCCTTTTCAGTTCCTGTAGTTCTTTCTCAAGCAAACGCAAGGATTTTTCGCTTGCTCCAGCGCTAGTACTCTCTGCTTTTGCAATTTTCTTCTCTGTATACGAAAAAAATAATGTAGTAAAAAACTTTTATTGCAGACATAATTATTTCAAAATTAAATACTAACCAGGTAGCGGACTCGCGCTTTGTAGAACTTTGCGTTTCACTTCTTCAGCTTTTCTTAATATGGGGGCAGTCTAAAATAAAAATAAAACATTTGGTAATCATGCTAAAATAATCTATATCTACGTGATTTAAATAAAAACAAATTCTGATTCTTACCCGACTGTCAGCAACTTCAACAGGTTTCGGAATTACTTTAGTGTTTTGATTGGGGTCTATATCCATAGCTATGGAAACCTCGGGGTCCACCTTGACAGGTTCTAGTGTCTCTTCTTTCACAGGCAATGGTTCAACGTTTGCCAACTCCGTGTATGTGGTCTCAACTTCGTTTTCTGCAAGGAACATCATAGTTTTATTGAGTTAATTAAGCATAATATTATGTACAGCATGTAAAAATGCAGATCCGAAATTAAACGGGGCAGTTTTGATGCTCAAATACAAACCCCTTCGTTTGGGTGGCGGTTAACAGAGACAAGCGACCGAAACGGGAGACCTCGACCATTACTTGACCTCGGTCTCTGTCTGCTATCTCTGTCTCGCTCGCAAACTGAGGCTTATACATTGCCTAAAGCAGTGGTTCTTAACCTTTAAGTCACGAGGGACCATTTTACCAAATTTCTGTCTTGTCAGGGACCACTTTTTTTTTCAACATCCTATGAAAGGGAAGGTCGATTTCTTGCCCACTGTGCGCCGTTTTCGTTGTGTTGACTCGACTCATCACGTCACGTCACTTGTTTATTACGATGTTTTCGCGGACCACTTGGAATGCCTCCAGGGACCACCGGTTAAGAACCACTGGCCTAAAGTTTCAAGGAGCGGTCGCGTCTCTCTTCTCGGTCGCTTGTCTCTGTCGCAGTGCGAACCGCCGCCTTTATGGGAATCGATGCAAAGAGTGATTAAATTCATCACTAACCTTCATACACTGTGTCCTCTTTAATCCCGTCTGGGTTGGTTTGTGTGTCCGGAAGCTATAAAATAAATAGTCGGTGATGAAATAAAGGACATTGTCAGAAACCGCCTCAGATTCCTGGGCACAGCAGTAAAGTATCAAAATTAATCTCTTACTTTTTGAATACTTAAATATTAATTAGATTGTAACGGACACTTGAGGATTAAAAAATGAAATAATAAAAGTATTTTATACTAGCTGACCCGGCGAACTTCGTACCGCCTTAGCGTAGAGATTTTCTTAATATTTTTTTCCGTAAGAACCATCCTTGGACTTCCACAAACATTTAAAAAAAAGAATTATCGAAATCGGTTCAGCCGTTCACACGTGATGCCGTGACAACGCGAAACGGGTTTCATTTTTATATATATAGATGTATTCCATAATACTATGACGACATCCGGACATTTTAGGGCGTGGCCTGCTCCATATCCTATGAAGTTCCATAATTTGTGTCGATAAAATCTATGTAAAATCGGCACAAGGCAATGCCGTACTTCATTGTTAGGAATCCATGTAATAGTGATGTTGACTGCGGTCATCATAGACAATAAGATACCGATCTTGTAAATAAAATAAATCGTCCAAATTGCTACAGTATGACTAGATTTTAATTAAAAGTTAAAAATATATTGCACGATACTACAAGAAGCTATCTAATGTGTCCAACTGGTCGAAGGTCATGAATAAAATAAAAAGAATTGTGATCATAACACTGATATAGACAATGACAACAATATGGGATCATCTTTAATATATCTGTTACAGTTTCAAAATTCGATGAAAAATCCAATGCCGCTTAAAGTGAGAGAAATGTCTAAAGTTCTAATAGAATTGAAAGTTTTATTCGCTCAAAATGCTTATAACAATAATTGGTAATACATTTCAAATATTAAGTACCTTTATAATGTATCGATAGAACCAAAATGATATCCTCTCAGCTTGGAAAGGGAAAACCCAGGATTGGGGGAGCGCTCCAGGCAATTTTTAGAACATTTCATAGGTGGTAGTAAATAATATTTATTTTATTATTAAAATTGAATATTTTGATATTGATAAAATTGAATATATCTTTCGATTCAAATACCGAATATTTTTCAATCGATAATAATTATCGAGAATTGTTAATAATATTCAATTAAAAGTTGTTCAATCCCTAGTCATGCATAGACTAAGACGGTAACCATGGAGATAGTTAGTTTGGTAAGTCACGTGTTAAATGTCAAGAGTGGAAAGTAAACATAGGATTCATGTTATTTATTTACGTGCAAAATGTAAGTAAGTAAATCATAAAAGTGGAACGCCGAGCTATTTCCAAAACCCGTCCAATATTATAATACAATTTGGCTGCGACAACTACAATACAGAACATCTCCCAAATCGATGTGCATAAAATAATATAATACAATACTAGTAAGTAAGAGGTTATGATAACAATATTGCTATCAATAAGTTTATAGAATTGGTCCGCCAGGAATAATTGTTCTTACATAAAGATTTGTGTCATTTAGAACCTAGAAAGTATTATTTCGGCACTGTTGATCTAACGGCGAACAATGTATGTCGAACGAACATTGTCCTTTTGAACTGCTATAAAAATAATTTATTCTAGCAAAATAAGTAAAAAACATACCATAAAGTTACCCGTTTTCTTTATTTCCACTACCATTTCGCCATCCTCTTCCGTTACTGTCAAAATAGAATACATGAAATGCCAACTTACATATTTTTCAAATAATTTCAGGTAAAAATAAAGTTGAAAATGTCATACCATTGATTCCGGTGTCATCTTCATCATCATCCTCAGCCTCTGCCTCCATTGATTCATCATCGTGGTCTAATTCCTGTTGATGGATACAATAATACATAATGTTAACTGGGTCAAAGTTATCGCGTTGGTCACGCTAAGTAAGGCATCATATAAAAATATTTCATTTTTATCAATCGGCTGGGATACGCGCCGTGATAAAATCTTATCGATGATTTATGACGACGACAAATGTATGGGCTTATCGCATAAAATCAATTAATTAATTCATCAATTATTTTAACATTCACTTACTTCAACATGTGCAGTAGTCATATGCTTGTCGAGTTTTTCCTTTGAGGTGAATATGAGCTCGCATAACTCGCACATGAATTCTACACCTGTAAAGATATTGTCCTTATTTATTTCCATTTACACCAAAATAAAATATCACACCTATTGGTTGTCTATACTGCGTTCAGTTCACGTTATTACAATGGCGTGTCACTATATCAAATCTCTATTGATCACCATATTATTATATAAATGCTCGCCTCTGCCATCGCGAGTGAGCACTTTTATTTGGTCGCATCTTTACAACTTGCTAACGACTATAGCTTGACTTTCATTGGTTGAGTGTGGGGGTCAAGCTGTACTCGTAGATCCTGGTTAAACAAAAGTTACAGCGATGGGAACAAGAGGTGGGAGAATAAAACCGGACTATTTCCGCCTCTCGTTCCCACCGCTGCAACTCCTGTGTAGCCAGGATATATGTACAGCTTGACCGCCAATAAAAACTCAACCAGTGAAGGCCGTTTTTCCCAGAGGGAAAGTTAAACTATCATTGGACCAGCAACGAAGTTAATCAGAAGAACATGGGAGTTCGAAGTTAAGGTTCGACTTCACTGGAACTGGGGACGACTTTCTGGGAATAGTCGCGTATGGCTGTAGCTTTCTAAGGGCCTCCAAGCTATAGTTTGGTGTCCTTTGATCACCCATGATAAGATGACCTGGGTGATCAAAGTGAACTCCAGTTAAATTATTATTTTAGTTTCCTTTGATCACCTCTAATCAAAACACACCTCCTTTGAATAGTACTTACATTATTTGGTTTTGTAAATTTTATATTTTATAAAAACCGCAACAAACAAATTGGACATGTTACTATTCAAAGGTGTGATTTATTTATAGGTGATCAAATGAAACTAAAGTAACATTAAACTGGAGTCCACTTTGATCATCTGGGTGTTCAAAGTGGAATAGACCCTTTCCAAAATAATATGAGTTACTGACCGGTGACGTGCGACTTGATGTGCGTGGTGACGGAATCGACGTCCTGGAATTTCTCCTGGCACAGCGGGCAAGTTAAGTCCTGCGTAGCGTGGATGGCCGAGTGGTAGATAAGCTCGTCCTGCGTCACGAATGGCTCGTTGCACTGGTCGCAGCGCAGCATCAAGTCTGACAAGGCGTCCGTTCCCATAGTGGTGCTGTGCTTCAAGCGGAGATGTCTGGGGTATACAAATAATATTGAATTAATAGGATCCACAATATTAATGCTGAATGTTAACTTGAGAAATAAACTATCGATAGCGTACGACTATCGCGCCTATTCTATCGATACTGTGCAAGTTATCAATACTTATTAAGTAGGCTTTTGCCTAATATCGATAGAGTCGAATACTGGTTTGAATTGAACTATAATAGATAGTTCGGCATCTCTGGATTGTCAAAGCCCACGCCATCGCGAACGCGTCTTTACGCATCTGGTGTATGGACCACCACTTTATGTGCTGATAAAACGCGATTCACTGATTGGATTTGCATAATAATACTCATGATGTCATTGACTACAAAACATTACAACTGATAACTAACTGAAAAGTAAAAATATTGTCAAAAATTAAAATCAAAAATATTTATTCAGTTTAGACCACAAGTGGCACTTATGAACGTCAATAGAAAATAATAAAAAAAGAAAAGGTAGCCCTTATGGGGCACTTTACATGTCTCCTTATCTTTTGGGCCCTACCAGCGCTTCGAGACAAACATATGGCAAGTGCTGAGAAGAAACGCCGGAACAAACTCAGTCACCACTTATTGCCAGGAATTATCTAACGGTAAGAATAGTCAAATTTAAGTACATCAAATATGTGCAGACTGAACTGACCACGCATCCTTGTCATCAATATAGTCTCGAACCTTGTAGTACCCTTTGGACATAAGGGTATTTTTTATATGTATCTTAAATTTGTTTATTGGCAATTCGACAAGGTTGTGTGGTATTTTGTTAAATATGGTAATACATTTCCCCAAGAATGAATTACCTATTTTATGCAACCTAAATGAGTGAAATAAATAAATGAGTAGAATAAATAATGTAATATTACAAACCTAGTGTAATGGTGAGACTTTATAAAAGTCTTGTCACAGTATTTGCAAGGGTAAGAGCGGTCTCCAGCGTGCGTTCGCACGTGTCTCGTCAACTTAGTGATTGCATTAAATTCTGAAACCAAACACGCGAGTTGTCTACACGAAACCAATAGTAAATATTTAACTAGTTGCGTATGTTCATAGCTTGGAAGGGAGGGAGAGAGTATAGGACAGTATTTTCCAGTAGACTCACGCGCTGGACAATATTCGCAACTAAATTGCGGATCTTTCGCGTGAACTGTATCCTTGTGTTTCTGAAGTCTCGTCTTGTCGGAGTATCTGAAAGACAAAAAGGAATCAGTCAATAAAGATGTTTTTGCTATTCACTTTCCGCAACTGCATGGCTTAAGTTTCCTCACCTTTTGCCGCATACTTTACAAGGAAAATTAAGCTCAATATGACGAGAATGTTTTATCAGGTGTGCTTCCAATTCTTCCACAGATAAAAATGTCGAAGAACATTTGGAGCATGGAAGCTGTGGTATGTCGGAATGCATAACCTATGAATGACAGAAATAATATTAACCGACTGATTGATAATATGAATAAATAGGTTTTTATTTTTTATCATAAATATGATATACCTTTTCATGTCTTTTTAGAAGAATTAGCCGTTTAAACTTCCTGTCGCAAGCAACACATTGGAATGGCATTTCATCTGTGTGTCGTACCTGATGGTTCACAAGATCGTTTTTGGAGAAGAATTTTCTGGAAGGCGGAATGACGTTTTAAATCACAGCTTACTAACGATATGTCACTAACTATACAAATACGGGAATCTACAGAAACGACAACGCGGCAAAATAAAGTTACTCGGCAGAATAAAAATGGGATATTACGGAAAAAATCTTAAATTATTATCATTCATAGGCTACTTTTCATTCCATGACCACACACTTTCCAAATAAAGTATAAGAACATTCCAATGACGCAAAACACATTCACCAGATGTCGCTTTAGGGTTTGTATTGATTTGTGACGTCAATATTGCTAATATTAGCAAGAGAAATTGGAACATCAATGTGGGACTTCTTGGCGGGAAACTGAAGCGTCATAATGTTTCGCAGGTGTTTTTTAAATTTACGGAATATTCATGTGAAATCAAGTATTTTTCTGTGAAAAATACTTCATTCTCTCAAGGAGTCCGCGTGTAGTCTCAATAATAATGCCACACGCAACGCAAGCAGGGGAATATCATCTAGTACATTCATTGTGTAGGCATTAGATTTTTTTAGTTGAATTGTCATTATTCACATAATTACACTGGCTGTTTATGCAAATCACACAAAGCCATAATGCGAAAAAGAAAAAAAAATCTTTAAAAAAAGAACTTAATGCACGAATGTGTGGACAAAAAGCCAGTCAAACGACTCACTGATTGCACTCGTCGCAATGCACAGTCCTGGCGCGGTGCTTCATCTTCTTGTGAAGGTTGAGCAGTTGTTCCAGAGGGTAGGTGCAGTGGCACTCGTCGCAAGGCCAGCATCCTTCATCCACCTCCTTCACTGGGACCGGCTCTTCGTCCGTATCTGCCTCATAACTCAGATCTTCTAAAAATATTAGGCAATGGATAACGTTTGTGCAATGGTTTAAGAGAGGGGAGGATTTTTTAAATAGTTTTTTACGTTATCGATTGTTACAAAACAATAACGCTATCTAGTTTAAAACTAAACAAAGCTCGTACTACATCAGATGACATTAACATAATAAATACTTTTTTTGCACATAATGTTTAAGGAAAAGACCCACACCAATAAAACAGACATTCAGGTATATTAATGATGGTACTATGCGCGAATCAAACCCGCGACACTTGGCGTAGATCAGTCTTTCCCAAAGTGGGCGATAACGCCCCCTTGTGGGCGCTGCAGGCCTACAGGGGTAAGAGACTCCGGAAAAAAATCGGGGCATTGTGTCGAGGCTTGGTAGGCCATTTGTAATTTCATCTACTTAGGAGGTCTCTCAGACACCGACTGAGCATTTGACTCTTGAAAATTTAATGGGGGCGCTCAAAATATTTTATTCTCAAAGTGGGCAGTAGACAAAATAAGTTTGGGAACCGCTGGCGTAGATGGTCGTCAAGAAAGGATATGAGAGAAAATCATCCTTGCTTGAACCGACATCCGATGTATTCTAGAAATTAATACATACTTTCAAATAAATACGTCGATTTTTTAATAATATGTACTATATCAAGAAAAACCAAGTAAAATACATGCTAGTACCTAGCTACATATTAATAAACATGTATTAGTAAATCTAATTGTACAAATACGACATACGCATACGATCATTCAATTTACTTACTACAAGGACAAGGATGCTCATAAACAAATCAAAAGTTTTAGAATCAAATTGTTAATCAATGCACAACGTTACATTGTTAACCCATCATAGTATTAAAAAACAAATAATGACTCATTATTATTAATTAAATGAAAAGTTATTTAAATGTTATTAAAAGGGGAGGATAGAATAATAATAATATTAGTGATGCCCGATTTATGATTGAATTTTTGAAGCAAATATGTATACAATTTGCAGCAAATTTTGACACTATTATTCAATCTAAAATTGTCTATTTATTGATATTCAAATAACTTAATTTCCCTAATGTCAGAATCTAAATGGTCACAAACAAAATATTTACTCACATTTCTTCTCTTCATTTCACCCACTAAATAAAAATAAATTGAGAAACATATTCCTATAAAATATAAATCAATTTTAAAAAATTCACTCTCCATTTAATTTATTTCTTAAGTAACGCACATAAGCCTTGTGCCTGACAATGGCTAGTTTTACTAAATATGGCCAAATACCAACTAATTAAATGGAAAGCAAATTAATAATGTGACTTTTTAAGTCATGCTGCAAATGAAAACAAGGAAAATCATAAAAAGCTATGAACACACGCATATTGAAGAGCAATAAAAATATTTTAGGTATAAATAAATACTGAAATTATAATCCAAGCCCTAAAACCAGTTAATTATAGGTAAAATACTTTGCCATTGCCATTGAAAGATTCAAGGAATAATATAAATTTACCGGTTTTGAGCTATCTGGCATATCTTCAATATTTAAAGAACTCACAAGCGCGCGCAATTTCGTTGCTTTTAGCTGATTACAATATGACAGATAATGTAAAATAGGTGAATGTTGTTATTTTCTAAACAATCATGGCCGAAAGTAACGCGCGTCTCTGAGTCCAAATTATTAGCAAAATTACCTTGTCTACTTTTAGTTGGTTTGGACCTTTCCTTGTCTGGATTTCTACTGGTGACCACTCTTATGCGCTTTGAGCCTTTTCCAGATTCATCACCAATCTGTTGAATTAAATGGTCTAGTTAGTTATAGGTTATTTAAGGGGAGCAAAGTTAACAGTACTAAGTAAGTTGGTAATTAGTGACCAGAGAAAAATAAATATTTTTTTATGAGGTTGCTACTTTAGTAACATCAAAATTTCTTTGAAAATATGTCCTAATGCATTGAAATATTTTCTGTACGTCTACTCTTGATAAACAGTAAGCTTTTGGATGACACAAAGCATAACTAATTTATTGTTAATGGTGATTTTAATTTTAATTACCTTAACATTATAAACATTTCCTTCATCTTCATCTTCACTATCACTACCATCTTGGGAAGTCACATGTACTGTGGTCCCGTCTCCGACAACAGTTTTTACTACAGGTTCCGACTTTGTAGAATTCCGGTATACCTAAAATATGTTAAAATTTATACTCATAAATGATCATAAAAATACTATTGTTACAAATGATTGGTAGAATATAATTGGCCGTGATAGGTAAACAAATATTGTAGAAATGTACTTACTTTTGTCAGTAGACTAGGCCAGGTCATTTGTTCCAAAGGTGTCCCATTTTGAATGTGCATCATTAAACTCTCATCCGCACTGCGGCATATTTCTTTAAATTTGTAAAATAATTCAAGGAAAAAATGACATGGTTTACATAAGTACGCTGGCATTCGATCTGAGGGGAACACCTGTAAATAAATAAAGTATGTTTTATAGATTACACAGTAATTACTGATGGTTTGTAATGATCAAAAATCTAAAAAAATAAACTATTTATTGAAATTACCAAACCCCCAACTAGGGGGCGCTTGGTATGGATTAATGTACATCAATCAAATTGTTTACGCCTTGTAGTATACCGTATTACATAATAAAATATGTATTTGTTTGATCAACTTACAAATGAATATAAAAAGAGACACGAATGTTTGTATTGTGTAGTTTCGCAATACAATAGTGCAGGCATAGAATGAACGGTATAGGTGGCGTTCAACAATATTTTGATGAAGATTGCAAGTAGCTGAAAAGCATTAACAGAAATAAATTAAATCATTACCTCCATACTCAAACAGGATAGAATTTTTAGAGACAGAGAAATGCCATTTTTTGGCTTTTTATTTCTATCGTAAATATATGATAAGGTATCATCCTGAGACAAACAAAATCTGCATATTTTCATAACACTCAAAGAATCCTTTCGTTTCTCCATTTTTACTGATAAATTTTCACTTTACACTGCACTTCAAATATATTTTACTCCATAACCTAAATCCTAAATTCACAATGAAAAATGAAACGAAATTAATTTGAGTTTCCACGTTCACTAGCGCCATTAACTGAAACTCCGAGAGGGGACGCTAAATAGACGCTATGACAGACAGCGCTCCAGTGGAGAGTAGCGGGACTACATAACTATTGCAGCGCCATCTTTACTCAGTGCTAGTTGCTACTATGGCGCTCGCGTCGTTCGTATACCGTATCTTCGCGATCGAATAGAGTTTTACTTTTACTTAATAGATGGCAGGATCAACTTCAATAACTTTTTCATGGAGATTATGGAGCTTTTGTTTAGAAAGTTAGGGATAATTAAAAAAACTCCCGCGAAGGCTACCTACCTACTTACTTATTCTGTGTATGTAGAACGTAGGTTAATTTTATTAATTAATTAATATATTCTATGTGTGTGTTTGTGCCTGAAATATGTTTAAAACCTACCTATGCAAATAAATGAATAATAAATAAAGAAATATAAGACAGAAAGTTGTTTAATAAAATAAACCTACAAGTGTAGACATAGCATAAGTGAGAACTCGTGAAATTTGGCTTGTGAAGAATAGGATGGATTGTTTGTTACTCTTTCATGCAAAAACTGCTGAACGGATTTTGAAGAAACTACAGTATTGTTCTTTTGTTTCGTTGTATAAGTTGGTAGACACTTAAGTCAGAATTATATATTAATTCTAGTATGTGAAATTAAATTTTAGGGTTAAATTAGATTAATTTTATTTTAATTGAATTGCAGATTGTGTGAATTTTAATGTCTAACTAATTTTCCTATACAATGTATTTTGTTTTTGGAATAAATAAATGAATGAATGAATGATATAATTTAAGTACCTACTTATAATCAGTTTGTCTTAGAAAAACTCAATATGGTCCAGTAATATCAAATACTTACCTACTTATTGAGTCTTTCTGTGACAAACTGAAATTCACACGGGCATTATGCCGCGGGCAAAAACTATTTGGACGTGGGTAATAAATAAGCATAATGTATTAAAAAAAGCTGCTGATTGCCTTAAAAACTTGATAACGGATTACTTAGTTTATATTTTATTTTGTGGGAAATTAAGACTTGACTTATTATTATTAAGTAACTTATCATGTTTGTTTTGGTCGCACGTTTTGTAAGTAGCTTTACTTAGATACCGCGGGCTAAAGTATCTTAAACTTACATTTTGTTTACCGCAACTCAGTTGGAAATATTTTTGAGGGATCATTGACGAATTACTTAATGTCGCAATAGTACCTTACATTAATCTTAGTAATTTAAATAATTTAAAGGATATTGGAAAAGTCAAGGCACCTATCTGATAACAGGGTCGAGATAAAGACATTGTTTTTTGTTCAATATCGTTTTAATAACAAGATTGGTGATATACGTCATTTCGTAATAGATAATCGCGAGAAACAAGACTATTGATTGAGAACTAATTAGACGCATGTTTGTAAGCAAGTGTGGTGCATGTTCAGTGGAATAATAGCAAGTGGCAATGGATCCCGAGACTAATAATAATAATGACAGTGTTCCTGAAATGGTTAATAATACAAGTCATAATGGTGATGCCAGACATTTTGACAGAACTTCAATCGCTTCAACTGATAGTAATGCAACTCCGCTGAGATCCAAAATATCTACACTGTAAGTCTGTTTTTCAATTACTTTAAAAATAATTTATTTTAGTTATAGTAATTCCATGTATGCGTGTTTGTCTTGTTGGTTGTCCTAATAAATAAAATAAAATTTACTTAAATTTAATATTACTCGTGTCGATAAAATTGGATATTATACTTGAAATATATTTAAGTAGATAACTTTAGCGTTATCAGTCATTGCTGCTAGTCAAGGAGTTGCTATCAAAACAATAAAACAAATGTATTGTCTGTAGGTAAAGAAAGTATTTTCACCCTTTTTAGTTCCGCGGAATCCCACCAAAAAAAATGTTATGCCTATATAGGTATTGAAGCCGAGACCATAGCTCGCACTGTCAAAAAACTATCAGACCTCATGTACTTAGAGCAAAAGCTTTTAATAAACTCTACACGCGCTGAGTTCACAAAATAATACACATTAGTCAATATACCTACATTAAGTGGCCTGACCGTGCCCCCAGATAAAAACATTTTTGATTGTATGATGATTGTTGCTTTATTGTTAAAATTATTCACTAATAAAATAGTATTTGACTGGCTTTATTTTTTTATTATTACTTACTGCGTTTCTGTCCAAATCCTACTAGACCTTTTCTGAACTTATTCTTCAGGAGATACCAAGCTTTCTTGTAATTTTTGTTTTCGTATAGATTACGACCCCGAAGCAGTAGAAGCAGTAGAAGAACAAGTGACACCTCAGCGCTGGAGTCAGTGTCTGCTTCATCACGCGCGGTTGTTCCTGTTAGGAACATAGATCCCAGTTTGATACAGGTAAGTCGGGAACTTGATATTTATTAGGTAATTTTAAATAAACAAAAACAATGAAAAAATCGAACTGCCTACGGCGGGAATCGAACCCACGAATCGAAATTTGTAATCGCTAAGAATAACGATTCATTAGGTACCTGTCTTATGCCCGTTTTCACCATCATTTCCTAATTTGTAAGTGACCCCTATGAAAGCAAAACTCCTGTTACCGCATTATGCCCGTTTTCACCATCATTCCCTAATTTTTAAGTGACACATAACAGGATTTTTTTCATAGGGGACACTTAAAAATTATGGATTAATGGTGAAAACGGGCATTATTTACTTTTATGGGCGTCCCCCTTCTGGCCCAGATAGGGGCAAGACAATTTTTAGGTCAAATAACTTTGACAGTTCCTTCAGCCCCCCTTTATAATATATTATTACGTCTTCCATGTAGACCGTTTAGACTTTAGGACAGACTTAATACTTCATAAGAAGGTTAAATTACGTTCAATGCTTTATTATCTTTGTTGTTTACTCGTAAGTCTTAATGCCGCGCTGGTCAAGTGGGATACAAATCACGAACATCCAATGTGTCATTGCAACAACATTGCAAATGTTACTAAGCGGATTTACGTCTCTTAAGTGGGCAAGTGGCCACTTTTGATGCTTTTTCAGTTCACTTATATTATGATTTTCTAGACGATGTCTAATCTCAGCTAAAACATCGACTTCTTAAAAAGTTCGCAAACCGAATCAACCGAAAACGTATCAAAAACTCATTTATTTCTGTAAATAGGCTTAAAAAAAGGACTTTTACACAACTTCATATCAAATCATATTAAGTTCCTTTCATGAAAATTTATGCTTACTGAAATACCGCAAGAAAGGGCACTAAGCAATCTAATTTCAGTTCAAGCTTGAGTACATATGCACGCTTTAAAGATTTCGTATAGAGATAGTAGATAAGTAAAGTTATTAATTTCAAAATAATCTGTAAATTAGTTCCGGCTTCAGTATGATTCAACTAAATACTTAGTTGTTGTGGGGTCACCTCGTTACTCGTAATAACGTAATAAGTAAATAATATTTGGTTTATTACACTATCTCTTTACTTTTGCAGAAAACACAACCAAAAGGATGGCATACAATAGTTAACATAGTCCTCGTGGAGGCCAAAGGTCTGCCGGATCCACCAGATGACAGGAGTTCACATAATCTGTACTGTAAATTTCGGTAAGAAAGCAAAACATATTAGGTACTAACTACTTTGTAGAGCTTAAAACTTTTTGGTAACTTCTAAAAAACGAATATTGATATCATTAATTACAAAAGTGGAAGTTTAATAAAATAAGTAAAAAAATCGAAACCTATTTATTTGAATACTTGGTCCCCTATTCAGTCAAAACTCCGTGAATCTGCTTTAGATTTAATTATAACAAGGTTACTACTAATAAGGCAGGTTTATAATTGAATTTAAATGATAAAAGATTACATGCTGTTATCCTTTAGTTTATCAAAACATATGGAAGATAGAACGACTTTGAAACCGTTGCCACGTGAGTGTAACGCAATAGGATCTTCTTATCGACTCTACAAAACACCTATTGATTACCCACTGTCCGTCATGTCATGATTAATTTATTAACATAATTCCGTAAGCCTTTAATCTGGGACAATAGGTACTAAGTTAGTTTTTTATTGTACTCGTAAATACATGACATATAAATTATTTTGAATGCATTGTTTGTTTGTAAATAAGACAAATCACCTAGGAATTTAGATTTTCAGAGTATTTCCATCGAAATTTAATCCATTGTGTAGACACATACGAGTAATATTGACTTTTTTTTTTCAAAATAAATTAGGCTGGGCTCAGAATCGCACAAATCCAAGGGAGTACCAAACACAGCCCAACCGGAATGGCGGGAAAGATTCGACTTGCATCTCTACAAAGACCACTTGCTGAAGCTCTCGCTGTGGGACAAAGGGAAACAGAAAAACTTTATGGGAAGGTTTGTTTTAATTTCAGATTGTTGTTACGCTTGTTCTTAAGAAAATCCAACACACCTGTATTTTATCTACTACTTAGGTAAATTTTAAAAAAGTGTCCTCATAATTTACGATTATTTTTTGGTTGACAGTTCCGTCTTGGACTTGGCTGAGTTAGAAAAGGAGCGGACCCATGAGATCTGGCAAGAACTGGATGACGGTTTTGGAACAGTTCACTTTTCCGTCACCTTGTGCAAAGTGCGAAATAACGTTAACACTTTCAACGGTCAGCTAGCTGAGGGTGTGGTTAGGGCTAAAAATGTTCGTATTTTTGAGTTTTACCTTTTTACGCAAATGCCTTACGAATAAGTGCAAATGCCTTACGAATAAGTGCCGCGGAAATAGGAATGATAGCCTTTTAAATATATGGTTTTGTGCCCTTGACTCTACATTTCTAGATTGTTTCTTTATACATAATAATATAAGATTCTAATATACAAGAATAGTCGCCAGCAAAAACACTTCTATTTTCATGTAATTATTCAGGAATTTCCTAATTCCTTTTCAGGCCATTAACACTTTGAAAAGCGATTGGAAGCTAGTGGGCCAGCTATACGTGAAAGTGACGGGTGCTAAAGGGTTAAATGGAAAACCCAACGCATACTGCACACTGGAGGTAGACAATGAACGGGTACAAACCCACAGCTGCCGCGCCAGCTCCGAACCTACTTGGGACAAAAGTTATGTGTTGTAAGTCGTACTTAGTTGTATTGTGTGTATTTAAGCCCTGGGAATATAACTTTGTTTGTCAGCGTTCTGTGTTTGTATTATGATTGTATCACGCAATTTCATTAAATTAATACAAAATCATTCTAAACCATGCATTTGAAATGCGGGACTATTTCACCCTGTATCGAAATGTTTTAAGCGAATGTCTAGGGGCAAAAATTATCTTTGGGATATATCATATCGTCATCATCATCATTTCAGCCTTTGGCAGTCGTCTGCAGGTCCACCAAGGAGCGCCACAAAGCACGATCTTCCGCTTTTTTCATCCAGCTACAGTCAGCTACCTTCTTTTAGAAGGTTCATTGAACAGGACCTCTTTCGTATGTGTGATAACTACTCGTAAATGCATGTTTATAGCTTTTGAGAAAATGATTGGAAAATAAATAATTTAAATTAAATATTAATTATATAAGTTTTTTTTGTAATTTCTTTTTTGTAAAGTAAGCAATAAATGTTTTTTTTTATTTTTTATTTTTATTAAAACTTAACTAAATGAACAGTTGTTAAAACATGAATGTATCTTTTCTTATCCAGTGAGTCAAGGTTGACAAAAATATGGATGGAAAATAACATATTCCATATTCACGTGCATATAAATAACATCACGTGTTTATAATGGTAATGTTTATGAAAGTAAATTAATAGACCATTTAGTAACATATAATATTGGCAATATTGATTGCTCATTCTTGTTAAACGATTGGTTATTTCTCCTATCTACCGCTACTCGTATGTCTAAATGCGGACTTGACGTAAGTACGTTATCACTTAGTCCAAAGTTTAAATACTAGGATTTCCTTGTTAACCCAGCCTAGTTTGATAATAATTAGTAGTCCAGTAGAATTAGCTTTTAAATCGGAAATAATTCCTACAAAAGATTTTATTGTTTTAATGGCTTTATTGGTTGCCCATTAAGACTCTCCTAAGTTTTCGACTTCGACGGAGTTGTGCTTAAGTGGTGGGGGCCCCCGAAAGAGGCAATTTTTCGGTTTTCTGGTTATACCGCGTAAAGGACTTACCCTATCAAAAAATGGTCTTCATGACGGTTGAAGGGCACTTAATCCTGCATCGAATAAGACCAAATTCATATGTTTTGGACAAACCGTTCTCGCGCTAAAGTTCGGCAAAGTAGAAAATATACGTATAATTAATGACCCTCTCCACGTCCAATGGTTTGTTACCGACAGGCTTCCAATTCTTGAAAAGGGCCACCTCAACCAGTGTAACCCTATCAAGGCTTACGAGCTTGATGCGCCTATCCTTGTTCGTCCCAGCCGTTCCTTAACTGCGGTTGCTGCACCTCTTCCTGGCACTCACCTGAACGACTCTGTGTTACCTACTGTGGCTGCCCCTCTTCCTTGTATCCTCCTGCATGACTACGTTGCCTAGCCGTATGCCTGGTCTAAGGTTCGACGCCAAAAATCAACAACAACAAGTTCATATTAAAACGCTGAAGAGTTTTTTGTTTGTTTGTTTGAACGCGCTAATCTTAAGAATTACTAGTTTGATTGAAATCATTATTTTTGTGTTGAATAGCTCATACATTGAGGAAGGCTATAGGATATATACAATCACTCTACGACTAATAGAGGCGAAGCAGTAAAGAAAAATGTTGCAAGCACGGGAAATAGTATTTAAACTATTTTCACTCGTACGAAGTTGATTTTGTGGCGTCGAACCTTGGACCAGGCATATGGCTAAGCAATGAAATCGTACAGGAGGGTACAAGGAAGAGGGGCAGCCACATTAGGTAACACAGAGTCGTTCAGGAGAGTGCCAGGAAGAGGTGCAGCAACCGCAGTTAAGGAACGGCTGGGACGAACAAGGATAGGCGCATCAAGCTCGTAAGCCTTGATAGGGTTACACTGGTTGAGGTGGCCCTTTTCAAGACTTGGAAGCCTGTGGGTAACAAACCATTGGACGTGGAGAGGGTCATTAATTATACGTATATTTTCTACTTTGCCGAACTTTAGCGCGAGAACGGTTTGTCCAAAACATATGAATTTGGTCTTATTCAATGCAGGATTAAGTGCCCTTTAACCGTCATGAAGACCACTTTTCGATAGGGTAAGTCCTTTACGCGGTATAACCGGAAAACCAAAAAAACGCCCCTTTCAGGGGCCCCCACCACTTAAGCACAACTCCGTCGAAGTCGAAAACTTAGGAGAGTCTTAATGGGCAACCAATGAAGCCATTAAAGCAAAAAAATCTTTTGTAGGAATTATTTCCGATTTAATCAATTTTTGTGTTTAATTCTACTGGCCTATAGATCGATTTATAAGGAGAAGTATTTAAACTGTGCAGGACTCTATAAACGTCAATTAAGAGACTCCACACATTGCATAACTTCTGTTTTTGTTTTGAATTATTCCACGTCAACACTGCATGCTTATCTTCCCGACACATACCTGTGCCAATGTTTTTAAGCGATAAATGTGTTAACTTTTAGCAACGTCTACGACGTAACATCGACTTTAGACTTAAGGATCTACGACAGTTCCATCGTAGCTGCGTTACGCACCGACACCTTAGGAAGGCTGTCTCTACCTCTACTGAGGATCAGTAACGGAGAGTCACGATGGTACGCCCTGAAGTCACGGAACATGAGGGACGGTGCCAAAGGCAACTGCCCAAGAGTCCAACTGGAAATGACTATGTTTTGGAATCCGGTTAGTCACTATCTTACCTATCGATCTGAATTCAATTAGCGACAGATTATTATTTTATATTTGGTACCTAATCGCAAGATGCAACATAATTTTGCGATAGGTTTATTTTGTTGATTATTTGATAAAAATCAACCAACTAATATATTATTTTATTTAGAAAACATTGGTACCTACAGTGAAACAATTACAGACAAATAACAACTGCGACACTATCACCATACAGTTGTAAAAATGTTGTTGAAACTTGAATTTATTGAGTTGAGGAGTTTCTGCAGTAATGTCCCATGTTAGTCCAACTCTACCACAAACGTATTGAAACAACTATGTATTTATTTTATTACCTATATCTACAAATTAATGTGAATATTCCAGGTGAAAGCAACAGTAAGATTGTTCCGCCCAAAAGAAGTGAAACACATCAAAAAGCCCCCAAAGTTCGACGTGGCTCTCGTATACAGCAACATGGAGTTCGTGAGGGATACATTTACATTCCTTCATTATTTTAACGAGCAATACAAGTAATATTCTATTTTATTATTATTGGTAAATATGTGTCTTAATTATGAAAAGAGGGTGACAAAGGTGACTGAGTTTCTTCCGCCACTTCTTCTCAGCACCAGCCCTTAAGTTGTCCCGAAGTGGTGGTAGGGCAAGTTATTTGGGTGGGGCGTATAAGCGCCCTGGAAAGGACCTAAGTACTGAATATAAGCTTTAAATTTGACATTATTTAACTTCATTTTATACCGCAATAGTTTAGTACTTTTTATACATTCTCGGAGACAAACATTCTCTTTATAGAAGTTACTTTATTGATAGTAAAAACATACCTACTACTTACGTACAACTTGCTAAATATCGGATTTTCTCTGCTGGAGGGATTAATGCAATCCATTGGCATTTCGATTATGTTATTAAGGCACGATAAGATAACACAACAACGGCTAATGACACTGTTGTTTCCAACTATGTATGAAAATTCATTTTCAGGAATCTGTTCGAATGGGAAAACCAGGAGTTGTGCTTTGTAACCCTAGTAGGGTGGCTCCTGTTCTGGCTCCACTTTAGTCTGTGGGCTACACCATTGTTGTTGCTGCTGCCTTTCTTCTACTTCTATATTACACAGTCTTGCAATCAACGTAAGTTTGCACTTATTTTGTCAATTTAAATGGTGATCATAGAGGGCTCTAAGATACCATTTGTCTTTTTCTTCGAAAATGAAAGAAGATGTAGATTCTTGAATGTTATTTTAAGACTTTATTAAGTACTTAATTACATAGTAGCATCTTATTTTTTATTTCAGAAGACAGATCAAGTCCGCGAAATTCTAGTTCTGGAGATGAGAGCCCTGAACCAAATGAACACGAAAAGGTATTTTGTTTTTAATTCGTACTGATTTCTCAATTTTTTATAATCTAGTTATCTATACTACGTTAATTTGGTCACGGCTGATGTTAATTTGATATTAAGCTCGAGGTCTTAGATTGATAGAATGATAAAAAAAAATACATTATTATATTAATTCTCAATGTTTTTTTAATTTTACAGACTGAGAAGGGCCTGACTAGCAAGATATCAGGCCTGCCAGAGATGACTCTGACCATCACTGGCGGGGTTGAGTATTCAGTTTCATTGGCCGAAAGACTTTATAAGTAAGTAAAGGTTTACTTGATTCATTACATTACTGATAGCTGTGTATAGGCACTTTTAAACAGCGACGAATTTTCAATGCCTACGGAAATATGCCTAAATGGAAATCTTTTTCACTAACTTTTATGTAGCTTTTAATGTAAACAAATTAAAAATGACTGTTGTTTTGTTTATTTACAGTTTGACCAGCTTCAAAGTGCCTTTCTTAAGCTTTTTAACAATGATGTTCCTGATGATGTCGGCATTTGCTTTCTACTTTATTCCGGTCAACTACATGATGATGGCATTTGGTAAGCAATTATTTTTTTAAAGGAGCTAATGACTTTCTTAACTAAGTTTTTGGTAATAGATATCAAAATTGAATGTTTTCAGGTTTATTTAAATACTCGAGAAGATACATCAACCCAGAGTGGAGACAAAACAATGATCTACTCGATTTTCTATCAAGAGTTCCTGACAACGAAATTTTGGTAAGTTTTCTGTTAAAGTTCCTATTTTCAAAGCTCTCTCTGTACTGAAAATACTTAGGCTGGATTGCACCATTTTACTTTGACAGTAACTTTATCATCTGTATGTATATTGACAGATTTTTGACGTTTGTTCAAGTCAAACTAAGATGGTGTAACTTATAGTTCCAAAATACTGAACTGTCCTATGCATGACATTGACAGTGGGGCGCCACCGTCAATACCGGATCGCTGGTTCCCATTTTTGCCATGTTGGAAACCATATAGTTGAACGATGGTAGCGCCCCCTTGTCATTGAGTTTGGTGGGACAGTTCAGCTTGGGTCATCTATATGAGTAGTTAATTGCTGAAATATTTTTACAGAAAAATTGGAAGGAGTTGAATGTGCCAGAACCCAGTGTGAAGAGGCAGGGGACATATAAAAGACGAGTATCTGATAGTTCATCGTGATATTATTATTATTATGAAAATTATTTTTAGTTGATAATTAACTACCAAAGGGAAGTGTTAGTTTGCACTTAACCCTTCGATTGATTTTGGTACATAGATGTAGGTATACTTATTTATACAGAGAAAGATATCTGGCAAATAAAAGTAGACCCTAAATTTGTTCAGGTAGAGCCCATCTCTGGTGGCTCTACTACGAATCATTCGACGAATTCGACCAGTAAATTAATGAATCATTCTATTATAATTGGGGTATTTAGCTTTACCTTGTAAGAATTTAATAGTCCAGTTCAAAGAGTTAAAATGGCGCTGAATGGCGGTTATGCTATCAATAAAAAAAAGGTTTTATTATTTCAATACAGGAATACAGGTGTAACATAAAGACCGTGCAAAACTTAAGGAGACGGACGAATAACGGCGATTATTTTACTTAGGTTTTTTGTCTAGATGGTCATCCATTAGTCTATTTTCTTATGTTTCACACGGTCTTTATTGGACACCCTGTATGTATAGGGCATTATTTAGAGACGTAACACTTAGAACGTTGAGCGGTATATACTTAAGTTAATAGCTTGTCTTTTGTCTCCGTACCTAAGGCGATACATAAAAGATCATAGTCGCCAATATTATCAATTAAATTAAGAACAATGTTAAGTAGTTTGTGTCAAACTTAAGTGGGTTCTATTATAAACCTATTTTTTACGACTTTAAAATAAAAAAGTATAATAATAAAATATTTGTTTAATTGTTATCTCTTAAAACTATGGATCACAATGGCGTTAGTAACCTATTAATTAATTAACCATTACGTCCTATTTAAGTAATGTCTATCTATTAAATAAATATCATCTAGCTGCGTCCTTGAAATTATCCTCAACAAATTGTATCCATAAATAATTCTAATATAATTTTAGGCAAGAATTTGGCATAGGAAATATTATCAAATGCATATTAAATGACTCTTTACTAACATCGAAATTGGCTAAATGATACCTATTAAAGTTTTATTAAGTGCGGTCACCCATTCGGGCTTCATACAGCAGTTATGCTACTATGAAAGTGTATGACCAGGCTTATTTTTCAAGTTATTTGTAAGTAACCCCCAAAAAATTAAACGGTTAGTCTCTATGGCACTAAATCGTAAGTACAGAATCCCAGATCACAGTGTTAGTCCAGTCTATATTTTGGCTAGATATAACATTAAATGCCTTGTTTAATACCCTGAAACTTTGAGTTTTTAATGTAAACCACAGCATATAAATGCTTGCTAGGTAGAGCGAGTTTAGTAGCTCTAGGCACCTACGGGCAATCAATTCCGAACGCTCTGAAAACTCTATGGTTGTGTCAAATTGGCGCTGAAAGTAAATTTTTCAGAAACCCTGATCAAGGGTTGGTTGCACTTTTATCAACTGTGATTTTGAACTAAATAAACAATTTTTCTTCTTCTTCTTCTTGAAAACATAAACAATTGCTGTCAGATTTCGTGAGCCGCCATAGGCATTTGGAATGGCTCGGTCTTAAATATATTCAGTCAAAGTCTTTTTCAGGGTCTGTTGCAGTCTGCTTTCTGATGGAATTCATTCTGCTCAGGTTTGGTTCAGGGACCTTTAACTCTCGCCATTGTTTCTGCAATAAATAATCACATACAATTATTTGAAAATAAAGAAATTGTTTATATTCTATTGTTTTATAACTCGTGGAGTTGAACTTACCAAAACTTCATTATCAGGTACTCGCGAAAGGAAGTCCAGTACGTCATTATTAGGAACTCTATCAGGATTCAAGACTTTTCTTGTAAATTTGTATATGCCTGAAAAGAAAAGTTGAAATAGTAAAGAAATTAAATTATAGTCACGATAGGTGAAGGGGTCGGTGTGGCCGACTCGAGATCCGAGGAACGCGGGTTCGAATCCCACCGCCGCTCGACTATTGTGGTGAGCCCACTCGTAACTCAAGCTTAATTAGCTTCGAGGGGCTAAAGGGACTTATAAAAAAAACTTTATTCTGTCGTTAAAAAACCTCATGTACACAATTTTTATAGAATTAAGGTTACTTTACTAACCACTATACATAATGTTGATAAACTTATTTACTTACCTAAAGCCATAATGAGATAATTGAAAGGAATAAAGTAGAGCGCGAACGCCACAATCATCATGCCAGCCATCGCAAGGTAACTTAGGTAAGGTACCGTGAAATTCACCAAACTGAAATGATATTAAAATAAATTTAAACGTAATGTTGTAACGTTTAGGCACATTTTTAAATAACAAGATCTTATAGATTTCAAAACAAGTTCGACCTACTTTTTCAACCTCTCGATTAAGGACACAATATAGTCGATTGCATTTTTGATTGTGAATGTGAGGTCTTGCAGTCCATAAAGCCGTGTTTTGATTGTCTTTTCATCCTGAAATAAATATAATTATTAGTTTTTTTTTAACTCAAAGAAGGTAATATCTTTAAGTTACAACTATACGAGTAGGCCTATGCGTAACTAACCTTGTGGTTTTCTAATTCATCATCTGATTGTTCATCTTCAGATTGATTCAAAAGTATCAAAGCATTTCCTGAAAAAAAAAACAATCGATTTTATTATTTTCATTTTCTTTTGTTTTATTTGTTGTAAATTCCAAACAAATCACTGCTTTATAACAAAAGCTATCTGTATTCATCGCATAAGATGCGGTTCAAGATCGCGACGTGTTTATTGTAAAACACTGCTTATGTCCGCTTCACTAGATCCAATGATCCTGTGACCCTCAGAGAAACGTGCAGTGGCGGTCACCAATGCAATTATTATACTATTGCATCTATTAATACAGAGCTCAATTGCACATTGTTGCTGTAGAGGCAATGAAAATATTCTCTCTTTTTACATTTACATACCTTACCTACTTTATTATACATAGAATATGACGAAGATATTTAAATAAGTCATACATAAGTCATCAATCTAATTTCTTTGTCTAAGTAGGGTGGTTGACCCACTAGTTGACCAGGGCCCCAGTTGGTTTAACCTCTTGCGGTATTTATTGCCAATATTATGGTTTTTCGCCACTAAATCTTTAATTTTATGATGGCTACACGTTGTCGGTACTAATACAAATAAACCCATGACATTAGACCCACGGCTAAGAAGAGACAACCAGTGAACCCAATAACTTTTGTTTGTCAGTTGCAGTAGCAGATGGTTTTAATGGATATTTTGATGAATATGAATTATTTAAGGAATTATTTCAAAGAAAGTAATAAACTCCTAATGGACATTAACAAAGCAAAACTTATATGTAACTAGATTCTAAAGACGATTCGAGTCATTTCCTCCTTTTTTTCACTTTGACGATAGTATGTATTACTCACTATTCCCTTTCTGTCCGACCCAGAAGTACACGAACGGCCCTAATGCCAACAGAGGGGTCATCCATATTCTGAAGAAAAACCAGAAAACCAGCCAGCCTACTAGCGCTATCACTGACATCTCCCGGTTCTCCCATTCAAATGCACGTCTGAAAGGAAAAAGATAATACGAGATAACACTTGCTTGAGTATTAAAACGTATAGATTTAAACCAGTTTGGTCAAAATATTTCAATTCAAGCAATCAGCACCACCGTGTAATGTAACGGCTCTACATAGCATTACGTATTGGTTATATCAAGGATATATTCTAGGACTAGGCAAGTACATAATTGTTAACCAGATAGCCATTAATGTTGGCAGTATAGCTCTACATCTAAAGCCGGGTCCAGACGGGTGTAATGTAAAATTACGTGTAATGTAACACGATCACGAATTCTACGAGTGAAGTGCTGCCCATACTATTTCCATTACATTACACGGTGGATTACATTACGCGTTACACCCGTCTGAATCCGGCTTAAATATGTTTTATGATAATCAGGTCTTACTTAGAGAAATGTAGAGACTTCTAAATTAAAACTTCATTTACTATTTTATAGAACTCACTTATAATGTTCGTTGGCAATGTACACAGCATTGAAGACATCTCTTATAAACTTGAGATTGCTATAAATTAGAGGAATGTTGAATTTAGGCGGTTTTTGCATGTATTTTGTTTCCTTTGGACTCAGCACGCGCACTGAAGCTTTTATCTGAAAACAATTTTGAATTTACACGCTAATGTTTCGTTCTAAGAATTTACAACTTAGGATGAGTTGCACCACCTGACTGTAACCGTAACTATAACGATAACCGGTTTTTTGTATGGAGTTTTGATAGATTTTTGACGTTTGTTAAAGTTAAAGTAAGATGATGATACCCAGCTTTAGTAGCGAATCGATCCCTATATGGGGTATCTACGTCTTAAATCTTTAGAAATGTTTGTATTCTTGTTCTTTCTCTACCGCCAGAAACTGAATAGATCAATAGTTTGAAAAGCAAGTTGACTCAGCTTTTATTCGTTAAACAGAAAATAGAACTCACCGGATTCCAAACCACAGACATTTGCAACAGTATCCGGGGACAGTTTCCTTTCGCGTTGGACTTCTTGCAGCGGTCTTTCAGTGCGTACCATCGCATCTCATCGTTGGAGATCCTTAGCAAGGGTATGGAGAGCTTGCCCAGGGTCTCTCCCTTTATAGAGTTGATTATGGACTCGTCCATTACTGTGATGTCTAGGGTGGATGTGATGTCATTGACTCCGCTGAAGAAAAAAAATTGTATGATTTTCTCAGTCTGAATTAAACCACTCAAAGGGACTAAAGAAAGATTGTTAGACCAGTTTCAAAGGGATACACTGAACATTAGAACCTTATCCTTTAATAATAACTGTCGTTCCGAAGAGAGCATGTAGGCTAGAAACAAAGGGAGAAACGGAAATCTGATCCTCACACAAATCTAACGTTATGGTCTGCGATCTATTGTGTTGAACAGAAGCCCGGCCACAGAGTCGGGAGTCAAAGGGACCTATGGCCTCTCAAGCCAATACTCACAAGAAGTAGGTCTTGTTACAGTTAGGCTCATTGGTGGCGGGCACCGTACGTCTGCACCCGGCAATTGTCCAGCTCCAGGATACAGTAATCATCAGCTCCACCACCCAGTCCCAGCGCGCTGAGACCACGCGCACCGTGTACCGTCACGAGTAGCTGACCCACCTCGCTCTAGTTGGACCTACAGTGAGCATCTAAGTTCCACAATGCAATACTTACAAGAAGTAGGTCTTGTTCCAGTTAGGCTCGTTGGTGGCGGGCACCGTGTGCGTCTGCACCCGGCAGTTGTCGAGCTCCAGGACACAGTACGCATCAGCTCCACCACCTAGGCCCAGAGCGCTGAGACCGCGCGCGCCTTGTACCGTCACGAGTAGCTGGCCCACCTCGCTCCAGTGGACCTTCAGTGGACATCAAAGCTCCATATTGCAATACTTACAAGAAGTAGGTCTTGTTCCAGTTAGGCTCGTTGGTGGCGGGCACAGTGTGCGTTTGCACCCGGCAGTTGTCTAGCTCCAGGACACAGTAGGCGTCAGCCCCACCACCTAGACCCAGCGCGCTAAGACCACGCGCGCCGTGTACCGTCACGAGTAGCTGGCCCACCTCGTTCCAGTTGTCTAGCTTGTACCATGACTGGAACCATACATAATGCAACGTAATTTAAGCTTAAATTATTTTTTTTATAATAGTGCTTTCAGTGCTAGCGCTTTCAGTGACGGACTGCTGATTTAAGACACTTATATAAATAAGATCCCCGTCGATCGTGAATTACAATATTCTGGTGGAAAATTTTACTGGCAATAGACCGAGTTTTGCATGTCACTAAATTAATACCGAGACATTTACGGAAGCAAGTTGGAAGTAACGCCGGATGTGCTTCCAGAAGAACTAAAACTTTAACGATAACTTTAGTCAAAAATATCGCATCTATTGTTAGGTTTAAGCTATGTATTTAGGAAAGTAAAGTAATCAATTTACATAATAATGAAGTCGCGGGCACCAGCAGGTTCTAATTAATTAATTAAAATATGCAAATCCCTGTTGCTCCTGCATCGTGAGGTTATAATACATAATCCATGAATGAATAAGAATATTCAAATTGTGATTTTTAGAAGGTCAGCTAAGCTTCGTAAATCGTCAACGATTTTCATGCTACAAACAAATGCTACTTAATTTATTGATTACCTCATGAATACGTCAATAGCTAAGTAATTACATGTAGTCTATTGTCATTTCATTATTCAGTGCGTAAAAGTCCGTGTTTTGTTATTCATGACATCATGTTTCACAGGCGTTGCACAATCAATAAATAGGTTCCCATTAATGTTTGTCAATTTATTTTAAGCCTGTGTCCGACCAATTACCAGCTCACCTAACAGTCATCGTGCCATGCTTATTTATATTGTTAGTGTGATTCAGACGTGTCCAAAGATCAAGAGCCTATATTTGCTAAAACTTAAGAGTTTTAATTCGCATACGAAATCGCACATTACGATTCTAACGATACGATTGATATTTGGTACTCCTGAACGTATCATATTGAAGTCCGTCGTTTCAGCCAAATGACGTCGACTGCTGGACAAAGACCTCCCAAGGCTTTTCATAACGACCGGTCCTACGCTGCCGCATCCAGGTTCTTTCCGCAACCTTCACCAGATCGTCAGTCCACCTGTAGAAGTCCTGCCCACGCTACGTCTTACGGCCCATGGTTGCCACTCGAGAACTTATCTGCCCCAACGGCCATCGTCTGTACGTGCTATTGTTGTAGTGTACATTGTATTCTAAAAATTGAAGTTTTAATGTATATAAAAGTTCAAGTCCGTTCAAAGGTCTAAACTTACAAATTCCTCCTTTTCTAACGTAATCGGTTGGATGCCATTTGTGGTGGGGATGCCATCAGTCACGGCACCCCTTGCAGAACCGCTGACGGTCAGCAACAGGTGTAAGCAGCCATAGCCACATTCCAAATCAAGCCAAAGATCTTGAGTCTTCTCCCTCTCAAGGCGGGAGAGGTTGATGACACACCTGAAAGTGTTAGAGGATGGGCAACGATTATTTTGTTGATTTAATACTTAGAGTGTTCAAACACGTATGACTACGAGATACAAAATTAAAATGAATGACTAGAGTGTTTACTTTGGTAATCAAAAATGTAAACAAGTACCTACGAGGATAAGAAAACATGTTTTGTATCTAAGTAAGTAGGTATTAATTATTCTCTACTGGTTTTCTTGCAATAATCAATGGTTCAATGGCAATTTCTGTAATTAAATGAAAATGAGTGACTATTAAAATAGATCAAGGTGCAGAGATTCCTGTATGATAGTTTAAGATGAATTATTGATAATTTAATTCGTGTGAACAGATTAATAGGACTTGTATACTGTACAAAGCTCAGGGCCAGTTTTACCGGTTCTTGACAAAGTTTCAGTACCATATAAATAACTGACAAAAATAAATTTGTCAGTTATATGGTGCTGATTTATCATTGAGTTCATCACTTTGTTATGTAACTTATCTCTTTTCTAGACGAAAGTTTTAGTTCATCTGGTAGATAAGTTCTTTGTTGATTGGCTATTAGGGACTTAGGCTGGGTTGCACCATTTTACTTTAACTTTGACCAACGTCAAAAATCCGTCAAACTCCATACAAAAAGCACCGGTTATCGTTATAGTTACGGTCAAAGTAAGGTGGTGCAACTTAGCCTTAATAAGGCATCGGTGAATGGCCCTAAAAAAACAAATTACTCGTACATACCGGCCCATGAAGTTCTTCTGTTTCCCTTTGTGCCACACTGTGATTTCTAAGTTATTATCTTCATAGAGATATAAGTTGAAACGTTCACACCACATAGGCTTTGATTTGCTCACTTGCTTAGATTTGTGGGTTTCAGCGCCTAATCTGTAACAAACAATGAAGAAGAAATTTATGAAAAGAACATTTATTTATAACAAGCGACCCGCCCCTGCTTCGCACAGGTACAATGTTAAAAAACTTCCTCTTAATTCAAAAAACAGCATCGCGTTACTTTACGGAAATCCATAATTAGATAAGTATTTAAAAAATAAAATTACATCGCCTAACATCTCCGTCATTTATCACTAAGCGGAAATCTTATGTGAAGTAATTTTATCTTTTTAATATCTGAAAATAATTAATACCTAACGATTGTTAACATAGGATTTCAAAAAAATACAAAATAGCCTTAAGTAGTTCTAACGTGATTAATTAATGTGACTTTGAACAAGTACCACTTTATTAAGCTCTACACATTTTGAACTTTCTTGGAAAAACCCAGTGCGTAAAATTGCAGAAGGTTGACGCAGTTATGGCAAAACCGCAATCGCAAAAAAGTATCAATATTTAATAAGCAGGCTGTCAAAATGCGTTTAAAATATGTCTTTAACGCATTGACCAGATCCGTCGATAAAGCTTGCTTAATTTATTTTTAGAAAAACCTGTTGGTATAGTCATGTATGCGACGACAGTAGCCTGGACTGGAGTATCATGAGGTTTAGTTATGTACTGTACTACTTATATCTGATGATAATGATTTGTTCACTGATAATCATTAGGTACTGTATTGTTTTACATAGGTAAGATCTTAAAATACGATTTATTTGTAAAGATAACAGCAAACATGACCAAGTAAGGGAAACCCTTCTTTAAACCACAGCACACTCGAGTTCATGTAAAATATGAATCACTATGTTTGACATACATAGAATTATCTTGTCATGGACGATTTGTGGAAACATTATATTTTATTTATAGCTGGTTAATCCTGAAACATGTATGTTTATTTGAAACTCATCTATTTAACAATGTAGCTATACATCATGATTAATTGTTATAATTGTAACTCACGCATTGCAACGCATTGACCAGGTCTGTCGATAAAGCTTGCTTAATTTATTTTTAGAAAAACCTGTTGGTAGAGTCATGTATGCGACGACAGTAGCCTGGAGTACCTATCAAAAGGTTAATTGTGTACTGTACTACTTTATATCTGATGATAATGATTTGTTCATAGGATTAATTCACTGATCATTAGGTACTGTATTGTTTTACATAGGTAAGATCTTAAAATAGGCTTTATTTGTAAAGATAACAGCAAACATGACCAAGTAAGGGAAACCCTACTTTAAACCACAGCACACTCGAGTTCGTGTAAAATATGAATCACTATGTTTGACATACAATTATCTTGTCATAGGCGATTTGTGGAAACATTATATTTTATTTATAGCTGGTTAATCCTGAAATATGTGTGTTCATTTGAAACTCATATATTTAACAATGTAGCTATACATCATGATTAATTATAATTGTAACTGCAAGTAGTTAAGTTAATTGAAGAGTCTGCCAATAACTTTTTATTTTCTGACGTCTTTGCTGTCAAGGTAGCCATTCAACCATAATGTTACGGCACCTGTGTAAAATCTCAATACGGAAATTAACTAATTATTAGGTACCTACTTACTTGAATTTGCAGTAAAGCCCATTAGAGCCGTTCGTCGGTCCATCGGGCAGGTCCTTGGCTTCTACGAGTACAACGTTTACAACGTACTTCCATGATTTCTTTGTCAGTATATCCAGTCTTCTGTTTTTCATAACATACTGCAACACAGCAATAAGGTTGTCTCATTAAATATGAATAATACAACATTACAAATGATTTCTTAACTTAAGACCTCGGATGCTTCGGTCGAGAATCGAGATATAAACTTTTCATGTTCCAAACGGAAGATGCAATTCGCGAGATATTCGTTGCTAGATCATAAATGGATTAGTACATAGATAGATACTAAAGTGCGGAAGCTATTCATCAATCTCCATCAAACCGGCTGTTGACAGCTATTTTAAGATTAAGTATTCAATTGAGATGTTCCATTCAGAACGATATCACAATTTTTCTGCGTCAAGAATCTAGACATACCTAATGCCAGTTAAGAAATATACATAAGTGTGCGACTTCAGTTATTACCAAGGTACCTACACGATACACTTATTTTTATAATAAGTTTCAGGAAATTAAAACAAGCTGGGAAAATGAAAAGGAAAATGTTAATTTAGATTTTCTTAACGGTTCCATAATTTTATTAACTCTACCAAGAATCAAAGTTGGTAACAAACGCGCTCATAGCGAGGTGGGCAGTCGATCTAAGGTTGGATATTAAATGTAAAGTTACACTAATTGCTAACTTTTAAAACGTTATCTCGTTACATCAACCTTTTAGATGAGTACTTAATGATTGATTTATTCAATTTTCATTACAGATACTTTACCTTCTGAACTTTCTTCCCATGGTCCCTGAGAAGGGAGAGACCGCTTCCAATGCGGCCCATAAGCTCGTTGGAGACCGCAAGCGCCGTGGGCGCCAGCGGGTCCATTACCAAACCTTCCGGGATGGGGAACGACCTGAGGACAATGGTATCTCTTGAAGACTCATTCCGCTTTACAATGGAGGGAAGTCGAACCTTAACTTCGAACTCCTCCTATGTTCTTCTGATTAATTTCGTTGCGGGTCCAACTCCGATGACAGTTTAACTTTCCCCGGGGACAAACTTGACCTTTGCTGTTTGGGTTTTTATTGGCGGTCAAGCTGTAGATCCCGGCTACACAGGAGTTGCAGCGGTGGGAATGAGAGGTGGGAATAGTCCTGTTGAAGACTCATTCAGTCAGACTACAATATCATATAATACAATATGACTTACCTTAGATGTCATCGAAGTACAGTCGACAGCACATCAGACTAAGTATAGGCACATTTTTGCAAAATAGCACCTATCAGATGCCTCATGCCACGTACAATGTACTGTCGACTGTACAATGATGCAGTCAGTCTATGACGTCTTATTTGTTTATGTATTTTCATTTACCTATCACTTTTGATTCTTCTTACCAAAATCAAGAAATATAAGAAGATATTATGTTAGAGCAACCAGTACTATTTCATACAAACTCTTTTCCAAATCAGGTATTAATCTAGTATCTATAAGGCAAAAATCAACATTTTTTGATCGGCAGCTTCTGCGAGTAAAATAACGATGAACAAATCAATCGGCTGAAGTGATTTTGTGTGGTGCAATAGGACCATCTTTTAATTTTATTAAGCATTCAATCCAAAATTTTAAAATTTTGAAAATAATCCGGCATAATAACATCTTCTATACACAACAACCGTCATCCGTTCTGAGAATATCAAAGTTATTGAGGGTGAAACTTTTCCACGATACAACATAAACAATGGGTAAGAAGTTAACGTTGTTTTAGGACTCAGGTATCTTTGTTAAAAATGGTCCTTTGAAGTAGATACTTATATTAGTTGATCTCAAACGTGTTAGGGGAAAAAACCTCAGACATAGATTATTACCCCATTTAGCGTGGAAGTTTTCTACGTTCGCCACAAAGGACCATGCGTCCATCTTGTGGTTGAATACCGGTAAAACCTGAAGGGTAAACTTTGTAGTTACTGATTTGATGAAGAAATTGAATCTCATTGTTATAATACTATAGGTACCTACTTCTATTACCGGTTCATGCAATGTTTAGTCGGTTACAGTGTTTTCAGGCTTCTATTTAATTCTTAAATGTAAAATCTAACCTGGTTACAAAATGCTGTAAGTAGTACACTAGACAATAATTGTTGTGACTCACATACTTACATGTATTAAATAAACAGATATTTTCGAGAATTTGAGAATAAATAAAGACACCAATAGCCCAAAGGGGTCGGCATTGGACTACCGATTCGGGATTCGAGGAACTCTAGTTCGATTCCCGTCAGCCGCTAGACTAAGGCTGATTTTCACCACCTAACTTTAACGGTAACTATAACGATAACCGGTGCTTTTTGTATAGAGTTTGACAGATTTTTGACTTTTGTTAAAGTGAAATTAGGATGGTGCAACCCAGCCTAATTGTCGTAACATAAGCATACTTGTTCGGGTTAACGGAGTTATTCCTATATTTTATAGCGACAAATACTAATTAACCATAGTTTATTAACTTATGGAACTGTGTAACTTGCGAGTTCATAATCCATATCAAATCATTCAGGCATTCCATTGGTCGTAACATGAGCTAGTAGGTATGACGCTTGTGGTGGCACATGAAGTCTGATATGTTTTATACAATGTTGATTAGTTGTGTTATTTAATAAGTTCATGATTTTCATAAGATCCCCTGTACCTATATTGCGCGTTAGTTACGCAAAGATCTCTTTGTATTCAAATTTTATTGTATCCATTGAAAACGGCGCGACCTACAAAACGCGGAAGTAAGCAAATTGATAAAAGTCATTCTTTAGTTGGATATTCAAGAAAGGTTTCTACAACTGAGCCCTCAGGCTAGTAGGTAAGGCTAATAACTAGGTATAGTGCATTCAGCTGCACTTTAATGAGATGAGATTTTCTTAGAGTTTTTGTTTATTATCTTAAAGTAATTTATTCTTCAATTAAGATAGCTATTAACAAATACTTAAGCACCTAAGTATTTATTTAATACAAACTTGTTAGTTTCTAATTAGGTTTATGCACGTGTGATAAGGTAATTTATAGAATGACTACAAAGGTTACTTTTTATTTTAAAAAAAGTCATCGGAATCTACCTACCTACACATAGGTATGTCGGAACTTTTTATTTTTTATACGCTACTTCCTAGAAGGATGTTTCTTTTTTATTTCGGTGTGTCTGTGACTGTTAAAGATTTTTTCATAAGAAAACAGGAAAATTTAAATAATTAGACGTCTCTTTTGAGAAAGGTCGATTTAATTCGCACACCCAATGCAACTCATTCATACGTGCGCGTTAAAATCTTATAGACGGATCGAATACGTTTTGGTGGGAAATAAAAGTGAGCAAGAAATGATTGATTTAGTAACCTAGTACTGAATATTAGTAATGCATGTCTCAACTTTTAGAATGAGATAGAAACATTGAGGTCACATGTCACTTTTCGGATTTACCTCAAAAAAGCTTTACTCCGAAGAAATGGAATCAGAGTCCTGTAATATAGAGCCTATCACGAAATAGTTTCAGAATAAGTAGGTATGTAGAAATTAAGAATACTTAGGTACTCATTACATAATTTGTAATAACATAGATACTTAGGTAGAGGTACAGTCGTGATTGGAAAATCGCAGTTTTTATTAAACGACCAGACTGCTTTTTATCGACAATGTTACACGAGCAAAAAGTTATTTACTTTGAACAGAGGGACAATGCTTTTGAAACCTCGTTGAGGTCACCGAGCGAAGGTCGCTGGACGCATCCACTCCTGGTCAATTAGTGCTGGGTTTTCCGCGTTGTATGAGAGCAAGTGACTTTTGTAAGGGCCTTCTGTTTTTATTATGCATCATCGTATGTGGAAAAGTATTTCTTGTATTGTAACTTTTTACGATAGAAACTTTAAAACATGCCTTTTTGGTAAGAGGTAATTTTGTGGTATTACAAGGTAAGAAGTGAATAAACATCTTCAAAAATATTTACGATTCCGAAATTAATAAGTATTGACATGAACAGCGTCTCTACATGTATAATATGTGAATTTTGGGTTGACTTTTTTCCTGTTGAACTTTTACCTTTGGTTCTCCTATGGGAAGGTTTGGTTAGCTAGCCATTGGATTTACTGTACTAAAGTACACTATAATGAGACTGTTTGCCAGTCTTACTGTATAGTTATCACGCATTACAACTCTTTTGGGATTTGGCGCTTCGTCCTTTCCTGTTCGCTCCTACATACAAAACGAGCAAATTAACGCAACGACCTGCGCGTCTAAAACTTCGCCACCTTTTAACCCTTTGTTTGGAATGGACCAGTCTCTACGAGAATACAGAAAAAATGGTGCAGTTGCCCAAAAATAATGGAATTATATTTTTTTTACAATTCAATATTGCAAAAAATTAAAGACACCGGTTTTTACCCTTGTATTCAACATATCGAATCCGGTCGTCAAGGCCTTCGCCCTATCTTTGTTGTGTGCCAGTGAACTGGATTGATCGGGAACAAGGTCAAATCATATCATAAGGTACATAAATAACGTATTCAATTCATTTCAAGTTATCAAGAACTCAGACTGTAATGCAGACAACGTAACCGAGTATCCGTGACATTGTTCATCTGATCTATCTAGGAAACGTTTTGTAATTTGCGATTGTAACGATGATTTATAATTTAATTAGCCAGTAACTATTTAAAAGCTTGTGCTAACAAATCAATTTAAAACTTACTCTAGGGATTCTTAGAAGTTATTTGGTAGGTGTGTATGATACCCATCAGTTAACTAAAAAATTAAAAGGCTGAAGAAATGCACCTACTCGTAAGTAACTAAATTACTAAGTTATGTGTAGAAAATAAGTAGGTACACCAGCATAAAACAATGAATTCAATTTAAAATTCTAATGTACAGAAACGGGCCAACAACAATTTAGACTTTCTTTTGTATAAATTATGTTAAATAAACTTATCGACAACACATTTCGAGTTCAATCACCGACTAAAAAGCTATAGGTGGGTAGGTGTTGTAAACGCGTAATCTATCATTGTGTCACAATCGTTATCACCGGGAGATAGAGCAGATGTTCTCTATCTCCGCACTTGATCTTTATCAATACTCACGGTCTATACTGCCGCCGAAGGTCACGTAAGTCGCTCTGTGTGCTATCTCGCGATTCACTTATCGAGCTGTTTTCAGCCGAACTGCTCTCGGCACTCTCGACACCCTCGGTAGAGTTTTCGGCAACTTGCGAAACTGTACCGGTCGATTGTTCGCCAGACGGCGCAGTTTCGACATTTTCCGGAGCGTTCGAACTGTCTCTTGGATCACTGACTAAGGGCAACGCAAGTTCTACTTCTTTATCTTTCTCAATAAAATTTAACACTTCTGTATAGTTGCTGCACTCCAAATGGCGTTTCGTTCTAAACGATAGTTTGCGCTTAAGCGACATCACGTCCAAAGTTACACTGATCCGTCAATTCAAATGATTAAATATCGTATTTTATACTATTACAGATACCTTGCCAGTGATTTATCAATAAGGTGATAAAATACAAAAATAAATGCAAGCAATCGATGACATAGCAGTGAATCTTCACTGAGAGAATAAACATAGTGAGGGAAATAAAAGGTATTGTTTTTGAAATTGATAGTGACCCGCGGCCGCAATTAATTGTTTTCGTCATTGCGGTAACTAGCTAAGCTAATATGCTTTTGATCATTAAAACGTAATTATTAAATGATAGCGTTGATTGTGTACAATTCAATGTACATACCTGTCTTGGGCAGACGCGGTCGATGCGAAGGTGTACAATTGACTGATTTCGCGCGAGATCGAAGCCTCCGGCTGAGGGTTTTCCAGTGATCTTGGCGCCTTTTTTCTGCACCTTACGTCTGTATGCAAACACTCGATAACTGTTTATCTCGCACCGGCCGACCGAAAACGTGTCCACCCGACATATGAACGACAATACATGTGCTCGGCCAGTATTATTGGAAATGGATCGTTGTGCGCATAAATTACCATACAGGTACACTGACGTCACTTACGATGCGATTAAGGAGCGTATCACTGGGTAGGGAACTGAAAAACAGTGACCCATTTTTTTAAGAAACTGTACTAAACACACAGCGATCTTACATCGTCAGTTAGACATTTCTGAATAAGTAAATGTTAAAAATTGTGGTCCTGTCGAAAAAAAGTCGATTAGTTTTAAGTACCTATAATTTAAAGTTGCCTAATAAGTGATATTATTAATTTAGTAATTTTTATGAAGCTCATTACTTACTTTAATTTTATCAGTCCTACTTAATCTATATATATAAAAGAAAGTCGTGTTAGTTACTTCGCTTATAACTCAAGAACGGCTGAACCGATTTAGCTGAAAATTGTCAGGGTACCTCCCTAGAGCCAGGAGAAGGACATAGGATACTTTTTATCCCGTTCGAAATATATAAAAAGTCTGCTTATTTATTGCCATTAAGGCGGAACAAAGTTCGCCGGGTCAGCTAGTAAAGAATAAACGTGAGCCTGCAAAAAATATTTCGTTAAAAGTCAACACAAAATAAAAACTATTGCATAGGAAGACACAGATAGAATACATAATATAGAATAAATAATAAGTAAATAGGGTGTAGACTAGAGTGAGAGTCCTGACTAAAGTAGCAAAATAAACTATAATATCTAACGTCATTCATCCAATGTAACCACTCTACATCTGTAGGTATGTAACTGGTTTGAATGTTTACCTTACACGCGTACCTACCTACGTCATTAATGAGAGTCAACATGACGTCATCGTTAGGGGAAAACGGAAATTTTCTTTACGCAAAACGCTTAAGAAAAGAGCTTTTTTAATTCTTTTACCGTAATGCAGAACAAAGACAAAATGTCCTCCTTAGATTTTAATTAGCTAATTTGATTTCTGTTGCTTGCGATTCAAAACCGGAAATATCCGTGATTTTTCCATTGACAATTATTGCGCTAGCGGTGTCACGATATCTAGGTAATTTTAAAAAAGCAATACCTTTGATTGTAAAATAACGAAGCCTTTTGGACGAATGGGGTCAAATTATACATATAAACATTTCCTTTCCTTTTTTCCCAAACAACTGTTTTCTCTGGGTTGTCTGGAAGAGATCGCTATCTAGCAATAAGACTGCATTATAGTGCCATTTTGAATTCCTTTCATTTGTCAGTTTTAAATAGTTCCTACGAGTATTGCAATAAATACAATGCTATCTATTGACGTTTTTAAGTTAGTCATAGCAACCTAAGTATTATGTTCAATAAGTATGAACCAAGTAGGTATCGAAGTTAATTAATTTTATACTCAGATCTCACGTGCTGGGTGAGGGCAAATTTTCCCCCTGAGTTTGGTTTTGAAATGCGCATCGCTATGTTGGTCGAAACGCAACGAGGAAAATAGTGTTGATAGAGTTTTGGTACGAAACCACACAAAATACTTATGCATCGATTTTAAAAGTAAATAAATTATGTTTAATTAAACAATTTATTTAAATCATAGGATTTCTGAAAAACTAAGTAGTATTAAAATCAGACTGGAATAAAAAGTTACAAGTGTTTAAACTTTGTATGGAATAGCTGAGAGTGACATCAAATATCACTCGCCCATAGTAACTTGTATGGGGATGGGGACTGCGTGTCGTTCTAACAATACATGACCAATGACGTTAGAGGTATGTCTTTAACTTAGGTATCTTTTGAAAAACACTTATTGATTTGATAATGCCAAGGCTACTGAAATGTGAGAAATAAAAAAACCTTGCTTATCTACTTATTTCCTATTGCAACCGCTGTTGCGCTGCACTGCCTACTCCGGAGAGATATATTATCGTAATATGCGTCAGGGAGCGAGGGTCGCAGGTTCAATCGCAATTATGACATTTTTAGGTCATGTTCGCCTTGTACTAAGTGGTTAGGCCATTGCTAATAATAAATACTAAGACCACGAGTCAGACATTGATAGATTCAGCTAAGTTTATACTCAAATATTATGTAGACAGATCTTAGACGGAGTCAGAGATTAGATATACTTAATTGCCCTTATCTTTTTTTATTAAGTAGCAACCTTATGAAAAACAAATGAAACCCGCCTTTAGTACTTAAAAAACAACACAAATTACTTCTAGAAAAATTGCCACACACCAACCACACATTCTTAAACAGCCAAATAAATAGATTAAGCTTTAAGAAGAAATTGTTTTGCCTGAAAACTATTTTCTTTGCTTACACTTAATTAAGGAAACAAATTAACATGTCTACTTATTATCTCCTTATACGATTAATCACTTACATAAATATTAAGTACACTTGATAGCACATCAGACTCTACATTTTTGTTGCAAATCACACCTTTTTACAATCACATAAGGCGCCATTGGTTACCTTGATGCGCCGTCTGAACTTACACTTGACACGCGCGAAAGGTCGGTGTACTACACGGAGCATCCTGTCTGAGGACCTTGGAGATAGGTAGTTCCTGATAGTCGCGCATTTCGACTCGCTGCCCTTCAACTTGGATGTTGACGCTTCGAAAGGGCCATCGAGGTAAAATTAAATGTCACTTGTTATGATTAAACACACACACATCACTACTTTTTTGCGAATTTAAATAAGCCTTTCAAAGCTTTGAAATTAATTGGTAGATACGAGTAATACGTATTGTTACCTACTTACCAATGTAGGAAATTTTAAGTTTTGAAACGAAAGGTCCTTCGCCAAAGTTAAGGAAAATGTACTTGTACACTTGTACTGTGAATTAACCCGATTGTAGGTAGGTACAAGCAAAAAGTAAACTTTACCCCACGAGGTAACTAATTAAAACCTTTGAAAGACGCATTAAATCATTAAAACAATGATGATGGATGCCTGCAAGCAAATGAGCAATCATGTAGGTATGTTTACAATGTGTACCTACCTTGTATCTGATTTGTTTGACATCCTGAGCCCCGATCACGGTAATTTTTAACGTCAACAATCCAGACACGCTTCTCGATTCTGCGATACGATTGGTCGTTCAACAGCGTACGTCAGCTGTTTTGACCAATCGTATCGCAGAATCAGAAACGCATCTGGATTGTAGACGTTATAAAAGTTACCGTAATCGGGGCTCTGGTACAATTTCATCGTAAATACCTACACGTAAGCACCAGATACCTAATAATTATACAGGGTGTCCCAAAAAGTAGTGTCAATCCGAAGTCCAGTCACTAGGGCTATCCAAATCAGCCCCATTGTATGTCCCGCGATTTTTGATAGTTTTCGAGTTATGATTTGTTCTTTTCTGTGCTTAGGCACTTTTTTGGTCACTGTGGCGCGAATAGTCAAGTTACATGCCTGATTTCTTTATTATTATTAGATGAATACTAGGCCTAGCTGATTCAGAAGTATTTATATCCATAACATGAATGTAAACTAAAATCCTGTATGTTGTTAAACTATCAAAAGTCACGGTGATTTGGGTAGCCCTAGCGATGCTCTACCTCTGGGCTTCGGCTTGACACTACTTTTTGGGACACCGTGTATATCTGTAATTCTGTATGATTTGTGTCTAATGTTACAAAAGAAAAACGAAAGACTAACGAAATTAAGTACTCGCGTTCCTATAAATTGCTTTTAGCACGCTTTTGTTATCCACTGTTCATAGGTTTAGGTAGGTACCTACTTATTCCACTTTGTCACCCAGCTGGTGAAAAAAGTGGAACTTTTAGCGTCCTCTTTTCACCTCGGAACACCATGACAAGAGGATATAAATCAGCTGAATTGAAGTCACATCCTACCTATTATACACCCGCGTCTCGCACTTAATTTGCGATGTCACGTAATTTAATGAGTGCAAATGTTTTGACCTAAAGGAGGGAGGGAGATTATTTAATTGGAAACTTCCATGGGCGGTATAATAAGTAGGATTGTGTGTGAATCTAATTTTATCTAAGTAAATTTTCGTTGAAATACTTAATAAATTTTCATTCCTTGAGCTACAACTATTATTATTGTTTACACAATACATTGTATTCTTTCATAACCTATGTTAGGACTTCGTGTTATACTTCTACAGAACTACTGTCACTGCTGCCTTACTTAGGCTAGGTTCGTACGTATGTGGTAGTTTTTCAAAAGTAATTTAGTTATGACGCCTACAAAACCACATAAGGCAACAATATACATGACGTGAAACAGTGAATTGCACAAAGGTCTACAAAGGCTAGAGCGCATTTCCGTTAGCCGGCCGGCGCGGGCGCACGTCTTGATGTAGGTCTCATGCCATAGACCAGGGGCCGGGTGCCATCGATCCGATACGATTACGGAACGAAGTAACTCTAATAATCAGACAAAAAACACCGATGCGAAAGCCTTTCGGAATTATAACTTTATCTAGGACATAATAAAATAAAAATGTAATAAAAATTAACATTTATTTAATAAAAAATCTTACCTTAAATATTACTAAACATACTTCTTACTCTTAAAGATTACTTAAAATGTGCAGCAATACATATAATTATGAATTAAATCAGTAACCTACTTTAATGATTAAATACACTTTCTTTTATTACTATAATTAATTTATTATTTAATGATTGGAAATGAAAATGATACACAAGTATCAAATCAAGTCAAGACAGTCAAAATTAAATCAGTCTGTTACTAAGTGTGCATTCTTCTAACTTATAAATAATTTGTGTTCTCAAAAATGAATCATAAATGCAAAACAATATGATTTAAGTTACATATTGCTACAAAATATTTTACTAAGTAAACATTTATTTTATATCACTAATTAACTGGTTACAAAATTATCTACTGATTTACAATTGTACTGTAATTTGAACATTAATCAGATTTTGATGAAATAGCAAAATTTGACGATAAATCAGTTTCAGGGCAAATTAACAAAATCAGCAAGTTACATGGTTCATTAAACATTCTAAATAATAAAATGTTAAACTAACAACAGCTTTATAAGTCTCAAATGATGAAACTACACACAAATTGAAATTAAAGTACCAGGACAGGATTATACGATGGTGAATCATACTTCCTACACATGACACATATTTAGTCATGAGCACTTACATAATTACATTTATTTAAGAACTGGGAATAACCAATTTATTCTAACAATACAAGTTACTAACATTATGGAAATAAACTAACAGTCACAAAATAATTTGATAAGCACCTATTAAACATAAATTCTGGGCCAATTGTCAATATATCAATTACAATCTAAGGGAATGTTAAAAATGAACACTTTATGTAAATTCAAGAAAAAAACATATTTTTAATACTGCTACAGTCATTTACTTTTAGGACTACAAAGAAAACTGTAGAAAAGAGGTCATATACAAGTCACACTATCAAAAAAAAATTTGTTGCTGCCTTACATAAAATACAAATGTAAAAAAACTTAGATATGTTTCTGTACAAAGTAGTATCCAATCTTAACTAGGTTTGAAATAGCCCATACACTGGGCATCAGTCTTTTGGGGTTTGAATTTGTCAGTGAACACTTCTACTTGGTCATTGATCTGAACTGTTTCTCATTGTGTCACATTTTAGTTGTGGCCTCGAGGGAGCGCAGTAGAGGTGCGCGGGCCATATACTAGAAACGATCTTTAGAGGCGTGCAGGTCCGGGTTGGTGAGGTACTGGAGCTCTTGCAGCTCCTGGAACTTCTCGTGGTCTCGAATATGTGCGTAATTTGCTGACAAGCACATCAGGTAATGTACCAAGCTCAGTATCACCAGTATGCATGAAACCATCGCCAGAATAAACATGAATTCTGCCTTTTCAACATAATCTTTACAGAACAGTTTCATTCTTTGAGCTTCACAAATCCTCATATCCTCTTGTTTCACAGTAGACGGAAATAGGAAGTCAAACTGGGTGAAGTCGATGCATGTCAATAACTTTATATTGTCTGGTTTGGAACACAATTTCCAGAAGACAGTGAAGAGGAATGTCGTTATTACTAGGAAACCTAGTAAAATAATCCAAGTAAACGTCAGAATGTAAGTAATTATCATGAAGACAGCGCATGATATCCGTCCGCCGACTCTTGCTCTCCAAACTCGGTACACTCTCTGTCTTGTGGCACCTGTTGTTAGGCAACCCAAACACAATAGCATGAATCCAAGGGCTGCCATGCAAGCGCTTCCAACTATAAATATCATTTGCAGAGCCTCGATCCATATCAAACGGAAGTGGAATACTTCATCAAACATGAGTATGGAGAGAGAAGACCCTCGATACATGGTGCCACAAAAAACCCCCACGCCCAAACAACACATAATAGTCGCGATGAGGGTAGCATGAGGAACCCTCGTCATACATTTTTGGCAAGCGTCACCCATTGTTTGTTGAAATTCTAATAAGAATTTATCACAAAATCACTGTTGTACGTATTAAATTAGAATTAAATAATCGTAAAATTCCGTCGAAAACCAACCACATCTGTCACACACAAAGAGAAAGTTTTTTTATTTTTTAAATTTTTTAAATGGCTGATAAATTTGACATTAATTCACAGATAATAAACGCGAGTACTACAGGTTAAAATAATGCCACGGTTATAGATGCGTCAGGCGCGTACTGATATATCGGTATCAGTATCCGATACGAGCGTGTATCCGAACGCATTTTAACGCCACGTCAAAAATGACACTCATTTTCTGTTTGACAGACCGACAGACGTCAATAAAACAAAACGTCAAATCCCGTAGAGTTGAGAGTTGAGATTTGATTCTAAAATAATTAAAATTCATGAAATTATTATAGAAATTTGAATAGAAGAATTGTAGAAATGGAAGTTTTATATCATCAAACAAATCAATTACTACAGGAAGCTTCAGATCTATTTCATAGGTTAGAAAAAGAACCAACGAACACTGACGACATCGAAAATGCAATTCAATCAAAAATTAATGCTGTTAACGCGTAAGTTACCTTATATTCTTTCCAAATCGTTGATATAATACTAATAAAACCTATCCACAGCATTAAAGTACACTACAATCTGTACTAATGATTATATTTGTGTTAATTATAGGAACTGCGAGAAGTTGGATATATTCGTTTTCAAGACACCAATCAATCAAAGACCAATGGCCAAGATGAGAGTGGACCAACTGAAATATGACAATAAACACATACAGGTGCATGCACTAAACAAGTTCATTTTAGAAATTTTATACTTGTACATAATACTCATTATAAAACTTTTGATAAGATTATGTTTTCAATACCTACTTAAGATGTTTTAGTGATATTTTAAATAGATAAGTTGAAAGATTTTCAAGTTTCAAAAACATAGATTTTTAAAGTAAAAACTTATTTATTACTGTAGCTATCCACACCTGGGAGAACTAGAAACTTATTTCAAATATAGATTTTTTTTGTACTTACTGTATATAGTAAGTCTAGCCTTATTAATAAACCTTTTTAATTAGAAAAATATAGCAACACTCTTTCCACAGGCCTCATTAGTAAACGCACAGAATAAAAGACGGAGGAGGGAGCAAGAGTTAGCAGACCGAGAACAGCTCCTAAGCCGAAGGTTCGGTCACGACCACACCGCCATCACGGTGGACTACATGGCTCAAGAGCAGACGTCGCTTGTCAATTCACACAGAAACGTTGATGAGATGTTACATACAGGTCAGTGTTTGATTTTACGTCAATAACTACAACAGAATTGACACAAATCTTAGGTTTCCACTCCTAATCTTCCTATGAACGTAGTAAAAGGTGACTATGGGGTAAAAGGCAACTAAAGGATAAATACAAATCAGGCATCCACCATTTTGTCTGGCTAGTATGAGCAAATCCTTTCTTTGCCTCTGGTAAATTAGAAACAGTAGTCTGTGTGCATTATAGTATGCATATTCTTATACTCAAATGTGAATCTATGTACAGTCAAGAAACTAATCACAGGCTTCAATCAATGATTAAGTTTGGAGCTAATTTTGAATGAGATTTCAGAAAACAATTTTTAGACATGCACCAATTCAAAGAGGTACTTGTTCATCATTTCTCAACAGTATTGTTCTATCTAGTTCAATGAAATCATGTTACAGTAGATTATTTATTTACTTGATTTATTATTATAACAATAAATAATGATATTTTTTCATATTATGGTCTAACTCATATTAACTTACTTAGTCATTACTGTGGTTGTATTTATGTGTAAATTTATTAAAAACAGGTTTTTGCTTATTGAAACCATCTAGTTGAATTTATTACAATATGTAAATTATACCTATCTATATATATAAAAGAAAGTCGTGTTAGTTACTCCACTTATAACTCAAGAACGGCTGAACCGATTTAGCTGAAAATAGTCAGGGAGGTAGTTTAGAGCCAGGAGAAGGACATAGGATACTTTTATCCCGTTCGAAATAAAAAAAGTCTGCTTATTTATTGCCATTAAGGCGGAACAAAGTTCGCCGGGTCAGCTAGTTTTTAATAAATTGACAATATTGATTAGCAATATCACTTGTGTGGGTTCTCCGTTCTGTGCATGTACTACTAACTTACTTAATAATGTAAATCGCGAGGAATATGAGTGTATCCCAACTTATCCCAACTTCCCAACTAATATTATAAATGCGAAAGTAACTCTGTCTGTCTGTCTGTCTGTCTGTCTGTCTGTCTGTCTGTCTGTCTGTTACGCTTTCCCGCTTAAACCTCGCAACCGATTTTGATGAAATTTGGCATAGAGATAGTTGGTGTCCCGGGAAAGAACATAGGATAGTTTTTATCCCGGTTTTTGAAACAGGGACGCGCGCGATAAAGTTTTTCTGTGACAGACAAAATTCCACGCGGGCGAAGCCGCGGGCGGAAAGCTAGTGGAAAATATAATTAAGTATGATTTTGCAAAAAACATGCTATAATCTGACACACTGTCGGAGGATTGTACACAACTTTGGTTAAAAAAACCATTGATCGTCAATATAATGGTATTGCGTAGGCGTGTGACGTCATTCGCGAAGAGCCCATGGTGTTATACCGGTCGCCGGCTGACCATCTACTCTGACGATATTTTCCGAAACAAATTACCTACTTAACACGCAATCTCCGTGATTAACACGAAGTTAAAAACAATACCTCGATTACCATTAACATGTAATTGAATGACGGTGTTATGTACAAGTACCTATATCGGCTTTCGAATAGTTTCGTTACAGTGAGCGATTGGCATTCCGGTTTTATTGTTTATGTTAAAAGAACCTTGAAAATTGTGCCAAGTTCGGTGAAGTTTACAAAAAGTTTGTATACCTACTGTATTTCTGTGTTAGATAAAACCAAATAACTGTAAAATACTATAGATTAAAAACTTACCACATTCTGAAGAAATAAAGTACACGACACAGCACAAGCACAATGTTTGTTTGTTCTTATCACATCACAACTGTCCAACGAAAGTGAAGTGTAAGGCAACGACAGCACGATCACAACCTAGGACGGCTACATTCAAGATCGAGTTAAACGTTGCTTATTTCTCAATAACCTATCGTACGTGGAACGGAGGTAACTCGGCAAATAAAAAGCGAACACGCTATCCGATTCATAGCAACTCCTTGACTGGACTCACGTTTGCCGTATAAGATTATTATGATGATTAAAACATGGCAACGAGTTGTATTGCCTCCGCCGTGTTTACCAGACTAATAACTGAGAAACGAATGATAATATAATAAAGGTATCGTAAAAAATGTTTACGGCAGCTCGCCGAGTTCTTCCTACATTAGTTTTGCATTGACTTTGAGCGTGATTTGGAATAGACTGGTTATGCTAATTTTTGCCGGCCTAACAGTAAACAATGTATCGGTTTAAAGGTAATAAATATTCAAACAAATGGTAAGGGTTAAATTAAGTTAGACCTTAGGTTAGGTTGATGGAATGGTACAGTCGAGTTCATATATTGGCAATGCTCAATGTTTCAAAATATTATAGCGCAGTAGCGCAGTCAATACTAGGTCTGTGCTACCGGAACATGTTAATGAACAGTTAATATGATCACATTTTATTGATGTTTGTATTGAAAGATATGATCGTTAAAACGCTAACAACATTTTGAAATATTGGCACTGCCAATATATTTATGAACTCAACTGTACAATTGATTGTCATAATGCTAGCAAGCGATCTCTTCCAGAAAACTCGATATTGCTTATTTGACAGCAACAAAATAAACACGTGATGCTAATAAATAATTAAGATACAAATTATATTGCGCAAAGTTGTAACAATTGAACTTTTTATACACATCATTGCCATTACAATGCAGTTCCCATCGTTCTGTCTCGTTTTTTAATTATGGTACATTTTTTCCAACACACGTTTGCGATGTGCCAGGCCATAATTTGGCTCAGTTATCCCTTGTCACGCGACACAACACAATAATTGCTCACAACATCTAATTACACCATTGAGACACTCCAAGCGAAATAGTTCTTCACTTAGGGCAAAGGTCGGAAAGTGCAGAATGTATGTACAGACAGCATACCAAGCTAAACCAAGCTGTAAAATGTGCCATTATGCAACAAAAATGTTAAGTCTGATTGCTGTCGACCGTACAAGTATTCCAATGTCCCAGAGTGTATTTTTGCAATAATAAAACGCTTATTTTATACACAGAAGGTCAATTAAGAAATGCAAAGTGCAGCAAGGACACTATTTTACCTAATTAGTAAGAGGGGATTGCAACGCTCAGAGTTCAGGGCAAAGGCCTTCACTGAACGAGTCCTATGGTATTCGTAACAAATTGAAAACCTTATAAAGAAAATGATAAAATAGAAATAACATTTTTAAAACAATCTCGACGCTGATACCGTCTGAAGGTTGATAAAAATGCGCGCTATTAGAATAAATTATAGTAATGAAGCCTATCTATGCGCTATATTGCATTAGTTTAGTAGATTCTTAACGCTGTATTCGCCAAAGCTAATTAATATTCAACGTTAACTTGAACAGTCTCCGCCAGGAAACATTGCTTCCTACTTAATGAGTATTTTAATTTTCGCTATGTTAGGTAGTCTTGGTTTCCGGCTAAGCAGATTCTAGTTTATTTTTAGAATTCAATATCATGGACTTTGGTGTTATTTCTAGCGTTTACTTTATAATTTAAACGGTCAATGTTACTTTGTTATGGTTGTCAAAATGAAATAAACAATGGAAAATTAATTTGCTGTTGCAAGATCATTGTATTAAAACGTAATTTAAAACGATTTAAAGATAAGACATCTCTCACTTACACCTATCTATTGTTTCCGAGCTAAAAGGGCAATTAAGACGTCCTTGCTACATCAGGAGGTTGTTAAATACATGTTTGTGGTGCAAGTGGAATGTAGCTATAAATATATTCAAATAATAAAACGAACGTGGGTATACCTACGTTTTATTGCCTTAAATTACCTATGGACTTTGCTTCTTTAACTTATTTTTTCCTCAGGTTTTAATCAATTTATACATGTATTAAATCTTCGTTGCGCCTTTTATAGATATACGACCTTTTAAATTGGCGTAGTGGTTAAAGTAATTCGCCTTGAAATCAGTTCCAAGTCTTGGTTTAATACATTAAGAGAACGATTTGTTCTAGATTCACTTGAATCTAGGTGTCTTTAATTCGAAGTTTTAGTTAGCTACTTCCTATATCGTACCTTCGGTAAAACAAGGGCGTGATGAAGTTTATTTTGACTACGATCTCATAAAGGTACGATCTCATATAGCAGGAAGGCGTTAAACCTCATAAAACTCATTTATTTCTGTAAATAGGCTTAAAAAAAGCACTTTTACGTTAAATAACAGGCCGCTACTAACCGGCAATTATTGTGGAAATCATTGGGGGATGCCTATGTTCAGCGGTGGACCTCCTATGACTGAAATGATGATGATGATGATGATGAAATTAATTGATTTTTACAGTTTCCATTTGCATACAATAAAATAGAGACTATAATAATTTAAGCCATTTTGTTACATTAAAACGTTTCAATTGTGCCCTTGAACCAAAGGTGCGAATTGTATACGAGGATGTGATTCTCCGTGATTGTCTGTCGCTTATTACATTTTGTTTTTTTTTTTACAAAACTAACTCGATTAATTTTGTTTACCAGGTTCTAACATATTGGACACGTTGCGATACAACAGGGAAACGCTCAAAGGCGCGCACAGAAGGCTGATCGACCTGGCCAACACAGTGGGGCTGTCCAACGCTACCATCTCCCTGATAGAGCGAAGGGTGGCGCAGGACAAATACGTACTATTCGGCGGAATGTTCGTCACTTTGGCTGTAATCGTCCTGGTTATTGTATACCTTACGTAGTTAAGTGCCTTTAAGTTATTTGAGTTCATCTTCAAACAAGCGACATTTATATTGAATGACTTGTGGTACAAAATCATTTATAAATTAAGTACCTACCTATGTTTGTTTTTTGTTTTGTTCGAGTAGAGGTCATTTTTGACAAGAACAGTATTTATTGCTCAGAATTTTAAAAAAATCGAAGGATTTATTATGACCATCGTATAAACTCAAGAATTAAATTGTAATTGACCGAATTTTAAAATTTTGTTAAAAATTACACAGATTGCAATCTTTAATCTATGCTTGAATCAAGTTTTGTTTCAGAATACGGCCTTAGGAATTACAATACGTTATCGACGGTTAAGAATCAATACCATCTATCTCAAGTTTTGGCGGTTTTCACTTTTTAATGCCAATAGATTTAAAGTCCAATTTGGCACAGGTTGTTCACACTCTTATCTCAATATTCACTGTATTTCCAAAGTTATTTGCTATAGAAATACCACCTATGTTAAGAGCACGAAAAATTTTCTGCCAATATTGTCTATCTCTCCTCAAATAATTATAGAAAGGTGGTAAAAAGTTACTTTATTCAGTATTTTTTACTTTCATTGTACAGTAGACGTGTTTCATTATATTTATAGCGTATGAGAACTTGATAATTGTAAGTTGAAAATCAGAAATACATGAAATAAAGTTGACAAAATGTTCACAACTTTAACTAATAGTACTCTTATTCAAAAGGCGATAGAGCGGAACCAAGGCTCCAAAGTGTTCGCAAGAGACAACTCTGTTAAGCTAAGCCAGCTCACTAAGTTAAAGACGGTGTACGGTAGTGTGACCGAGGTTCTGGGTGAGACTGATAGGCTTTACAGGCATACTTTGGTCGCCAAACCTGTTAATATGTAAGCCACAGATCCAAGAGCTGAGCTAACTCGATTACTCGACACTATACCGAAGATATACCGGATATCAGCCTATACGAGATTAGAATGACTCTCAAACAGCTTAAGAACAACAAGGCACCAGGTGATGACGGAATAACCTCGGAACTTCTGAAAGCGATTGGAACACCGATACTGATGATCCTTCAGAGGCTTTTAATTTCGTCTTACCCGAGGGAATAGCGCCAGAGGCATAGAACAGAACCATGGTGGTGCTTTTCTTCAAAAGGGAGATAACACTTTACTGAAGAATTACAGACCCATCTCCCTACTGCGCTATGTCTACAAGCTGTTTTCAAGAGTCATCACGAATCGTCTCACGCGTAGGTTTGATGACTTTAAGCCTCCCAGGCACAAGCCAATTTTCGCAAAGACCACATCCATACGTGGCAGGTATACAGAAGACCGAGGAGTATAAGTTGCCCTTTGCTTGGCGTTCGTGGACTTCGATTCGATCGAGACTTGGGCATTACTGTAGTCTCTTCAGTGGTGCCGTATCGACTATCGGTACATCGAGGTGCTTGTACAAAATGCTTCCAAACTCCAGAATTGGAAAGGATTCTGCATAAATATAAATTAATGGCGAGTAGGTACATCACTCACCTTCGGTTTGCCGAAAATATTATGGTCATTCGCTGGAAGACCTCTACACAATGTTTAAAGACCTTAATCGAGTTTCCCAACAAGTAGGTCTTCGGATGAAAATGTTATTAACGTAAAACACAATTTTGACTAAGATTTTGATATGCCTTATGCCACAGCCATAACTGCGTCAAAAAACCAACATCTGCAAGAAATCAAACTAGTTCTACCAGCAGAATGCCATGACTTTTATGATTCTTTGCCTCATTTGTAAAATACAAATTAATGTAAGGTATTTAACAACCTCATTTCATGTTATTGATTAATAAGCTACTTGATCTTTTACTAGTTATTTTTGTCCAATAGCACCTATCTAGTAGATAAATTCACCTTCGGTTTGCCGAAAATATTATGGTCATTCGCTAGAAGACCTCTACACAATGTTTAAAGACCTTAATCGAGTTTCCCAACAAGTAGGTCTTCGGATGAAAATGTTATTAACGTAAAACACAATTTTGACTAAGATTTTGATATGCCTTATGCCACAGCCATAACTGCGTCAAAAAACCAACATCTGCAAGAAATCAAACTAGTTCTACCAGCAGAATGCCATGACTTTTATGATTCTTTGCCTCATTTGTAAAATACAAATTAATGTAAGGTATTTAACAACCTCATTTCATGTTATTGATTAATAAGCTACTTGATTTTTTACTAGTTATTTTTGTCCAATAGCACCTATCTAGTAGATAAATATATTTTTTTTAACTCTTTTGAACCAATACCATCTAACTCAGGTTATCTTGGTATATGGCAATATTACGTCAATCTAAGTTTACATAACATTTTCCAGTATTTATTTACCTTTTTTAGCGATTTTAACATTTCTAGTAACTTATAAGCTGAAGCGATGAAACGTTTTTTTTATCTCCTGTAAAGTTGACTTTTTTGAGATAGATGGTATTGATTCTTAACCGTCGTTATGTAGCATTATGCCTTTATTTAAGTAGAATACATTTTAATCTTCAACCTTTGAACACTGTTATGGCACTCTTATGATCTTTTGAACAGACGTTGACATGTTTATGTTTAATAGCGCACTAATGGTTTTTACAATTAAATAAACAATGTTGTCATTTTTAGCACCTGTATTCTAAAAGGAATCGAAAACTGGGTAGTAACACATTGAATTTATTTGTTTCGTCTGCTAGGTTAAATTGGCAACTTTTATAACCAGTTTTTCTGTGTATTTCAAATTAATGTATCTCGTATTTTCTGATACAATAACCAGTTTCGAGCCTGAACCTAAACTATCTCATCAGGTTTTGACCAAAATTTTTTATTTTTTTTGAATTTATACCAAGTGTCTTGCTTACATTCCTTTATACCTACTTTGACGTGTGTAATAAAAATAGGAAACCGGACGGTGATTCATGTGAGCTTTTCTATGTTACTACATTTTATTATTATTTATTGTTATTTAGCATTTACTTACATAATATCGCTTATTTAGCTTTTTGTACTACGTATACAAGTTGTGTGATGTCAAGATCTAAAGTAAGCCCCGTGGATATGACTATAATTGTTATTATCGATGTAAAATATTGTATAAATATTTATAGCTAGGTGAAGTCCAATAAATGTTATTATTTTTAAAATGTATTTTTAATTTCTTAGTTCCCCAATCGTTCCAATAAAAAAAATTGTTACAATGCAAAGTTGTTTTTCAAGTGACTGGTTGTCAAGGGACTAAATTCTAAATAAATATTAGTTTCTCGACGCGACGTTGTAACTCACCTGTGACCTTTGAATGATGATGATAAACATTTTACTAGCCAAAATTACTTGAGTTAGATACCTATTGTGTATTGTGATGCCTATTGTGTGCCTACCTTACAAAACAAAAACATGTATCCAAAGTCCAAACAAATACCTTATACAGGGTGTCCCAAAAAGTAGTGTCAAGCCAAAGCCCAGAGGTAGAGCATACCATACCATAGAGGGCTACCCGAATAACCGTGACTTTTGATAGTTTTCGAGTTATATTTTTTTTACAACAACAAAAGTTAGGAACACTGTTTACAAAATGAATGTGACATTGATATAACAGGTATAGGTTATAAAAAATACCGAAAACCATGATTGTGTCAAGCGCGGCGGGCGGGGTTCGAACTCGGATTTCTGACTACTGTCATCCTGTATCAGATGCGAAATAGACGAGATCAACGGGATTATGTTCCTCAAGCAAGAGTATATTTATTTGGAAAACAAAACAGATTACATTCTTTACATGGTTTAAATAATACTTAAATGTAGATATAGACTAAATGTGACCCTAAATATGTTTTCACAGATTCAGTATATTCATCAATGTATAAAAAAGCTTTTTGTTTTTGCAGGCTACCATAAAATGAACAAAAACTGTAGCGCAAACCTGTGCGAACCGTCTCGGGTTGCTAATCGCGCATAAAAATTGGCCTTTTGCACTCGTGCGGAAGTCTTTATGATCAATGTTGTGGGTAAGGCCACGCAGTAATGGCTAAGAGTAGGCGCACACCCAGTGGCGGCGTAGCATAGGTTGGCACCCGGGGGGGCACCCCCCCCCCCCCCGTCATAATATAAATTATAGCCTAAGGCACCCCACAATGGCACCCCCCCTGTCATGACATCACGACCGTCCTTGCCATGCAGATGCGTCAGTGAGTACTAATCTGCCTGACTTTGTCACCCCCTGATGCTTGGCACCCGGGGCGGACCGCCCCCACCGCCCCCCCCTTACGCCGCTACTGCGCACACCGTCGATTTTTCGTCGGCCGATAGTTTAGTCGGGCAGTTGATCAGTATGGGCATGTATGGGAGTGCGCACACTACGCCGATTCGATTTGGCCGATTCTTCATACAATTTAAAATCGGGCACAACTATCGGCCAACTAAAAATCAGCGGTGTGCCTACTCTTAGTAGTGGGCCTGAACTTGGGGTCCCGCCATAAATGAAAGGTAATTCTAATTTCCGAAGAAAATGGAAAAGTTAGCAAAGTAAAATGATAATGAAATATCATGAAATGAAAACGTTAATTTATTATAATAATCAAAAATAAAAGTACACAAAATGAGTCAAACTCTAAAAAGTTTAGAATTTAGATTAAAATTCACGTAGGTCTCTTATGAGGGTCACAGCAAGGCATCTTAGGTTCGACATGCGGACAGGCGAAGGCCACGTCCTCTTCCTTCTTCTCCGCACAAGGCCCGGTGGCCTCTGGTGGGGGGTTGACGCAGACATCCACTTCTGGGGAAGGCAATACAGGGTGTTCGGCCACTCGGACCGCGGCTGGCGATATCTCGGGAACTTCGCGACGAAGCTTCTTGACTTTCTCGTACGCATCGGGGGCAAGACGCATGAACTCTGGCACCTTTGTGGTGGAGAAAAAACGGTTAGAATTTGTAGATGAAGATTCGAATGAGATGGAAACGAGTGTGAAAAACGAATTATGAGAATGTAAAAGGGTAACCTGACATTAAGAAAATCATTACCAGTATTGTAATTATTTGAATCTTTTTTAACCCCCGACTTTTACCTACTTAATTATTTAATTAGATGGTTGTTTGCCGCGTGTATGTACTCTACCTGGCTTGAAACACTAGATGGAGTTTAATGGTGAAAAAGTATATTTTATTAAAAAAAATATAGAAGAACCAAGTGTGAAAACTCAGCCTTTATGTAAATACGCGAAACAGATAAAATCTTACCTACCTCCTTACATCGAATAACAAAGAAACATAAAAGCAAACCCTATTTCCAATATGGAACAGCAGTGGCGATACTCATTAGCATTTTATTATGTAAACACATTGATATGCCGCAGTAGAACAATGTCGTTTGGCGAAATTTCGACAACATTCTCTTTGTTAGCTGCACCGAAGCATTCCGCATAAAAAGCTTTGTGCCTTCTGGAAATGGCACGTCCCATAAAAACGTCTTCAACACTATCGCGGCTGAGTGCTGGGCCAGCATAAATTTTCATTACAATCTTTGTAATAAATTCAGCTAACAGACAGCATTTCCGTGTAAGAAATCGTAGGAGCATTCCGCTTGCATTACGGACATTTTTACGTATTTACATAACCGAATTCAGTTGTAAAGAAAAAGCCTACAGTTTTAGAATTTAGGGTAGCGATAGCGATTAAATCTAATACCAAGGTGATGATTCTTCGACTAAGAATTTGTAGGTAAGTAATCGCCATGCTTCGTATCGATCTATGTTAAAAAAGCTTTGCTTACTTTGGAGATCAATTTGATAATGTCAGACTAGGTAACATGCTTGCGTTGCTTTATGTTCTATTAATTAATGTCCTAGTGAAAAGAGGTTTGAAGAAAGACAGGAAACTAACGGTCAACGGGCAGAGAATGTAGTTAATATCTACTGTCATCAAGCCCGCTAGTACAACGAGATGTGTCCTAAAAAGTGTAAATACTGAATAAAATAAATATACCTGTTTACAATCGACGCCATAAGTCCCAAGGTATCCCGGTAGCTGCGGCTTTTCTTCCTGCACCTCTCCAGTGGCGGCGGCCAGTTGGGCACTCGGGATGAGCTCGTAAGGACATTCGTCTCGTGCTCGGCGCTCGGCACGTTCCTTTGCATCCTGAGATTATGGAGGACAGTGGTTGAGGAAAGGGAGGACAAGGGTGGAGGGTAGGTGAGTTAGAGATTTCCATCTATTTATTTATTCCTGCCATGGGCACTCGGGATTAGCTAGTAGGGATACCCGTCCATTGCCCGGCGCTTGGCGCCTTCCTTTGCAATTTGCAACCTAGGAATATGGAGGACAGTTGAGGAAAGGGAGGACAAGGGAGTATGAGAATAGGTGAATTTTTAGAGATGTTATAACTATTTTTTTATGCTTAGGCATTAGGGAAGATCTTGCAAGCACACAAGGCCCGTACCCGGCGCTCGACGCGTTCCTTTGCATCTTTGGAATAAGTAGGGTAGCGGTTATGAAAAGGGGGACATAAAGGAGTGAGAGGGTAGGCGAGTCTTTAGAGATTTCGATATTATTAATACCTTTGTGCTTTGCACTTAATACAAATGCTGTAGGGTGAAGCCAAAGACGTTCCACGGATAATTACTTCATTTCAAGGTAAATGATAGAGACGTAGATTTTATTTCAATAGTACTGTCTTAAGAGCGTTTACGCCGTTTGGCGCAAAAACAGTACTTTTTCAACTCGTTACAATCGTTAACCAGTAATACTACAAATATGTAATAGGCATAAATAGTTAGACAATTTTGTCGTCTAAATAGTTAATTGAGAAAATATTGCGATTAGTATAGCATTTAAGAATTCTATCCAGATAAGTCCACACAGGTTTTGTAAATTTCCACTTTAGCGTCAGTTTACAAGCTGAAATTTTTATAAAAACACTGTGAAAACGATTTAACAAACATATATATCCTATAGCATAGATCCTTGGGCAAATAGTTATCTGAGAAAATTTTTATATTTAAGCATTTTACACTAAGAAATCACAAATTAAAAGAACGTGAAATACCCAAAAATCAAAGTGATTTTTTTACCAATATTCTTCCTTTATTCACCACAAAAATAGCATAATATAATAGAAGAATATCTTATCTAAAATATTTACTTTGAAATTTAAAATAATTCATTGTAATTTTTTTTCTATGAGTATTTGAAAACTACTATAAATCGGCGCGCACGAATCGTTCAAATTCAGTCCGCCTCGAGGCGTTCTAGAGTGAGGTCACGTCGCTCGNTAGAGCGTGAGAACACGCACACAGTCATAATTATTTTAGTGTGAATAAAAATAGCATCGAAATTACCTAAACTTGACATGCCACGCTAGACGTAAACGCTCTTAATCGCTCCGCCGCTCTGCACAGCATAGACAAAATGCACTTTTTGATCGAATCGAAAATAGAATCCGTCAACGTCAAAACTCCATAAAAAAAAGTCTTTTCGACAACTTTTCGACTGGTTTGCGATTATAATGTGCACTTTGTCTAGACCCACAGGGTTAAGGGTAAATGTAGGATTGTGGTGGTGATTTTCGATTGTTTGATTGTAGCATAGAAGACGCTGGTATTCTACTGCTCCTTTAAAGTAAAGAAATGCTTGAAATATTTTGATTTATATTTTAATTCAGTCAATCTATTAAATTTACAGCCATCATTCATATTTATCAAATTACCTTAACATTCAAACTAAAAAAATACAAGATGGAAACAATAATCTAGTGATGTCACTTATCGTTTTTTTTCATCCTGTATATGACAAGAACCATGATCTTTGTTTAAAATGTAACGGTACCTATTGGTACTAGAGATACACCCTGATAAGTATTTCACATATTAAGCAAATGTAATAAGTTTCGACGCATTACGTATCACAGACAAAATTCTAGAATGTATGTATTTATTTTAACTTAATGCAAATGTCTGACATTTTTAGTGCTGCTGAGATGAATCACTTATTTCTAAAGCCGCACTCAACTGTTCTGGACACTTTGGGTCACTGGGTTCCGTCACAACAGTACACACTTGCTGAATTGCCTTTGGTAATTTAAACTCCTGACTGGTTTCAATCACTTCACGTCTTGGCTTTCGTAATGGCACTACAATCGTTCTCACTATAGGTGTTGGACTCACTTCACTTGTCTTCTCGCTAGAACTAATAGATGAACTTGTCTCTGCCGTCTCAGACCTAACCGTCATAAGGTCCAACTGTCTTCCTTTGCCAGTAAATAGTTTGCTGACATTCATTTTTTCATTCACAGTTTTTGTGTCGCAAACATCATTCCTTATCATCTGAATCTCATGATCACTCAACAGTTTTTTTTTATTAATAATTGAGAATTGTGATTGCAAGTTTGATCTGTAGACTTTTGTGCGTGGAAATGAGACAGCAAACGCTCGCTTCATCTGGGCGAATATTTTCTTTGGGTCCTTTTCTGTTTGGCTCAGCTTGTAATACATTTGGACGATGTAGCGGTTCATTTCGTCGGTGAAGCGCGGCCTGCCGGGGGGCGAGGGAGGCCTGGTGGGGGGCCTGGCAGGCCTGGTGGAGGACGCGGCAGGCCTGGTGGAGGACGCGGCAGGCCTGGTGGGGGGCGCGGCAGGCCTGGTGGGGGGCGCGGCAGGCCTGGTAGGAGGCGCGGCAGGCCTGGTGGGGGGCGCAGCATGCCTGGTGGGGGGCGCGGCACGCCTGGTGCGGGGCGTGACAGGCCTGGTGGGGGGCGCGGCACGCCTGGTGCGGGGCGTGACAGGCCTGGTAGGAGGCGCGGCAGGCCTGGTGGGGCGCGCCACGAGAAGGGCCTGGTCGTCGTCGCTGGAGCTGTCCTCGGAAGGAGTGCTCGCCGTGAGCGTGCAAGAGGAGTCCGACTCGTCCCCGCTCGCGTCCCGTCCCGCCCAGGACATAGACTGCAAGGCATAAGCAAGAGTATTACATCGATCAATAAAAAATAAAATATGAAACCACGATAGCCGAACGGCGAAGGTGTTCGTTCATTCGTTCGTTTCAGCCGAAAGACGTCCACTGCTGGACAAAGGCCTCCCCCAAGGATTTCCACAAAGACCGGTCCTGCGCCTGTCCACGCTACGTCTTCCGGCTCGTGGTCGCCACTCAAGAACTTTCTTGCCCCAGCGGCCGTCAACTCTACGAGCTATGTGCCCCGGCCAAGCTGATTTTAGCGATTCTGCGGGCTATGTCAGTTACTCTGGTTCTACGGATCTCCTCATTTCTGATTCGATCACGCAGGGAAATTCCGAGCATAGCCCGCTCCATCGCCCTTTGGGTGACCTTGAGCCTCCTTATGAGGCCCATAGTAAGCAACCACGTCTCAGATCCGTACATCATCACTGGCAACACACATTGGTCAAAGGCGAAGGGGTAAGACTAGCCGACTCGTGATCCAAGGAACGCGAGTTCGATCCGACAGCGGCCAGAAGCACCCCCTCCCCCGGGACCTCCTGCGGCCAGAAGCAGAGGACGCCGACACCTCCCAGCCTGCTGCGCCTGCGAGACCCGTCTTCGCACCAGCCGTCACAGCACCGAAGCCCCGCTTCAGAATAGTGACGGCCCAACGCCCTCATCAAGACAACACAACACCAACACCTACTGCAAACATATGACTGCCTGAAAGCTCCCTGGCATCCAGGAACCGCCCGCTCGCTGGTCGTTCACTGGGCCTCGACCAACGTCGACTCACCCGGTGGGCTGGTACCGCGCCGAGGGCGGGACAGTGGTGCCAGGTAGAAGCCCAGGCAGTCCGTCGCCTAAGCGACGATAAAACTACCGACTGGCAGTAGCCAGTCGAGATGCTGCACGGGCCATGAGCACAAGCTCGACGCCCGAACCGGCCAAAAGGTCGAAGACCTAGGATCGATCGATCCCCGCCGCACGGTGGATCGAGCCCATACAAGGTGTTGGACATGGTGCTTTAAATGCAACTACTTAAAACAAGATTGATTTGCATATAAATTGAAAGATGAGACTTCATTCTATCAAATATCACTAATATCAAGTCATGATCTACTATCATAGTTATGTGGTGCGACCGTAAAGTGAACAAAGTCAAAATCATGGATTTTCTGACTTCTGTTTGTATTGTCAATTTATCCAATTTCGTTCACTGGTTTTATGTTATTACTTATTAATGTATTAGCTTATACCTTTATCTTAATCTGTGTGTTAAAATGAGTGCCTAAAAAACTTCTAGCTTGGCTATTTTGACGTATTTTTAAAAGGTATTTTTTTAAATGAAAACTGCGTGTTTTAGTTGACATCTTGGGCGATCTTTAACAAACCATGAATGAGAGATGATAGATGACAACGTGGGCGATATTATTACTCAGTTTTTAGACCCTTATTCATCCATATTTTCGAGAAAATCACAAAAAACTAAATAAAAGCGCCTCATTTTTCCGCATAGCAAAATTAACTTAGGTAAAATTCGTTACACTAAAATAATGTCAGGTAAACCAAAGATGTTTATTTTGGTTTATGAGTTGTTTATCATGTGCAATTCAGTAAAAATACTCATTAAAATGAAAAACCTCAAGTCAAATAGAGATTTGTATGCATTATTAAAAACCACGATGAAAGATCGCGCTAGTTCTTTAGCTAGGATACTAGAGCTGTTTTCGCATACACTCTCTTCAGATAAACACAGGTAAGTACTAACGTAGTTAATAGCACAGAATACATAATAGTAGCAACAGAAATTGCACTCCTTTGTGTAGGATCAGATGCCGACATTTTAACGGTAATAATAATAATGCAAAATATCCAACGCACATGGTGCATTCGAAATCGCACCTTACTACTACGCTCACAAGAACGCAATTTTTTTGTGTTCAGAATTGATTTACCTCACAGCTCAAGCGTCAGGGTTGTATAAGCAAAGTAAAATAAATAAAAACTTAATTTTAAGAAGCAATTATTGTATTTACGATTGGTAAACTTTAATCTAGTGGTGTTTGTATAATCGTACCATCTCTAAAGTACCTATTAATAAACTTCAGTGTTGCGATAATTTTAATGCGCGATAGTAGTTAATAATAATTACAGTGATCCTGTTATTATTATTAAAGTAAATAATAATATATTACCAATATTGTAAATACTGGTAAAAATCGCAAGTACCTACTTAACCCATGACTTTTCATACAAACTTTGTCAGTCTATAACTTCTATACTCCATCGATAACGACATTGAGCTTTGGTTGGGGTAAATTAATGTAAGGTAACTTCATTTAGTCCCAATAATTGATTCTGAGTTTTTCTTCCATACAAAATGGAACTGACTCCTTTATGCAAAAATCGTTAAAGAACATAAACATAACGTATAATAATAAAAAGGTTTTCATACAAGCATTTTTTAAACCAATTTCGAGCCTTGCCCCCAGGATTTAAAGTATCGATATCTTATCGACTCCATTTTATCTTTCATCTATCTAATTGCTATTTTCAAAGTGTGCATTACGTCACGCGGCCATTGATTGGCCATAAGGCACCCCTTCTGGCCAATCACAGCACTTTTAAGCCGGTTGCACATGTTGTCGTAGACTCTCAGTCGCTTTGTTTTTACACAGTTGAATGTGTGTGTGGGAGCTGTGGTGGGGGAAATGTGGGGACACTGGTTCTCGTAATTTTTATCACATTTACCGTAACATATAAATCAGGAGGACAAGTCATAATAAATATTGTTCTTTATTTGACGCTTTCTTTGGAATAGTTAAGTGGCATTTAAAAGAAGGCGAATTAGTATATTAGAACTTTAGAAGCCTTTTATATTCCCGTGGCTTAGTTTTAAAATCAAGGTTAGATACCGTGGAAAAATAATAATAATAAACAAATTTATTTCTGTATAAAAACAGCCTAAAATATTATTATATCAGAGGCTTGACTCACAATTTCCCATAAATAAATTAATTTTAACTCATTGGTTTTATTTTGGAAAATGTACTATGTATCATGATTGAAAATTCTTAGCTTTCTCCAGTAATACTGATATTATTATACTGTGACTCGCCACCCGCCAGACAGAGGCGATTTTGTCAAAAATATTGACAAGTCGCGAACTGTCACAGGAATAAAACTGACACGCGTCCATCCTCCGTAAGCGCCACCGCGCGACTGATTAAGATTGTCCAAGCCGTCATGGCCGATTTTTTCACATTTTTTCAACATAGTAACTAAATAAGACGCAATAACAAAAGTTTGAAAAGTTGTCGACCTAGAAAATACAAAGTCCTATCTATTAGTATATATTTTAAGTGTAAAATGTTAAAAATGAATATATGAGAGTAAAACAAAAAAGCCGTCGACGTACTTCTTTGGGATTTTTTTTATCGGACAAACTATGCAATATCGTGTTTTGGAAAAGTTGTCGCCCTAGTTAAAGACATTAACTTACTCGTACAATTTTTTGTTTGCTAAAATATCTTTTCATTTAGAAGCTATCTGCAAACAAAATCGGTCAAATATCGACAATTTGGGAAATCATGGCCTTAATGAGAATAAATTTAGAGTATTGTTAGATTATGTATCTAACAGTTAACAGAATATGAAATCAAGCTCGACAAAATCGAACAAAGTGATTGTGTGCAATGAAAAATCAGGCGTTTACAAAAATATTTCTTTAATAATTTTAACACTTAATGAGAATAAATTTAGAGTATTGTTAGACTATGACTCTTTAAATATGGAAACGGACCAAAATGAGTGAGTATTTGCTTTTAATTGAACAATAAATACAAGTTTTTCATCACTACATTTTAAGAATTTTTTTCACTTATATTAATTGCCATCTAATAAGTAAAATCTATCACATTAGAAAGATAAACTTGTCAACCTTACACTGTAAAAATTTGAAGTTACTACGTTGACGCAATCTCATTTTATTTTAAAAACACTGAGTAAGGAAGTGATGTCCAACGCTTTGTATGGGCTCGATCCAGTGTGCGCCGCTGCTCGACTATTTAATTGTGGTGAGAAACAGCGTATCTTACCTGATGCTCTACACCAGGTTCTTCATCAGTATTAGCAGGAGCACCCGACACGCTCTCATGCCAAATAGGCTGCTCTTCTTCCGTTTCTATCTCCATCTTGATATAGCTGTTGACAATATTCGAAAAAATTAATTGATATAGGAACATCATTAATTCATTATCTATCATCATTAAGTTATTTAATCTCCACTGCAGGAGAACAACCTCTCTGGTTGAGACTTGAAAGGCCTGCCCTGCCCTGCCCCCCTAGACAAGTTGCACTTTCGAATCGAAAATAGAATCTGTGAAAAACAAAAAAAAGGCATGTCGACCACTTTTCTACTGGTTTGCGATTTTAATGTGCACTTTGTCTAGACCCACTGAAGTTTGCGTATTTGTGCCTTAGTCGCCTTTTATTGTCATCCACGGAAAGATTGGCGGTAGTTCTATTCTACACTAGGTACTAGAACCAAAAACTAAGAATACAACTTGACTACTTTTTTGCCTTTTGGCACATTGTCTTTTTTTTACTTTACCAGTTGAAATGTTTTGTGTGTCAAATACTCAATTTTACTACTTACTCTTCTTTCGTTTCCTGGGGTGTCTCTCCAACCGGTTGGTCCGGGTTCGTTTGAGTTCCCTCAACGTCCAGACACAGCGCGTCGCGAATTTTGTTCAACACCAACTCCAACTCGCTCTGGACGTGGAAAATTGAAAATTAGTGCTATTGAGAACATCATCATCATCATTTCAGCCATAGGACATCCACTGCTGAACATAGGCCTCCCCGATGCTTTCCATGTTGATCGATTGGTAGCGGCCTGCGTCCAGCGCTTCCCTGCTACCTTTATGATGTTGTCGGTCCACCTTATGGGTGGACGTCTCACGCTGCGTTTTCCGGTACGCGGCCTCCATTCCAGAACCTTGCTGCCCCATCGGCCGTCGGTTCTGCGTACTATGTGCCCTGCCCATTGCCACTTCAGCTTGCTAATCCGTCGGGTTATGTCAGCGACTTTAGTTCGTTTACGGATCTCCTCATTTCTGATTTGATCTCGTAAAGAAACACCGAGCATAGCCCTCTCCATAGCACGCTGTGCAACTTTGAGCTTCTGTATAAGGCCTATAGTGAGAGGCCACGTTTCCGAGCCTTAAGTCATCACTGGTTAAAGTTACCACATTGGTTGTTGTCCACTCACGGACATTGCCCGCGGGCGGCGTGACCGGAGGGAGCGGCGAGCGTTCGGCGAACGAACGAGCAATGTTCGGTTCGCGAGCGAACATCTAAGAAGACGATCCTGACGCACTCTCTTCAACGACCTTGCACAAAACGGTCTCGATAAAATTGTAAAAGACTGCCGGAAATTGGCGTCTTTTTTTTTTCGTGCGGCCATCGACCAAACTTTGTTTTTTGATTACAAAATAGTGTAATAAACCAAACTTACTAAGACATGTATACCTCTAAACTCAGTCTGAACTGAGTTACGAGCATTAGAAGTTTGATGATTTTCATACTAGATTTGCTTTTTGCGCGCAAAGTTTTGTAAGAAATTGCAACAAAATAGTGAGATTGTATGTGTAAACAAACAATACCATCCATTAAAGGCTCCAGACATAAGTATGGAGCAGAATCAGCGCAATAAAAAAAATGCGCAATATTTTGTTGCAATTTCTTACAAAACTTGCGCACAAAAAGCAAATCTTGTATGAAAATCATCGAACTTCTAATGCTCGTAACTCAGTTCAGACTGAGTTTAGAGGTATACATGTCATAGTAAGTTTGGTTTATAACACTATTTTGTAATCAAAAAACAAAGTTTGGTCGATGGCCGCGCGAAAAAAAAAGACGCCACTTTCCATACAAAATCTGGTGTTGCCATTTATACCGAATAGATAATTAATTTCATACAGTCCACTCTTTTCATTTATAAACTTCCACTACACTCACTATCGAAGTAACAGTTGTAGACTTTCGTCTTCAAGCACTGAGGTATTTTGGACGAAAAGATGTTACGCTATTGAAAACGAAGGTTTGGCACAGAGATGAGAGATTGGTTTGTAGACTACGGAGAGTGTAGACGGCGAGCTCACCTCAGGGCGGGCGGCGGGCGCGCGCAGCACGAGGTGCGCCGCGTGCAGCCCGCGCGCGTCGCACGCCGAGCACGAGCGCGCGTTACACTCCACGCACAAGAACACGAACCTATAATTTTACGGTCATCATCATCATTTCAGCCATAGGACGTCCACTGCTGAACATAGGCCTCCCCTAATGCTTTCCACGTTGATTGATCGTAAAGGTAGCATGGAAGCGCTGGACGCAGGCCGCTACCAATCGATCAACGTGGAAATTTTACGGTAATAAGGTATTTTATTGTTTTGAACCTTAAATAAAACGGGAAATTGAAGCTTACAAATTAAGTATAGATAGGCACAGCGAGAGAAGTAAAATGGTTGTTACACTCACCCTAATAAAACTTCCTGGCATTGTGTACACTGTCGCTGTAACTCACAATCAGGCTCAGACTTAGGCTCAAACTCAGACTCAAATAAATCAAAGTCAAACTCCGGTTGTACAGGCTCTTGTTCAGTCGACGTAAATTTTCTCTTCAGACTCTCCTGAAACAAAGAATAACTTTATGATCACTTGATAGTTTAAGCGCTCCTACACACGACGCCGCTGCCGCGCCGCCGCCGCGCCTTTGCACTGTTCATACCTCAGATAATAGAAGGGAATAGATGTGAAACGGGGGTGTGGCGCGTGTCTCCGCGATATGCCCAGAAACGAACATCGGCCGCGACGCCAGGTTAGTCGCGATTCAGTCGTACTGAGGAAATGTTCTCCGATATTGTTGGATAATGCGTCGTAACGTGCAATAACATAAGTGAAACGAAGAACTACAGGAACAATGAAGTCATTTACCACATGTAAGTATTGCAAATCCATTGGTATTTTGCTTATAAATAAAAAAAACTAAACATTTTTACGAACGAATTCAGTGCCGTGACATTTACTGCGATATCGAAATTAGTGGTGATAAAAATTCAAACACGTTGTACATTGACGATTTAGTTAGCAACCACTTTATGTCATGCGTAACTACTGCGCAATGTATTTTATTTCTTCCGATATCCACTGACGCGTGAAAATACACAGTACGGCCGCATGTGCCGGTCGTAACATAGTGCAGGGCTCGTGTTCTAATACGGTTTCCTATTATCGATAAATAGAAGTAAATTATTATTTTCTATTTTCTAATTTTGAATGAAAAAATCATGAGTTGCTTGCGATTTTTAAGTTTTTACAAAAACAATAACAATAGTAGAAGGGATTAGTAACTGTCAACTATGTAATTACTATAAGAGCTAGTTGAAAGCCTAATATAGGCATTATTTTTGATAAACATAGGCGGTACGAATTTCGCCATAATTAAAAAGTTAATGCGCGATAGTAGTTAATAATAATTACAGTGATCCTGTTATTATTATTAAAGTAAATAATAATATATTACCAATATTGTAAATACTGGTAAAAATCGCAAGTACCTACTTAACCCATGACTTTTCATACAAACTTTGTCAGTCTATAACTTCTATACTCCATCGATAACGACATTGAGCTTTGGTTGGGGTAAATTAATATAAGGTAACTTCATTTAGTCCCAATAATTGATTCTGAGTTTTTCGTCCATACAAAATGGAACTGACTCCTTTATGCAAAAATCGTTAAAGAACATAATAATAACGTATAATAATAAAAAGGTTTTCATACAAGCATTTTTTAAACCAATTTCGAGCCTTGCCCCCAGGATTTAAAGTATCGATATCTTATCGACTCCATTTTATCTTTCTTCTCTCTAATTGCTTTTTTCAAAGTGTGCGTCACGTCACGCGGCCATTGATTGGCCATAAGGCACGCCTTCTGGCCAATCACAGCACTTTTAAGCCGGTTGCACATGTTGTCGTAGACTCTCAGTCGCTTTGTTTTTACACAGTTGAATGTGTGTGTGGGAGCTGTGGTGGGGGAAATGTGGGGACACTGGTTCTCGTTGTAGTTACGCGCGACTTCATATCTATTCTCTTTCTATGATCTGAGGTTCATACGCACCGAGTAAAACCGCCGCCACCGCGCCATCAAAGCATAAAGGCCTATTCAAACCTGAGCGATATTCGCTGCCGCTGTAAATACCGCGCGGGTTTCGCTCAGGTATTTACTATCAAGTATCGCGGCTAGAGCGACCTGAGCGATATTCGCTGCCGCTGTGGGTAGAGGTACATACCACGCGGGTTTCGCTCGGTAGCGAATACCGCTTAGGTCTGAACAGTATTATTACCGCATACCCACTGGGTTTCTCTGCCGCAGACGGTAGCGAATACCGCTTAGGTCTGAATAGGCCTTAATTTAAACTTAAAAATGACCCATCATCAGTTATTACCATACTCGTGCGTGACATACATTTACAGGGCCGGGGTCAGCCGGGGTGGCATGACTGTTTTTTTTTTTTACTTTTTAGTGTCTGTAATAGATTGTTTCGTAAACTACTGTAGGATTCTCTAGATGGGAACGTGCACATTAGTGCCCTCTGCCAACGGAACTTTATGGGGCATTTATGTCAAAAAATAAATAACAACAGCTTTCTTAATTTTATTGATTAGAGTAAATAAAATATACTTTAAAAGACAATAAATGGTACGTTGAATGGAATTTGATAAAAAGATATAGAATATCATGAATACAATTGAATAAATTATGAGGTACTTTATCGAGTACCCGGAATATTTTTAATCTTTGCATAATTTTATCGACATGTATTCTTACTCGAGCAATGTCATAAGTCTTTTCAGTTTCTTCTTGAGATAATCGCTATGTTTTTCTACAAATGGAGGCATAATAATTTTAACTTTTTTACCACTTTCGTCTAGAACTTGTTTAATTGCTGGAAAACCTTTATCAGCCAAAACTTCATCTCCAGCTTCTAAAAGATCAATCCCATCAAAAACAATACTTGTCAAAAAAACCAAGTCTCGCAACTCAGTTGTTCTACGGTAAAAAGTTGTGAGATCCATGTAATACCAAGTCCAGGCCAGGAAATCTTTAACGTTTTACATAAATTATTGACTTGGCCATCGCACTAAATAATTTAATTTACACGTGTTTTCATGCGATGGCCAAGTCAATATATTTTAAATATACCGTGTCTTTACAATGCCTGCATAAGCTAATGAAAATTCAGCCTTCTAGTTTTATCCACAACGAAGTTACAGGCGGTCGAAAATGGCCTGAATTGCTTCGAGAAAAGGATGGTACGGCCGTGCCGCTTTTTTGCTAGACTTGGTGGGGGCACTGCCGTGCCCCCAGATTAAACCAGATTCGATAGTAATTTGTGGGTCACTTTTTCTCCCACCCGCTACTTTGGATTTGAATGAAATTAATCCGCTGGGAGTTATTCCTATGAGAACTTTTGCAGTAAATCACAGCGGTCACAGAAGCTAAATTTTTTAAGATAGTATAAAATATTCGTGAAATTGAAGTCCTGTGTATACCAAATAACACAATGCTGAAAATGTTAAGCCAGTTTACATTTTCATTAAAAAAATTTGCAGGTGATCTTTCATTAAAACTGTACATTTGGTCACAGTTAATTTTGATAACAAAAACTCGAAATTACTAAATGACACACCAGTAAGATCTAGTAGTTCCATATAAACTTAGGTTATTTAATCTAAGCACATAAAATACCAACAAATTCTTGGCTTTTTGTTTCAGTAACCTGGTATTGAAATTATTTTTTGTCAATGCAACAGTTTTTATTAGAGATGAAACGGATAGTTGTTTGGCCGGATACCGGATAGTTGGCCCATTGTCTCGTTGCATGTCGTGACGAGTTTAACGCCGCACAGGTGCTTCGAACGCGATCAGTGGGTCTATTAGTAGTATTTAGTAGACTAGACTATAAATAGTCACACTTTTCGAAAATCGAATCAATGCCATTGTGAGTGTGTGATTGAATAGCGAAAATTAATTTAGTTTACTTGCTGCGTAATCTGACTGAACTGTATCATGACATCAGAGACCATCAGTGAAAAAAATTATAATAAAAAAAACTTTTTTAAAATCATTATTCTGAAATGCAGTTGTACTAAAACGAAAAAAATAATTTCAAGGTTCAAAAAATTTCGAAAGCTTGTATCGCGCATGGATTCCTTCTTCTTTTTTCTGTTATGCGCTACAAGCTTTCGAAATTTTTTGAACCTTGCATACAATTATTTTTTTTGTTTTAGTACAACTGCATTTCAGAATAAAGCTTGATTTTAAAAAAGTTTTTTTTTTATTATAATTTTATTTTACACTTTTTAGTTTTTCAATCTCTGGGCCCAGGTTATCATTTAGCACCAAAGTGCTCGAAAAGACAAATCCAACGAACCCTAACTCGATGAGTTTCCGCCGTTTCGTTTAGGAGTTCCTATGACCACCTCCTGACTCCATCATCAGACCAGCTCAATGGTACTATTACATTGCATTGTCATCGTACTTACATAAGTATACCAAATTTCAGCTCAATCGGTGTAGGAGAACTGGTCTTAATTTCAGTTGCAAGATTTGTCCCACATATACTAACTAGTGATGTATAAGGCTCGAGGCTTCCGAGTCCTTTTGCTGAGAGCTCAGAGTCGGTTTACAGGGCTCGCCTCGTTTGTATGAAGTTCGATGACTCGGAAGTCTTTTTTAGAGTTCGAGCCTTTTTAGGGGCTCGCCTCGTTTGTATGAAGCTTGGATTCTTTCGCAAAGCTCGAGCCTTTTTAGAACTCGAGCCTTTTTGAAAGCTCGAGCCTTTTTGAATGCCCAGTTAACTTTTGTGTTAAGATCGTTCTATTCAATAAAACTGCAGGAATTCAGTTGATACCTACAATAAAATACATATTTGAAAAACGTTTTTTACAAAAGGACACAAATCAAATAATGCCTATTAAAATCTTATAATAAAAATCAATGTAGGTGATGTTTTTTTTATTTTTTTATTTAATTTGAAGGTTCGAGCTCTTTCGAAGGTTCGATCTCTTTCGAAGGTTCGAGCTCTTTCGAAGGTTCGAGCTCTTTTGAAGGCTCGAGCTTTTTTGAAGCCTCGAGGCATCGCTCAGAGAGCTCGCAGCTCGGCTAAGCTCGGGGCACCGAGCCTACCGAGCTCACTCAGCTTTGCCATTCCGCCTCGAGGCTTCAAAAATAGGACTCGACGCCTCGAGTCTTGTACATCACTAATACTAACAAGTGAAGTCAATATAAAGCTTGTAATAAAAAAAAGATCGCCTATTTTATTTGGAAATATTTCGACATTAACAGATACATATTTACTATTTATGTAGTTATTTGTCATTAGAGTGAATAGTTCAGAATAAGAAATTAGTTGTTTGAAAGGCCTTAATATGACTTTTTTTTGTAACTTTTTGGACTTTAAATAAAAGCCGTCATTATTATAAGCCATTTTATTGATATTTACCTCAAAGATTAATGTATTTCATTTTATTAATAGGAAATTGTCGTAGATTTTTAATATCCGGTATCCGGCCGGATAGTGAGTCACTATCCGGTATCCGGCCGGATAGTAAATTTAGGCCGGATATCCGGCCTACCGGATAGTTACCGGATATCCGTTTCATCTCTAGTTTTTATCCTTTGTTTTCGAAGTATTTGTCGTGACAATCCTTGAAGTTGTTGCTATATCTACTTGAATTTCAGCATCACAGCGATCAGTGTAAATAAATGTATTGCAAATGAAGGTTGTATCCCTTACATTTATTTCAGGGAAAAAAAAAATTTGACATCCTCGGTTGACCAGAGGGGGTTGAGTTGGATGTAATTCATTTCCTTCTTCCATTATAATTTCATTTGTTGTAGTATCCGAGACTTGTATTGTGGTGTCAGCAACATGTGTGTTTCTTCGTTTTGTCAGGCGTGTATATCTAGCTAATGCATGTGGCTCATTGATCTTTCGCTGTCGATATACTTTAGGGAAAATCGTGGGAACATAACTCGGACTTGCTTGTGCATCTGATTTTTTACCTCCTATAAAATGTTCACTGCAAATTTTGTCGTCGGGTTTTGGAGACCATGGCGATCCATCAACACTAAAACAATAATTAGGTACTCAATTATTATCGTGTAAAAAAACAAAGCAAATCAAATTGATTTGATCAATATTGCAATTTTAGGTTATAACTAATCACTTACTTTATCCTTTTTACAGCAGCTATCCATTTAGATCTTTGGTCTAATTTCCAGGACGCTTTGGGAAAAACATAAAATTTGCACTGGCTATTTCTGCTGTTATTTTTGCAATCTACGACGCAACAACAATAATGACCCATTTTAAATTTCAAAACAACATTGACAATGACAAGACAGGTTTGTTTGCTTCCCTTGCCCTTTTTGTTACACATTTGCGCCGCGACGAGCGCAACGATCGTTTTCTTTACCCCTTCCACCCACTTCGCACGTTCCCAATAGTACCTAGGTTTCCTTGTTGTTTATTTTCATTTGTCATACATTTTTGCTTATAAAATAAAAACTACTTAACCTAACTAAATAATTTTTAAGGGACCAAATGGCACCTAGTCTGCAACGGTCAAAAGAAGAATCTCGAAAATCGGATCAGAAACCAGGGCGTAATCGGTGTACATACATCAAAAAATCCTCCCCATTTATTGAAATCGGTTAAAAATACAGAATCTTTTCCAGGATTTACCTGTTTTTCTCTGTAGTAGATATGATCTGCAATTATTAACCGAGGTATCCTAAATTGCTCAGCAGCAGCATAACTATTCAACTTTTTTTGCTCGACTAGTCGTACAGCTTCGAGAAGTTCTTCTCGGGTATAAGTTCTTTCATTTTGAACCATCTGAAATTAAACAATGGGAACATGCAGTATCTATAGGTGGCAGCACTTATTCGAGAGTTGAGACGCTATACGGACATTTTAAGAAATTTATAAGGTCTGCCATCGTTCTGTGCTGTGGTGTCAACTATGGAAATATGTAAACAAGACACAAAACACTCAATATGATTAAAATTACAATCAGACTCATAAATAATGATTGTCAGCATGGCCAAAATAGATCCAAATCACAAAAGCTCTTCGAGGCTGGCCAAGTGTTGTAGAAGAAAAAACAAAATGAGCAAAATGAGACGATAACTACAATAAATTGCTCGGAACAAAATTTAAAATGTTTACGACGTGAAAATAATGGTTGTTGCAGACAACGTTGATATCTCTAAAATCTTTGTAACATTTTAACCTTTTTGTGTCGATTGTTTTCTGCACCAGGAAAAATTGTAGGAACATATGATGGATGTTTAGCATTGTCAGATTTTTTGTTGCCAATGAAGTGTTCACTGCATATTCTTGTACTATCAGTTGGAAGCCAATTCTTCGGACATTTGCTGTAAATAAACAGATTTAAAGGTTATGTTTACCTATAAAGAGATATTTTCACTAATAATAACATTGGTAATTAGGTACTAAATGCTTTTAAATCTCAATGAGTTTTGTAGTACTTACGTGTGTTTCTTTACAGCTTTTATCCACTCTTGCCGTTTTTCACATATCCATGGCTTGTAAATATTATTCTTAGGAAAATAATAAAATTTTACACCTTTTGATTTGTTTAAAGGTGTTCTTGATTTGTTGATACATCCAGAAATGCAACAATTCATTTTAATAAGCTTTTTATAATATGTATANCTAAAGATGGAATATCACGACGCAAACTAACATGCTATCGAACTTTAACTGCTTCTCGAAGATAAACTTAAGTTTAGCCGGCTAAACTTAAGTTTATGTTCACAACTATCTTTAGCCGTAACATATACACTCAAAATCATGTTTACAAAATATGTAAAATTAAATGAAATTAAATGTCAAACCTAATAAATTTTTTTTATACGTACGTTTTACGGCTCTGGGAACAAGCCATTTTAAGCCAGTCTGAATTCTGTCGAATTTATGGTGATACTGAATGGTCTTGAAACCACCATAGGGGAATATTGGTTAAAACCACAGATATTGTGGGAAAATACCTTGGTCTGAGGAAAATACCAGAAACTAGCATCTACTGTTACCAGCAAAACCCTGCCCGATTTTCGGTAACTTTTTTTAACGTTTCCAATCCAGACACGCTTCTCGATTCTGCGATACGATTGGTCGTTCAACAGCGTACGTCAGCTGTTTTGACCAATCGTATCGCAGAATCGATGAAGCGTGTCTGGATTGTAGACGTTAAAAGTTACCGTAATCGGGGCTCTGTCTTATCTGTGCTTTGTATGGCAATATAGATGACCCACATGATATACAAGCAAGTGACAACATCACTATTTTGTTCTACTATAGATGACCCACGCTGAATTCGGACATATAGTTCCAAAATACTGAACTGTCCTATGCATGGGTCATCTATATAGATGACCCACGCTGAACTGTCCCGCCAAACTCAATGACAGGGGGGCGCTACCATCGTTCAACTATATGGTTTCCAACATGGCAAAAATCGGAACTAGCGATCCGGTATTGACGGTGGCGCCCCACTGTCAATGTCATCGACAGGACAGTCCAGTATTTTGGAACTATATCAAGGTCTATCATTGGTATTTTTTTCAAACTTCTGCGTTGAGCCATTTACGAGATCTGGGACATCACAAAACATTACCCCAGCAAAATTCTGAATAACTTGAAAACCGGAACACGAACAAATTTTGCTATTCGTGGACAAATTACTACGCAACAAAAGCTATCTATCCATGTATTTGGTTCCGGGATAGAACGACTTTCAAAAAAAAATTTTGCCAGGGTAATGTTTCAAACATTACCCCAGCAATCTGTTTTTTCCTAATAACTTTAAAACTATAATTTGAACGAATTTTGCTATTAGTGGACAAATTTCTGCTCACGATGGACTAATTATCTGCTATACTCTCGACTCTCTAAAGCACAACATTTATAAAAATTTTGCTGCGGTAATGCACTCCCACCTTTGGTCCAACCAAACTCAAAGACAGGGGGGCGCTACCATCGTTCAACTATATGGTTTCCAACATGGAACTATAACAGGCAATGTAATTTAAAATTATTTAAGTTTTTAAGACCAGCATGAAGTGTCTTTTTAAGAAACTTGTGATTTCAAATTATCGGGGAATGGTGTCGACGACGACATTATAAAGGTAGCAGGAAGGCGCTGGACGCAGGCCGCTACCAACCGGGCAACATGGAAAGTATTGGGGGAGGCCTATGTTCAGCAGTGGACGTCCTATGGCTGAGATGATGATGATGATGGGGAATGGTGTAAGGAAACACGTCATAGTGGGGAATCATTTATTATCGTCTTTCCTTTCGGCGCGGCGGCGGCGCGCGCGGGCCCTGCGACGCGCGCATTCTTCGGGCCCGAACACGTGGCGTTTGAAGCCGGCCTGCCGCAGGATCTTGCGTATGCAGCCGGCTGAACACTTGTACCTGTTGACAAATATCATCATTAGGTCAAATCACTACATAGTATAAAACAAAATCGCTTCACGCAGTCTGTCCCTATGTATGCAGATCTTTAAAACTACGCAACGGATTTTGATACAGTTTTAGAGTGGTTCAAGAGGAAGGTGGAAACGATAAGTTGTCTCACTTTATTTCTTAACCATACAAGATATCGGAAAGCTAGTTGCTGATTCTGAAAGTGCTTCATGAGCTCTATCAAAAGGGATCAATGATAGGTTACAGAATAAATTGGATCTATCTTCTGAATATTCCAGCTTCCACCAATTTGGTTCTATGTATGTCATTTGTCACGTCAGTGAAGTATTGGTTGCATTACGTCGCGTCGCGTTCCGTCGCTCACCTAAGATAAGGGGTCAGTACTCGTGGTCTAACTCTATGTATACCTAGTAGAGGAAGCAGGAGTTGGGTGTAAGAGCGCTTTCACATTAGGGCGTTAGAAGCGCGGCAGCGGCGTTTTTGTAATGTGAAGGCATGCATCTGTTGTCATATACTTGTAGTATGAAATTTTCAGCAGCGCGTCTGTCGCGCTGCTAAATCGCCTAAATGTGAAAGCGCTCTAACAGCCTACTGGCTCACTTCTTGGCGACGTCGGCGATCCTAGAGTCAGGCTTGTCCGTGAACAGTTTAACTACCCTCAGCGCGGCGCGGGTCGCTAGACTAACTCACGTGTCATGTCATTTGTCCACATGTCACGTGGAGTATTGGTCACGGTACTTACTTCTTGGCGACGTCGGCGATCCTCGAGTCAGGCTTGTCAGGCGGTCGCATTATGTCACATGGCGTTCGTCGCTCACCTAGGACAGTAAAAAGCACTGACCCGTTGTCCTCTTGGCGACTTCAGTGTCTCTGGAGTCGAGCTTGTTCGTGAACAGCTTGACGACCCTCTCGACACGTGACCAAACTATGTACAGACTAGGTCACGTGTCATGTCATACGTCACGGGAAGTATTGGTCGCATTACGTCGCGTTCCATTCCACCTAGGATAACGGTGTGCAGTGCGAGTTTACATTGAACATCGTCGTTAATCTATGAAGATTTGAGTTCTTGAAAGTATCCGCTAGGGGCGCTGTACTATCTGTCATACATTTCATGTCATTTTTACGCAGTCGTTAGCGATGACGTTTGGTGTAAACTCGCACTACGCACCCGTGTGCGTCTGTGCTTAGGTACTTCTTGGCGACGTCGGCGATCCTGGAGTCAGGTTTGTCCGTGAACAGTTTAACTACTCTTTCGGCGCGGCGCGGGTCGGGGCGCGCGCGGCCGGCGGCCCGCGTCGCGCACGTGACCGAACTATGTCTCAACTAGGTCACGCGTCATGTCACTTGTCATACGTCATATGAAATCGGTCGCATTATGTCACATGGCGTACGTCGCTCACCTAGGACAACGCGTCAGTGCTTTTTTCTTGGCGACTTCAGTGTCTCTGGAGTCGGGCTTGTCTGTGAACAGTTTGACGATCCTCTCGAATTATGTATAGACTAGGTCACGTGTCATGTCAATGCCTGTGCGCAGAGTCTGCGTCAAACCCGTGGTTAAGCTCTGTATATCGCTACTACCTAGTAGGGAAAGAGGGAAGGGGGTGTATTAGCTTACTTCTTGGCGACGTCGGCGATCCTGGAGTCAGGCTTTTCCGTGAACAGTTTAACTACTCTTTCAGCGCGGCGCGGGTCGGGGCGCGCGCGCGGCCGGCGGCCCGCGACCGTGACCGAACTATGTATAGACCACGTAAGTAACTTGTCATGACATGTGAAATGTAGCTCGCATTACGTCGCGCCGTATTATGTCGCGTTCCGTCGCTCACCTAGTCGTCAGTGCTTACTTTTTGAAGGCTTCAGCGACTATGGAGTCGGGCTTGTCCGTAAACAGCTGGGTGACGCTCTCTACATTCTGCGTCAAACGTGGTTAATCTCTGTGTATCGCTGCTACCCATCGATTTGTAGAAAAAAATAGGAGGGGGGGGGGGGGCAAGATGGGGTGTGAAGAGTACAACAAGACTACTGGCTTACTTCTTGGCGACGTCGGCGATCCTCGAATCAGGCTTGTCCGTGAACAGTTTAACTACTCTTTCGGCGCGGCGCGGGTCGGGGCGCGCGCGCGGCCGGCGGCCCGCGACCGTGACCGAACTATGTATAGACCACGTAAGTAACTTGTCATGACATGTGAAGTGTTGCTCGCATTATGTCGCACCGTATTATGTCGCGTTCCGTCGCTCACCTAGTCGTCAGTGCTTACTTTTTGAAGGCTTCAGCGACTATGGAGTCGGGCTTGTCAGTAAACAGCTGGACGACATTCTCTGCGTGTACATTCTGCGTCAAACCGGTGGTTAAGCTCTGTATCGCTGCTATCGATTTGTAGAAAAAAGGGGCAAGGTGGGGTGTGTAATAGTCTACTGGCTTACTTCTTGGCGACGTCGGCGATCCTGGAGTCAGGCTTGTCCGTGAACAGTTTAACTACTCTTTCGGCTCGGCGCGGGTCGGGGCGCGCGCGCGGCCGGCGGCCCGCGTCTCGCACGTGACCGAACTCTGTCTCAACAACTAGATCACGTGTCATGCCACTTGTCACGTCATATGAAGTCAGTCGCATTATGTCACATGGCGTTCGTCGCTCACCTAGGACAACAATAATAGGGGGGGGGGGGGGCAAGATGGGGTGTGAAGAGTACAACAAGACTACTGGCTTACTTCTTGGCGACGTCGGCGATCCTCGAGTCAGGTTTATCCGTGAACAGTTTAACTACTCTTTCAGCGCGGCGCGGGTCGGGGCGCGCGCGCGGCCGGCGGCCCGCGTCCCGCACGTGACCGAACTGTGTATAGACTAGGTCACGTGTCATGTCACTGTCATACGTCACATGGAGTGTTTGCATTATGTTGCTCATTTAGGAAAAATTGTGCAGTGCGAGTTTACATTGAACGTCATCATTAGCGAATGCGTTAAAAAAATCTTTTAGCTCTTGAAAGTATCCGCTAGGGACGTTGTTTGGTGTAAACTTGCACTAAGAACACGAGGCTTACTTCTTGGCGACGTCAGCGACAGTAGTTGGGCTTGTCCGTAAACAGCTGGACGTCGCTCTCTGCGCCTACATTTTGCGTCATACCCGTGGTCTAACTATGTATCGCTAATACCTAGTAGAGGAAGTCTGTAAAGGGAGGGGCTTTAGCCTACTGGCTTACTTTTTAGCGACGCTCTCTGCGCACACATTCTGCGTCAAATCCGTGCATATCTGCATCTTTCTGTGAAGGGGGTGTAATAGTCTACTGGCTTACTTCTTGGCGACGTCGGCGATCCTGGAGTCAGGTTTATCCGTGAACAGTTTAACTACTTTCTCAGCGCGGCGCGGGTCGGGGCGCGCGCGGCCGGCGGCCTTCGTCGCGCACGTGACCGAACTATGTATAGACTAGGTCACGTGTCATGTCACTTGTAATACGTCACGTGTAATGTTGGTCGCATTACGTTGCGTTTAGTTCTGTCGCTCATCTAGGACAACGGATCTAAAAGCTGCGCTCGTAATATTGGCGGAACAGTGTGCCCTCAGTGGCGAAAAAACGCAAGTTCATCGCCAACAAAAAGAAGGACAACGGGTCACTTGGAGACTTCAGCGACTGGAGTCGGGCTTGTCCGACAACAGCTGGACAAAGCTCTCGTCGCTGCTACCTAGTAGAGAAAGGGTAAGGGGGTATAACTGACTACTGGCTTACTTCTTGGCGACGTCGGCGATCCTGGAGTCAGGCTTGTCGGTGAACAGTTTAACTACTTTCTCGGCGCGGCGCGGGTCGGGGCGCGCGCGCGGCCGTCGGCCTCCGTCGCGCACGTGACCGAACTCCGAGTAGCGCTGCACCCAGCGACGCACCACGCCACGCTGGGGATATAGACGTTGTTAGTTTTAGATAAAGCCTGGTCTGCGAGCACGTAGAATTTTGTCCAATGACCCCAAGCTACCCATCCTTATCGCTCGCGCGTAATTAATAATTATATTGCTATCGCGACTGTGCGACGGGCGCCCGCAGTGAGTGTGCGAGCGCAACAGCAATATAATTACGCGCGAGCGATAAGGATGGGTAGCTTGGGGTCATTGGACAAAATTCTACGTGCTCGCAGACCAGACTACAGGGTGACTTTTGTATCAGTATCCAAATTTTAATATAATAATCTATGAAGCGAAAGACAAAACACGTATTTTTTATTTTTGTATCGTCCAGTACAAAAATGTCAAAATAAAGCACCCAGAAACAGTCTGAAAAAACACTTACACCGTGGTCACGGCTCACTCGCTTACGCACGCACACACGTACGCGCCTGCCCGCGCCGCATTTCATTCATTGCGATACGATTTATAAGTTGTCGATTTTCCCTTCATACTTTCACGGGCTTAGGACCGTCAAAATGCAAAAGATTTCAAAGTGGTAATTAGTTTTAATTAAACAGACTTACTAATTTATGGTAGAAAAATTAAATACCTACGACAATAATTACGCTATCAAAAAGAAAATAAAATCACCGAGAGCGGTAACACTACTTTTCTTGTGTACCTATTCGGGGGTATTTATCGTTATTTTCATGTGCAATAATTGAGATTGCTTACCAAACCTACCTAACCTAACAACAAACTAACAAATTATGAGTAGTTATTTTAATAATTGCCCAAAGTGCATACCATTTTTCTCCAGACAGACTTGCACGCTTTTGTACATTGTCTTTGAGTTTATTTAAAACTACAGTGTCATTTCGCACTTCGCGTCTCGTGTAGGTACTTACCTACTTGCTCGCGGATCTCGCTTCAGTTTGCCGCTAAAATCGTTCACCGGTTTGGCACTGTTGGGTTTAGTCCTTGGTTACGAAGTCGAGGTATTCCTCTGGGCCCGGTTCAAACTCTCTCCACTTAAAATGTAGCACCGAATCATTTCATAACACTCGCGCTGCGAATACATCGTTACGTTGACCGCACGACGGAACGATCGGCGCGCGCAGTGATACGCGCGTCTCGTAATGGGTTGCGCGGGCGACTGATTGAAGCGCCGCGCGGCCAGGCCGGCCGGTCGAGCGTTGCCACACGTTGCCAGCTCTCCGCTCGACCAGCTCTCCCGCAAAATGTTTACGCGCTAAGCGCGGTAACCACACTACGTGATTAATTGGTTAGGAAAAAAATAGTTGATGTTAAAATTTGACCTACCTATTTTTTATTAAAAATGTCATCTATAAACGATACCTAATGTCAGGAAAAAATTTGGATACTGATACAAAAGTCACCCTGTATAGAAGGTTTTAAATTAGAATCAAATGGCAATGCCAGATTTTGTTTTTTGATTACAAAATAGTGTAATAAACCAAACTTACTATGACATGTATACCTCTAAACTCAGTCTGAACTGAGTTACGAGCGTTAGAAGTTTAATGATTTTACATATCAGGTTTGCCTTTTGCGCGCAAGTTTTGTAAGAAATTGCAACAAAATAGTGACATTGTATGTGTAAACAAACAATTTCCGGAATTGTCTTTTACACTGCGTCTCTAGTCCGAAACTAAGCAAAGCTTGTACTATGGGTAGACAAGGGATATAAACATTTAAAATGCGCCTGAGTTTACCGACTTTTAGTTGGTAGTTGGTAGGACTGATAGTTGGGCCTGATTTTAAATTTTTATGAAAATTGACCGATATCAAATCGGTGTAATATGCGCACTTCATGATTAACAGCCCGACTCAACTATCGGCCAACTAAAAGTCAGTAGTCTGCGTCTAGGCTAAATGTCTGTTCCCGTTGGTGTTATAAAACTTACGAGCATTCCAAGCTGATCAGCTATTTGGGGGATATTCTTGCCTTGCTTGTGCAGTTCGACTATCTGAAGCCTCTCCTCCATAGAAGCATGTCTGTAATTGTCATAAAAAAATATGCATGAGCACAGAAAAAAACTAACACACTATTTAAAACACTTTTCATTAAATTATCAGATGGGTGCAGATCACTTCTAGTTCTGATCTTAGACCATCTTCTTTTATTTGAAATTAAAATATGGGTGGTGCATTTCAATCATTGACCGTTTTAGCAGTTTAAGCGTCCAAAATGAGAGCGAAGAGATCTTTTGAGTTGTATCATTCGATTTTGTGATAAGAAGTTTTTTTATTAACAATGCCAAAAACGGGACGATTCCCACCTTTCGTTCCCACCGCTGCAAACCCTGTGTAGCCAGGATCTACAGCTTGACCGCCAATAAAAACTCAACCAGTGAAGGTCAAGTTTGTCCCGGGGGAAAGTTAAGTGTCATTGGACCCGCATCGAAATTAATCAGAAGAACATAGGAGGAGTTCGAAGTAAGGTTCGACTTCCCTCCAGTGACAGGTGACAAAACAAAGTTTTAAGAAACAATGCGGAAAGTAAATAAAACCAAAACTCTCTTTACTTACGGCGCTACTATCCGCCCTGGGTTTTCATTTACGAAATAACTGGTACTACTACTTCTAATATCATTATTTACATTAGATGGCTCGTCCGAGCACGATCCCTCCGATTTCTGCGAGTCATTGAAATTCTGGTTTCCTCTGTCAATCTTTTTCACAGGCGTCGGCGACTGACTATTAGCTTCCGACTGTGAATCTTCGCTTCTAAAATACCCTTTTTTTGACAAATTCTTGACAGGTATATTCGCGCCGTTTATGTCGTTTTTCTCTGGATTTTTACTTGAATCTTCGCTGATATAGTTGCTAGCTATACTATCTTCCACGTTTGTGTGCAGTTGTAACTGAAGGTATTCGGAGACGTCTCCATCGAGGTTGTGAAGGTCCTGGCTTGGAGGTTGTGGGTCTCTAATGATATCTGGTGGATCGTTAATGTGTGGTAGGGCCTGGTCACTTGGTGGAGGCTCGTCTGACCTCGTTAGCAACGTGTGGAGAACGCCTAGGTTTACTTCTGTGTGCTCTGGTACCACCTAGAAAGGGTGGTTGGTAGAATTAGATTGAGCGGTAAAATGTAGGGCTGGTTTTAGTGTCACGCGGACTGTGAGTGCGGATCTCTCCGCACAGCCGATCTGTATGAACTGCTAGGGAGCGAGCGGTTCCTCCGGACCGCATTACTCTAAAACGCTCCCTAGAAGTTCATACAGATTGGCCGTCCGGAGCGGGTCCGCACCGGACGGTCCGCGTGACAATAAAACCAGCCTAGGTATTATATTAAACAACATTGACATACTTTTTATGAGATTTCAAAATATGATTTCTCCACAAATTTTAAGGCTCGGCCAAATAGAACGCGTACCTGTCGCGGCGTTAAGGACGAAGAACATTTATCCACCCGGAAACGAATCATAACCATATCAACTCGAAGCGGTCAGTATTCTTTGTATGAAACTCCATACTGTAACGCACTTATCCGCACCGTAATGTAAACGCCTCAGTTGACAGCGCGGCGAAAGACGATACGGTGTTGATCCCTTTCCGGGTTGATAAGTGTGCTATGACTAGACATCGGATTATATGCATTTGCATTATTGCATATGCAAACGCATATAATGCTATTTTTATAGCGTTATTGCATATTTTGGTACTTTTTCATTGACAGTGCTTATTTTAGTATTTATACGTGTTAGACGTGTTGTACTTCGCCGCCGTCCCCACTCCAAACATCAACACATCGCCCTCGCACGCACTGCGAGAGCGCATTGAGAGCGATCCGTACCAGTGTTGCCAGTCGGGTCTTGTCAGAAATTACCAGAAATATAAAAAAATGTAACCGTTTTGAATAAAAAGTAACCTTCATACGGGGGGGGGGTTGCGGAGCGAAAATGAATGACTTTTCCATGAAGACCGAAAAGTGACCGGTCGTATAAAAACGTTTCCTGGATTTGCGTTTTATTACCAATAAGTACCTATATAATTAATTAATTATGTATTGTGAAAATAAAGTTAATTCTAATAATGTTTTTTTGATTGTGCATATTTAGTGCATATTTCGCCCTTTTTTAGTGCATATTTGCATGCATATTTTAGCATTTTGATAGTGCATATAATCCGATGTCTAGCTATGACATTTATAGCGTTAACAAGATTGCAGAGCGATGCGTGGAAATATCTGCCGTTAATATCTTGTCGGCCGTTTGGTGTAGTGGTTCGAAACGGACTACTATGCCGGAGGTAGCGGGTTCGATTCCCGCACAGTACAAACATTTGTGTGCATGAACATATTTGTTTTATTGGACTGGGTATTTTCTATGTATAATAAGTATGTATTTCCAAAAAAAAGTATTTAAGTATGTTTATTCCCATAGTACAAGCTTTGCTTAGTTTGGGACTAGAAGCGCAGTGTAAAATGTCCAAGGATATTTATTTTATTAATTATCTATATTCTGCCAACACAATTCGGCGCTATAGCGCGACGTCAGGTTTGGCGAAACCTTTAATTAATTAACATTTTCAGAATGTAAAATAATACCTGTGATCCCCCAGGGGCGGTCGCAGGCAAGTCCTGGTAGCTTCTGTACGGGTCTGAGATTTCGTCGTCAACAGCAGTCTTCATATTCAAGTTCAAACTGTCGACAAAATGCCAGTATGTTAGTTAGTCTTACATTTAGTTTAAGTTTCAGATTAGGAATTTCTGTATTCTTCTTGTAAGTAAATGTAATTCTTTTCGACAAAAATGGATAGCCTAACCCCGTAGACAAGTAGCCAAACGTGACAGTTGTAACTTCGTTCCGGCATTTTGTGTTTGTATGACGTTACTTCGTCCCGTGAAGGGATCTAAAAGTGCCATTTGTTTAGCTAGAGCCCCTGTTGAAATTTCGTCACGAATTAGAAAATGGTCCCATTCGCAATTTGTCTCATTCGCAAAATTGTCACACTTGTTTAACATTTTGAACTTAAGTTGAACTATTGTTTCAAAAATGTTAGGCTTTAACTTTTATATGAGTGTGACCATTTTGCCATTAGGACCAAATACGAATGGACCGTTTTTGAATTTGTGACGAAATACGAATGGGAATGGGACGGTCTGCGCCAAACTCCTTTTGTAGACAACTTACGGATAGTTGGCATCGTTGTCTACGGCCATCTCGATCTCTATGGTCTCCTGTTTGAGCGGCGGTAGGAGCTGCACCGCCTCGCCCTTCGGCCTTTTGTGCCGGGCTATCATCAAGGGCTTCTCGGACTTTATCCATTACTATACTAAGAAAACTACCAGTAAGACGTACTCAGCCGCTAGCAATTCCCAAAGTTAACACAAATTATCGCCTCAACTCTTTTTTTATTCGTGCGAGTAAAATTTTTTAACGATATATCAAAAAAATATAGTGATCTAGAATTATTTCGAACGAAACCCACTACTATAAATAAATTATTCAATTCAATTTTTTTCGACTCCCACTCCAGCGGCGCTTAAAAAGTATTGTTGACTGTTAAGTTTTCACTTGTAAATTATATAAATGTCTGCTATGGCATATGGTCTATTTGCATCTTAACTTCCATTTGCGATTACCTTTAAATTGCTAAGCAGATACATAATTTAAGGTCCCATTATTTGTATTGTATTGCTGTTGGTTTTCCGAATAAAATAAAATAAAAATAAATAAATACGGCGGTCCAGTTTTGCGGCAACCTAAACTGGATTGCTGTGGGAGCGAGCCTAATTCAGAGGCCAAGGTGCACGGCCTTAGTGCGACTTCGACATCCATCTAAGCGCTCTAGCGCTGCACGTTTTAAGTTTTGTTAGACAGAACTAATGCAGCAGCTACATCGAACTTTAGTTTCAATTCTTTCCAAAATGGGGCAAGAATCTTGCGATAGCTTCTCTATCCTACTAATATTATAAATGCGAAAGTTTGGATGTCTGGAGCGAAAAAAGGAAAAGTGTCGGGGGGATGATTTTTTCTATAGAATTTGACAACAGCGGCGGAGCGGTGCACAGCGGAGCAGTGTGGAGCGTAGAGGAGATGTGGAAATTATGAAATCCGATTAGTTAGTCAGAACACTTCTCCGCTCCGCTCTGTCTAGGTGGAAAATGGACCTACTAAGTACTGACTTGGTGGAAACTGGACCTATTAAATTGCTGTCGCGACTGTGCGACGGGCGCCCGCAGTGAGTGTGCGAGCGCAACAGCAATATAATTACGCGCGAGCGATAAGGATGGGTAGCTTGGGGTCATTGGACAAAATTCTACGAGCTCGCAGACCCGACTATAGTCAGAACACTTCTCCGCTCCGCTCTGTCTTGGTGGAAACTGGACCTACTAACTCATGTTCTTACAAAACTTACGGGTAATTGGCGCCACTGTCGTTGTCTACTGCCATCTCGATCTCTATGGTCTCCTGTTTCAGAGGCGGTAGCAGCTGCACCGCCTCGCGCTTCGGTCTTTTGTGCCGGGCTAGCATCAGGGCCTCTCGGACTTTGTCCATTATTATTCGTATTTCATCCTGGAAAAGACATGAAAAATAAAAATAAAAGCCACGATAGCCGAACGGTAAAGGGGCTAGCGTGATATCCGGGGAACGCGGGTTCGAACCGCCGCTCGATTATTGTAATAACCCACTAAACGAGCAACGAGCGTAACACGAGCATATTTACGGGACTATTAGTAATTTGTGCAATACACATTATTAATATTCTTTAAAAAAATCTAGTACTACTGCACAGATGGTCATGATTTGAGATATATCTTTGTTAGTTTGTAATACTTATCGAGAGCAAGAGGATGAAAATGTAAATTACAATAACTTGAAGAAATCGAACTGCCTAAGGCGGGAATCGAATCTACGAACGCGGGTTCATCCAGTGACTAACGGCCGAATACTGAAACGCCATTTGAATATTTGACGGCTTCTCAAATAGTTAAGCAGCTCCTAAACTTACATTTCGCATACTCAAAACAATATCTGAGCAGTTCTCAATTTTTAAGCACCTCTCAAATTAAGTTGCACTCAAACGCCACTTAAATGAATTTTCGCATACTGAAACGCCATTCAACGCTAAGCATTACTCAAACAACTGTCAAATCGTCTTAAGCAGCTGTTAAATTTGAGAGTGCTTGCGCGGTATCTTAAATCCTATTGTTATACCTAAAACGACCTAAATAGTGGTAAATAATGTGTGTCATCGTTATCATTTCTTTCGAGCCTCGAGGAAATACCTAGATCTAATCGCAGGAACGCAATAAGGCTGAACGCTATTGAAAAATATTATTATAATGACATGCAATTCCGAGCGAGGTTCCGCGTCTCTAAAGAAACGGTGTTGTTTCTGGATTCATAATTTGGAAGCTCTTTGAAACCCCTCACCAAATGCCATACAACCAGTGGACCAAATACTTATTATAACCCTACTGTTCTACGCAACGGGAAGTTATGAACGTGTACTAGGTGATATCTTCCACATCTAACAGCCAACTGTGCATCGTATAGTGCACGAAGTAACAACCAAAATAGCTGCTATGAAATCGCTTTACATAAACATGCCTATTTCTGAGGATTAAGGGGACATCGCATAGCAGCATTTCCAAGAGTTGTTGATTTGTCAATTTGATGCTCTGTCAGTCAACAATGATAAATGTCAATTGTGGTTACGTTTCGGTCCACGATCGCCATTTAATAGATTTCAACAATAAAAAGTATCATATTTAAAATATTTTTTTTAAATAAATAAAAATGCAAGCATTATTATTTTTATATGATAAAACGAGATTTATATATAATAGAAACTAAAAATAAACTGTTCTATGTTAAGTTGATTGAGTAATTTCCATAAAAGACAATACATAACCAAACGATGCTGCGTGTAATGGATAAAAGACGTAAAGTTATCATTTGTGTAAATGAAAACATACTTTTTTTGGTAAATGTTGCCATTATGTAAACATTTGAGAGCTGCTTAGCTGATCACGGCTTCAAATCCGTTGAGTAGCGTTTGAGAATACCATTTAAAATTGAAGGATACTTAAATTTAGGAGCCCGTCAGCTGACTGACAGATTTAAGTAGTGTTTCAGTATTCGGCCGTAAGTAGCTCAGATGGAAGAGCAGTCGCCAATTATTTATAATTTACAATTTAGTTTGAGATAGGTGACCCTCTCGGCACGTGACCGAACTATGTATAGACTAGGTCACGTGTCATGTCAATGTCTGTGCGCAGTCTTATCTATGGAGAGATATACTGTCACCGCCATAACTGCGCCATAGCATACCTCTGCACTATGCGGCGGCGCGCGTAGCACGTAGTGGTGTGCGTGCAGGCCGCGCGCATCGCACGTGCCGCACGTGCGTACCAGGCATTGCACGCATATGAACACGAACCTGGAAACACAGTTGTTTATTTATAAGGAGGATGCGTTAGTAATTTGTAGAGCACTTACTAATAATAATTAATCGACTATCATTAACCCTTCCAATAAGGATGTTTTCTGGGTAAAAAATAAATAGTTTGAATTAGTCCGTCAGTTGACTAAAGCCTGGTCCGTGAGCACGTAGAATTTTGTCCAATGACCCCAAGCTACCCATCCTTATCGCTCGCGCGTAATTATGTTGCTGTCGCGCTCGCACACTCACTGCGGGCGCCCGTCGCACAGTCGCGACAGCAATATAATTACGCGCGAGCGATATGGATGGGTAGCTTGGGGTCATTGGACAAAATTCTACGTGCTCACGGACCAGACTATAATCAAAAAATACCTACTCGACACCTATATTTCACTTTTTCAAACCAATGAAAATTGAAAGAGGTAAAGCCCGCCAAAGACAAAAGTTCATAAGAAAAGGCCCGTAACGTTCGCGTCAAGGCGTGCTTAAAAGTGTAGCACTTTGTGACGTCACGCGGAACTTCAACGCACCATAACTTCTTAATTACTTGTCTGACTGACAAGTGTCTAGTATTTTCTGATAATGTAATTGACGAACTGAGTTTTTTTTAGGAAACTAGCCTATGAGCCCTATCGTTTTTATACTTCTTAATAGTTGGCACTGGCGATTGCCATGACCCTACTCTACAGTGGCGCCATCTGGTATCGATAGTCACCGCTGCAGCGCTCACCAGTTGGCGCCACTGTCTTTGCCACTAGCAAGTGATAGTGACCTTACTCTACATTGGTGCCAACTGATTAGCGCTACAGCGATAGCCTACATGAAGTAAAACTATATTGCTTTTCAGCAAAGCGAAGAGAAGAGATGTATGATCGATCAGACTTCCGGACTTATTCATAATAAATTTATATTGTCATTTTTAAAATAGGAAAATTCATAAAAATATTAGATTTAACTGATACACATAGAGTAAGGGACAAAAAAATATAATCAGAAATAAAGAACATAACAAACATAATTGCATCAATTACCAATGCATCAACATAAACACAAATGATAACTTTCAATGCTTACAATACGTTTAGTATCCAAACAAAACACGCGCGCGGGAGGCCGGCGTAAATAATATGCGGACTACGACTCTCAAAGGACATTGTCAGAAATCGCCTAAAAACCGCCCAAAAACATTAACCCATCATAATTATTTTCTAATTTTTTTAATACATTAAGCACCCTTTCATTCTAATGGACACTTAAGCATTGAAAAATTAAATAAATAAGTCTTTTAACGTTTATTCTATAATACTATTACAACTTCCGGACGTTTTGGTGCGTGGCATGGTCTAAAACCTATCAAGTTCCATAATTTTTGCCGATAAAATCTGTACGAGGCATTACCGTACTTTATTGCTGGGAGTCCATGTATAGTGATGTTCCTGCGGCCATCATAGACAATAAAATATCGATTTTGAAAATAAAATAAATCGATTAAACTGCTTTGAAGACTAGATTTGCGTTAAAAGCTAAAAAGATATTGACAGTATTACAAGAAGCTATCTAAAGTGTCCAACTGGTCGAAGGTCGTAAATAAAATAAAAATAATTAGGACCATAAACTGATATTCATGGTATCATAACTGTAAAAGTGTCAGAATCCGATGTTGAATCCAATGCCAGTTGAAGTGAGAGAAACATATATCAACCTACCTAGTATAAATAAATAAATAAAAATAAATAAAAAATGTATTTATTGCCTTCGAACCATTAGACATAGGTAGGTACAGTCAGTTAGACTTACAACTAATAAGTACACCGAAGGCAATTGGACCTGGCTCAGTATACGTTGTAAGGACAGATCCTTGCAACACTGGTTTTCAGCCATGCCCAATTCTCTAGGATGTTGAGCGAGAATAAAGTTATGAGGGCTTAAGAAATAATTATAAACTTTGAAACAATTATAAACTTTAAAGGAAAAAAAATGTTTGCAATCTAAATTACCTATTTATACATAAAGCATACCTGTAAAAAAACGAAAATGTACGCCTTCTGTGCCATTACCCAATACACTATAACCGTGTGTGTGTTTGTGTGTGTGGGTGTGTGTGTGTTTGTGTGTGTGTGTGTGTGTGTGTGTGTGTGTGTGTGTGTGTGTGTGTGTGTGAGTGTAGTGTGTAGACTATTTGAAAAAATCCTTAAGGGGCTATAATTTGGAATATCCACTAATTAAGCTCTCTGCTGCCAATTGCCTTTCTTTTAGAGCCACTTTGTATTTCATTTTAAAGGTAGCAATACTCATTTTTACTTTCATAGGCGGCGGTAAGTCATTCCATATATTAGCAGCAGCGAACTTAAAAGAGCCACGAAATCGAGAAGAGCAATGTTGAGGTATTTTTAATCTGTTTTGAATAGCTGTTCGAAGACTTCTTAGTGCACTGTCTTTTACCCAGTGAAGTTTTTCGTACAGTATATTCGGGCTTTTTGTTCCATATTGTCCTGTGGACCATGCAGGCAAACTGCAGTTCCCTACGAGCCTTCATATTTAGTATCCCTTTACTGTTAGGTATGGGGTTATATGCTCCCTTCGAGGTACATCAAAACAAAACCGTATGCAAGCGTTTTGTACCCTTTGAATATCTTATTCAGTGCTGACATTTAGTTTGGGACCAATTACTGAGCCGCAATAGTTAAAAGGGGAGAGCACGAGTAAGTCAGTGAGCATTAAGCGCAGCTCTTCTTTTAGAAATGGTCTTATTTTATAAAGAGTCTTGAGTTTAAAGAAGGCATTCCTGATTTTTTCGTTTACGTGTTCAATGAATTTCTGCTCTCCATCTAGAAGCAGACCCAATTTGCGAGCACATTTTACTTTATCCAAGACTATATTATTAATGGAAACTTCAATGTTACAATCCAGGACCTTCCTTATTTGGTGTTTAGTTCCTAGGATAAGTACTTGTGACTTAGAAGGGTTTAGTACCAGTGAGTTCCTTTCTGACCAAAGATAGATGTTTTTTAGATCCTCATTTACTTTTTCAACAGCCTCAGTGGTGTCATTACTTTTAAAAGAATAGTACACTTGTGTGTCGTCTGCATACAAGTGGTATTTACAGGATTGTATACACTGTGGGAGATCAGCAGTAAAAATGGAAAATAAGATAGGGCTCAGTATAGAACCTTGTGGCACGCCTCGCCCGACTACCTTAGGGGATGAGAAACTATCTACACCGTCATCTCTAGTAATAGCAACCGTCTGTTCCCTGTTAACCAAGTATGACTCGAACCACTTGCATGTGTTAGGTGAAAACCCATAGTGTGACAGTTTTGCCAGTAGGAGTCGAGGGTGCAGGCAGTCAAATGCCCTAGAATAATCTAACAATACTAGTATGCTGCTCAGTCAAGTCAATGCCAAGTCCGAAGCCTCAGTAAGGTCGTCAGTAACGTGGAGTAACGCGGTTTCAGTACCGTGTCCCCGTCGGAAACCAGACTGGAATTTAGGGATTATATCATAGTTGCCAGTCACTCATAATCTATGCCAATGAGGGTTTTCGCGATTGAAAAATCCGCCAGATGGCAATACGTAGACGTGAGGTCAAAATGCTGCATGATTGGTTATTTTTGACATGACATTGACAGATATGTCAAAATCCACCAATCATGCAGCATTTGGACCTCGCGTCTACGTATTGCCATCTCGCGGATTTTTCAATCGCGAAAACCCTCATTCATAGCACATGTATAATAATAGACCAAATGAACTTTTATAGATTGTGAAAGAGAAGATANCCTTAGGGGACGAGAAACTATCTACACCGTCATCTCCAGTAATAGCAACCGTCTGTTCCCTGTTAACCAAGTATGACTCGAACCACTTGCATGTGTTAGGTGAAAACCCATAGTGTGACAGTTTTGCCAGTAGGAGTCGAGGGTGCAGGCAGTCAAATGCCCTAGAATAATCTAACAATACTAGTATGCTGCTCAGTCCCAAGTCCGAAGCCTCAGTAAGGTCGTCAGTAACATGGAGTAACGCGGTTTCAGTACCGTAATTTTGTAACCTTTTTTTAAAATATCCCAGACCTGGCCATATTATACAAAAAGAACGGCACCGCCTATGTTTCAGTTCCACGCGAAAATATGTAGGTAATTTAAATAATTTATTTCTCAGACATTTCTTGATCGATTTAAAAAAAAACTTCACCGTCTTTTTTTAGTTTTGGTATATATTTTAATCCCATTCAGAGAAATATAGTGTTTTTAACATCAGGAACTTCTCCATTAAAATGCTGGAAGAGCAATTTATTTACAATACCTCTTTATCTTGATCATCTGTCTATTGAAGAACAAGAAATGCAAGTGGAGTTCTTAGAATCGTTTTCTAGTTCTGAATGAAGTGATAAGTTAAAAGTATGATGCATAATAAAATTAGTTACTTTAAAGTAATATTACGATTTACTTAATTTCCAAGACATTTTCCTATGTTAAAAACCTGATGTATAACAACATTCTTTATACACATACCTACCTAAAATGTATATTCGTACTTCATGTTCATTAATATTAAAGTCATAAAAGTAAAAAATTAAACAGTATCAAGATCGTTTATTCCAATTTCCCTAGTATTGCTCTCAACAAAGTTTATTTTCCCTATTTGCCATGAGATTCTGGTACACCTATAATTATTCATATTCAGTGAGTCAACCACAAAATGATGGACTTTACGTGGGCTAGACAACAAATGTTTATTTTCATGATGTAGCAGTGAGCCCGAAATAGCTTGAACAAAACTCGAAAATTTTACTCGCCAGCGTACTTACTCTGTGTTTGGTTGGACATAGACGTGTGAAATGTTAGCGGAACCGCTTTATGATACAGGACATTTCATGCTTTCAACTGAATCACCATGTCCTTTTCCCCAGGATTGTAACAAATATCAAACCTCCAATCCATGAGTGGATAACCATCTTCTGAGAAAGCTTGTTCCTTTGTAAAATAGTGGGGCTTTTATTTATTTTTATAACACTTGCGATATCTAAGACTATGTCCAGAACTGCCAATGGGTTAAATAGGAATTCATTGAATTTATCTTCCACAGCATCATAACCACGTCAGGGCTGGTGGAAGTACCCAACCTGAGCCACGTCCATGACACCAAGAAGGGCAACTCTTCCATCCCTTACCTGCAGGCTATGTAAGTACAATCTCCCGTATGTTAGAAAGAGACAACGAAATTAAAATAGTTTAGGTCATGGAATTCGATAAATCAGACGTTTATTAAAACCTATATGAGGTTGGTCGTGACATGGCATATCAGCCCCTGCAAAATAACCCTAGATACGCCGCCCGCAGGAGGTGCCTCGATGCGAGCGGCGCAGGACCGGTCTTTGTGGAAATCCTTGGGGGACGCCTTTGTCCAGCAGTGGACGTCTTTCGGCTGAAACGAACGAACGCCATTGAGTGTGGTTTTTTTCTATTTTGATACAGCCTAGTTTTTCACTCTTTCTTGTAGTAAACACTTGTCTTAACGTACTAGTAAACAATCAGACATGTTTGTTTAGATTATACGCGTCTCTATTTAAGTACGAATTTCGAGTAAAAATGGTTAGTAGCTATTACTCATTACGTTGAATTACTACATTATAAGCGTTATGATGATGCGTAATAAATAAAATATGATCTGTGTTTTTAACTGAAACATTGGTTTTACGTACTAATTATGTACACTTCCACATAATTTTGGACACAGTAACTGTTTACTTTAAAGAATTACGAGTCATCTCTGTAATCATATCACCCATGTCCTAAATATTTTGAGTTAAACAAAACAATTGAAACTTTAAAGTGTGACCTAGAACCGAATAAGCAGAATAAAAATTACAAATTCAGTTAATGCAGTTATAAATCAACTGTTTCTAAATAGACCAAACGCTCACAATTGGTGCAAATCACCGACAGTAACCTCGAGTATACGTTTCAGCCTACACTATAGCTGAAGCTAAAAGCTCTGAGCTTACGTCATAGAAAGTATAAAGTATCACTTTTCTTGTTACATAGAACAATACATATATCATCCCTAGTGTGTTTGTTTATTTTTAGCTCTACTGTTCGTATGTTGTCTCCAAGGCTCGATTTTAACAAAATTAAAACTGACCCAAAATTGCTCTAAAAAGTAAAAAAAAAAACACGAGCATAATATGATGATTGGAATTTTCGAAGTTAGTACCAGCATGTGATTCAGTATGGTAAAAACGTAGTTTGGGCGCTTGATAAGCTTCTTTAAATAATATACCGAAATTAAACTACGAATGCGAACAGCTAGGGACTGGAATTCGCTGCCTGCTGTTGTCTTTCCCGAAGACTATAATCCGGGCTTTTTTAAGGCGAGAGTGCAAAGGCACTTACAGGGCAGATATATAACATCCTAGACTGCATCCCACTTAACACCAGGTGCGATGATGATCAAATACGTGCCTTGTTATGCATTAAAAAAATACTATGTAGTTACCTAAATTAGAAGATTTTCAACCGGTTTAACAACCTTATTTAGCGAACATATGTACGTCAACCACGGTGTTTCTTAATATGCTGTCGTCTGTACATTACAGTAAAAGTTACCTTGTATTCCAGAGACTTGGAAGGCAATCACATCAAGCGACTGACGCCCCACGCGTTGCGTGTCTCCGCCGATCAAGTGTAAGTCCCTAGGTATATACCGTTATGATGTTTTATTTTTATCTTATTTATTAACACAAGCTGACCCGGCGAATTTCGTACCGCCTATATTTATCGGAAATAATTAAGGTTTCTAATGGTGAAAGGATTTTTCAAATTGGTCCTGTATTTTTGGAGCCTGTGCAAAGCAATAAATCTTTCCTCTTTGTTATATTAGTGCAGATTAACAAATTTATTTTAAAAATACTAAAAACTTCGTACTACATATGTACCTTCGGCCTGTAAGATCAACCTTGTTGCTCAATCAATCTAAGAACAAATTATGTGCGAAATGTAAATGTAAAACTTGCCCTTGTAATTTTCAGCTATAGATTACGCGTAAGTAGTTAACCCTAACCGTTATTATTTCCCGTTATTAGTTATAATATTATTTTTTCAGTAAATGGTTTTGAACAACTCTTTGAATGGGCGCATTATGAGTTTTTGAAAGCTCCAGATTCACAAAAATAATGAGTAGGTAACTCTATAGTTTTTGACCCACATGCATTTAACGTGTTAATAGAGTGCTTAGTTTAGATAAAAAAATCCTTTAAAATCGATATAGTGATTTTGAATTACTTAATTATTTTGACAGTGCATTAATTTATTTTTTCAGATCACTGAATCTAAACCTGATTGAAGAAGTACCCGCATTTGCATTCAAAAACGCACAGATATCAAGACTGTAAGTATCTTTCTTAATGCGAAGTTTAAAATAAAACTTGCAGAAGTTGACTTCCGCAAGCTGCTTACAGCTCTGGCAAGCTTGTGGAAGTCAATCAACTTCTGAAAATTTTATTGCTAGTCTAAACCTCGATTAAGACTGCTCTTGCTTGCTTTCCTTTCACATTTCACAGGTATGGCACTTTAAAAACAAATACTTAAATAATCATGTTTTTCAGGAGTTTCCGAGGAAACACGAAACTGAAGCATTTGGACGAAAACGCATTTGCTGGAAATCTTTTACTGAGACAACTGTAAGTTTAATTATAGTTTTAACAAGATACTATTTGTCTAACGCCCGTATCCACAAACGATGCTTGCTTAAGTGAAGCAGCAAATCGAACGCACAGCGTTGAATAGAGCTCTGTGATTGGTTCGTTTGTGACCCTGTGCGTCCACGCGCACTATGAGACCTCATAGTAATGTTTGTGAATACGGGCGTAAAAGCTTTCGTTAAAAGTCCCTGATAGCCTGCCAAATTAGCAGCTATCATTTTCATTTTCAACGTGAGCTAGTCCCAGGAGAATATTTAAAGTATCATTTCGACTTCAATTTAGTATCATGATGGTTTAAATTCAGTCTGCTTACCATGAGTTTACGATAAGTGTGCTCGCTAGCGACTGTGTAAAAAATGACATTAAATGTATGACAGATTGTACCGCGCCCCTAGCGGCTACTTTCAAGAACCAAAATCTTCATAGATTTTTTTTGACCGTACTCGCTAGCGAGCACACCTAACGTAAACATAACGTAAACAGTAAGCACACAGTACATTTTGTAAAATAAACCTATGACGTCACCTTTTTGGCAACACAATCGAAAAATCTAGTTTTGCCCATAATTGAAAACTACCTACTTAAATTCTCTGTTTTGTCTAATTTTCTGGTTAGCTGGAAGAGAATGCCACATATGGCATTAAGCTCGCCTGTTGTACCACTATTTTTTGTGTGCAATAAAGATTTTAAATAAATAAATAAAACTCGTTTAAGGTTTTCAGGGCTGGAATTGTTTGTTAAATAAGTTTTCCTAGGACTTAGGGTTTAACTAACGCCTAATTTATCTATTTCTTTAAAATTCTAGGGATTTGAGCAGCACGATAATAGACTCCCTGCCGACCAAAGGCCTGGAGAACCTACAAGTGCTCAAAATAGAGAGGACCCCGTCACTCAAGTACATCCCATCTATTTACGAATTTCGGGTGAGTAGACAAAAATGTTTTTTTTTTTTTATCATGAGCGAGACAAAGTTTTTCATATGAAAAATAAATCCCGTAAAACTTGTCTTCATAAAATAAAAATGCAGTATCTTTATGTTTAGGTATGACAAGGCCTAAGTTAGTATGGGCTCTACATATTTGGAGAATGTAATAATTGATAGACATGTTTTAACTAAGATAATAAAACAAAAACTTCGCGTCTACTCGTGCCTGGAGTATTATGTAGTGCTTCGAATTATTGCCCGAATTGCCGATTGTTTCTGTATTCATGAGTTTATCACAGAATTATTTTTTTGTCAGCTAGACAATTTTTCCGCACGTTCACCCTTTATTTACTTTTCGCAGCAACTACAAGAAGCCCGGCTAACCCATCACTTCCACTGCTGCGCCTTTGCGTTCCCCGAGAGGCACAACCCGGCCAGACACAAGCTCTTCGAAATGCAACTGGCACTTGTAAAAGAGGTGAGAATTCCCTCCTAATGATATTAGCTGTAGACCCTGGCCTTATAAGCTGTAGATCCTGGCTACACACACAGGAGTTGCAGCGGTGGGAACGAGAGGTGCGAATAGGTAGTCCTAATGAATTAGGTATCATGATAGTAATATTAGCTCGTAAAAGTTGTTTAGATGTAATTTGGTACGGAGTTTGAGACCCAGGGAACAATTTTAAACGCGAAAACCATGTTGCATCGCTCTATAATAGTCCACCGGCTCCCGCGGAATCGAACCCGTTACTATGTATTACGTATTTACGCTGTAACCCGGCAACTGAACTCAGGGCCGGATCTACCATATGGCTTTTTGGGCTTCAGCCCAGGGCCCCTGGGATTCAAGGGGCCCCCAGCTAACTCAAGTCGAAGTCAATAATATAATAGACGATAATGCGAAAGAGTATAGTAGGTGAGTAGAGATTGCAAAATCCGGATTTTNATAGCCAACAACCTGTTTAGAACTCTTTTAAGGATTTCTCCACAATTACCCCCATTCTCATACAATGACATTTCGAGATGAATTAATGTAAGCAAATCGAATCCGCTGGGTGAACTTGATGGGCGAGGTTGAAGATATCTTCAATATATCTTCAAGATATCTCTACTTACACTTGGCCTGCGGATGAATATGGAGAAAACAAAGCTTATGTTATGTAATGTACATGTTGCGCCCTACCCAGTTTCGGTTGGGAGCTCAATTCTCGAGATTGTTGACAAGTATGTCTACCTCGGACAAACGATTCAGCTGGGTAGGTCCAATTTCAAGAAAGAGGTCAATTGTCGAATCCAACTCGGCTGGGCAGCGTTTGGGAAACGACGCAACATCTTTTCGTCCAAAATACCTCAGTGCCTGAAGACTAAGGTCTACAACCAATGTGTGTTACCAGTGATGACTTATGGTTCGGAAACGTGGCCTCTCACTATAGGCCTTATACATAAGCTCAAATTGCACAGCGTGCTATGGAGAGAGCTATGCTCGGTGTTTCTTTACGAGATCGAATCAGAAATGAGGAGATCCGTAAACGAACTAAAGTCGCTGACATACTAGCCCGACGGATACAAGCTGAAGTGGCAATGGGCAGGGCACATAGTATGCATAACTGACGGCCGATGGGGCAGCAAGGTTCTGGAGTGACATGCAATAAATAATTTGAATTTGGAGTGGAGGCCGCGTACCGGAAAACGCAGCGTGGGACGTCCACCCACAAGGTGGACCAATCAGGCAACATGGAAAGCATGGGGGGGGGGGGCTATGTTCAGCAGTGGACGTCCTATGGCTGAGATGATGATGATGACTTACACTTGCAAGGGATATTTGCCGATTTAGCTGCTCTTTAAAACTCAGCGATATGGTGTTTCAGAACAGAATCAGCGTCTCGTATAAAACTCACTGGCCGACTAGCGAATTCACTTACGCATGCGGCATGACGCGTCGTTGTGCAGGCACAGTGCAGGTGTGAGTGTTGTGCGACGAAGTGCGGGTGCGTTCAATCAAAACTTCGCTTGTTTTGCATCCATGTTGCATTCAATAGATATTTTGGTTTATGATTTTATGATAAAATTTTTGGGGTAAAAATATTCGAAAAAACCGGATTTCAAAGTCAAAATCCGGATTTTTTTATAGCCTCAAAATCCGGATTTTTCAGATATTTTCGAATTTCGAATAATCCGGATTGCAATCTCTANTTTCTAAAACTTGTTCTATTATTTTATACTATTTGGCTGCGACTCGGCGTGACGACAATACAAAACATTTTTCGCGAATCGGTGTTCATACATTCACACAATACATTAGACGCCATGTTGTCATAAACGACATATTATAAAATCGCTGTGATTTAATATTCTTAATCATTAATTTTATGGCAAGTGTCCATCAGGAATCATTGTTCTTACACACAGAATCGTATTATTTCGCTTTCGGGTAGTAATATGTCAAAATTGTTGGTTCTTAGGCAAACAATGTATGGAGAACGAACATTGTCCTTTCAATGGGCAGTGTCGGCACGAGAGTTAACTATTAGACAAGTGAATAGCGCACGGTAATTTCCCTAATGTGCGGTAATTCCTCTAATCAGTTCTCATATGCCTACGCTTATGTATTATTTGCGGGAATCCCCGAAAAAACGTAAATAACTAACGATGACGTAATCATCATCTAGACCCCCCTACCCCTCATGTCATCCAAAATAAGCAAAACAGAGACCACCCACCCCCCCTTGGTACTTACGTAATACTTGAACGGCCCCATACTCACCCGGATATAGTGACATGGCACAGTCTGCACAACTGATCTTGCGCAGGCTCCGACGCCATACTGCTCATCTAGAACAAACGGAAATAATGTCAGTCAATATTAGAGACAGTGGCGTAACTATAGGGTGGCAGGGCTGGCAAAATGCCACGGTCCCCCGACCTGACTCTAAGCGCAATGAGGGCTATCGTTTTAGCGCTCACCAGTTAGCGCCACTGTAGAGTAAGGTCCTGTCAATCGCCAGGGGTGCCAACTGTTAAGTATAAAAACGATAGCCCTCATTCGTCCAACCCGTGATGGTTCAGGGCCACTTCTGAAAAGAATTTTCCACAGGCCTCGTATGGTATAGTTAATCCACTGATTGGAGAACAATAAGCTCAATGTTACGCAGAACTAATCAACTGACGGCCGATGCGGCGAGAAAGCGCAGCGTGGGACGTCCACCCACCCACAAGATGGACCGACGATCTGATAAAGGTTTTTTTTTTATGTGACAGGAGGCAAACGAGCAGACGGATCACCTAATGGTAAGTGATTACCGTCGCCCATAGACACCCGCAGTCTCAGGAGCGTTGCCGGCCTTTAAGGTGATTATCATCATCACTTTGTCTGCCGTTTGGTGTAGTGGTTCGAAACGGACTACTATTCCGGAGGTTGCGGGTTCGATTCCCGCACAGTACAAACATTTGTGTGCATGAACATATTTGTTTGTATTGGACTGGATGTTTTCTATGTATAATATGTATGTATTTACAAAAAAAAAAGTATTTAAGTATGTTTATATCCGTTGTCTAGTACCCATAGTACAAGCTTTGCTTAGTTTGGGACTAGAAGCGCAGTGTAAAATGTCCAAGGATATTTATTATTTATTACTGATGGTATAAGATGCAGGCAACTATTAACCGGTCAATATGGAAATCAATTGGTGGAGCCCTATATCCAGCAATGGACGTCCTGTGGCTGAAATGATGATGATGAATAAAAATAGTTCTTACCTCTTCTGGGAAAACCTCTACTTTAATCTTTTTCACCGGTCTGCACTTTTTACCGACTTTCCGTCTTCGTCGTACAGCGCTGGGCACCTGAAGTGAAATTTATAATTTAAAATTAATTCAAATTAACTAAAAAACTAGGTATAAAATACAAGGACCAGTAGTAGTTATTGCACTAGGCTCGAAGTAACGGGTAAAAATTCGAGTTTAAAAATCATGGTAAAAATTCGTAATTTTAAAAATTATTTATCTGAAAACTACATCACGGCGATCTCTAAAACACTGGCAAAACGACGTCTTAGGCTGGACTCTTCACTATAAAATCACGCAAACCCAAAACTTTAATTGACTCTAAATGTTAGCCTTTTTACTAGCTTTTACCTCGCGTGAAATTTTGTCTGTCACAGAAAAACTTGATCGTGCGCGTCCCTCTTCCAAAAACCGGGATAAAACTACCTCTATCTACCAAATCGTCGTCAAATGTTGCCAAACGGTAATGACTGATTAAAAAATAATCCTTGCCTGTTCAGGGAAGACTTCCACTTCAATTTTCTTCACAGGCCGACGACACTTTTTCCCCTCTCTTGCTTCCTTAAGCCGCCGGCGCACTGTGTCCATAGACACCTGAAAACAAAAGCAGGATGATTAAATACTTGAGAAGAATGGAACCTCCACGTCTATGGACAATATTGGCACAGATATGTTATACAGGGTGTCCCGTAATGTAACGTCAAGCCGGAACTGGGTGTTGAGGCAAGTTATGCTGGTTATCAGAAAAATATAAAAAAAAAACTATGTGGCATTTTGTCAAAATAATAGGCATTTAAAAAAAATCAAAAAATTCTACTCCCGGTGACGGCCTTTTTACTCGTGTTGCCACAAATCTTCACTTTTTCCAAATTTTTTTTTTGTTATGTAACCCTGAATAATGCTTCTCTAAATTATTATTAAAATTACAAAACCAGCTGTTCCAACTTGGATGAAAAAAATACATTATTCCCAAAAAAAATATCAAAATAAAAATTTTGCCTAGTTTAAACTGACTGTACTGAAAAAAAATTGTACTACGTGAGTGTGGNTAGGTGAGCCCCTAAGTAGTATTAGCCCAGGGCCCCCTAAACTCACGGCCCGGCTCTGACTGAACTACTAGTATTGTTAAGCACTGCCATAAAAGCTTTTGTTGACAAATCTTACAATAAATGTGTTTCTTGTACAGAAATGCGGGAACATTGATCAGAAGACAGAATCACGGAGAAGAAGATCCCTGAGAGACAGGCGAATAAGAAAACTAACGGAGGATTTAGAGTAAGTAACTTTCAGGAGAGTGAGACTTAAAACTTTATCTAGTGGTAGCTAAACTGTAAACAACATATTTTAAAATTAAGATGAAATAAGGTCCGCAGCAATCAGAATGTTATCCAGAGTGTAAAGTCAAGCTTCAGTGTGCGGTGTGAAATGTGTGGTCGTCGCTGCATTCAGCTTCCAAAAAGCGGCTAAATTACCGATGGCCGATGCTAAAAGTAAAAAAAAGTAGCACGTTTGTTGTGGCCCTAAGAGTGAAAATTTGTAATCAGTACCTACACGATTGTTAGAAGCCTGTACCAGAACACAATTAACTAGTATTTTCCCATCAGGGCTGAAGACGACACTCCTACCACCAGCGAGGAGACCGGCTTCGACAGCAACGACTATTACTTCGACGAACCGTCTAGCTCAGAGAACAGCGACCAGTTCCACGCCCCGATAGATAGCAACGTCTCTTCGCAGAAGGTGGCTTACAATTGCGCCGGCTTCATGACTGGGTAAGAAAATCGTAAATTCCAAGCATAACCGTGGACGGACAGACAGACGGACTAACAGACATGACGAAACTATTGACTAACTCTTTATCAGGACTTCCGTAGTCTGCACTAAAAAGAAATAAGACTTTTTCCCCCACCACGTTTCATTTCTGCTAGTTACTAAGTAGTGAAAACTTCTATCATTTATCCACCTCCCAACATTATCTGAAGTCTTCTAACGTAACAACTGAAGTAACAAAACCCTAATATCAGACTCTGTTATCAGCTAAAAGCCCGGACAAGACTCAATCGGACCTTTGAAGATGGAAATCCTATTTCTATGGTTCTTAGATAGATTCTATGAAAGAATAATCAGTTTGAGTAAAGTTTTGGTCACGATATTGCAAGAGCAAGGGGCCAAGGGACAGAGTAAGGCTATGACGATAATGGGAAACTGGACTCAGGAAAGATACAGATAAAATAAGTTTTTGTTCAGTAACAAATCTTCTAAGTTCTGCTGGACATAGGCCATTGTCAAAGCAGCTTCTTAGCTCTCTCCGCAGCTCATTTCTTCCAAACTCTACCAGAAAGTATGTAAAGTAATTTCTCTTAACATGCTTTTTTATTTCCAGGAAACCAAAGGTCGTGTGCACTCCGCAACCAGACGCGCTAAACCCTTGCGAAGATGTCATGGGTTGGTCGTGGCTGCGAGCCAGCGTCTGGTTCGTGATCGCAGCAGCTGTCGTCGGCAACATCGCTGTGCTGACTGTCCTTCTCACAAACCAGTCGGAACTCACCGTCCCAAGGTTCCTCATGTGCCATCTCGCTTTCTCCGACCTTTGCACCGGCATCTACCTCTTTATGCTTGCCGTCGTAGACCTCAGATCTTACGGAGAGTTCTTTAACTATGCCTACGATTGGCAGTACGGCGTCGGATGCAAGATTGCTGGCTTCCTCTCCGTATTCTCTGGACAGCTATCAGTATTCACACTCAGCGTTGTAACTCTTGAACGATGGTTCGCGATTACATACGCCATATATCTGGAGAGGCGAATCTCTTTGTTGGCAGCCGCGAAGATTATGATCGGGGGGTGGCTGTTCTCGTTTCTGATGGCTGGACTGCCTCTTGCTGGAGTCTCAGATTACTCTTCGACTTCTATCTGCCTACCGGTTGAGAGTCAGAACGTGGGAGATGGAGTTTACCAGGGATCACTGTTTCTTACGAATGCTGTGGCGTGGTTTACGATTGTGGTCTGCTACGTACAGATATACAGGTCATTGGGAGGAGGGGGGGAGAAGTATGGAGGAAGAGGGGCAGCAGCAGCGGCCGAGAGACGAATCGCGAATAAGATGGCGTTGTTGATAGGAACCAACCTGCTGTGCTGGGCGCCAGTGGCCTTTTTTGGCGTCACAGCACTCGCTGGAGTGCCGTTAGTAGATGTAAGTCACGGGAAAGTGTTACTAGTGTTTTTTTATCCTTTGAACGCGTGCGCGAATCCGTTCCTGTACGCGATATTAACGAAACAGTACCGGAGGGACTTTATAATGCTCATAGCTAGGACTGGTCATTGCAACTGGCTGGTAGAGAAGTACAAATTGGCCACGACGCCGCCCCCGACGGCCCACACGAATCCGTCTAACCCAGCGCCTCTTCTACCTCTAGTAGACTACCAGAGAAGTCAATCACAAATTAGTAAAGGAAATGGTGATGCTATGTTTTAAGTGTTAGTTTTAAGAATGATGAATGAATACTGGTATTATTATAAGACTATTTATTTACATGTGTTGTTTGATTTAATGAACACCCAAGCAAAAATAAACTTTGAAAACAAACCTTTCTTAACTGTTTGAGATTTTTGTGCTTGCAATTCAAATAAAAAAAAACTTTAAATGTATTGTGTATATTTGTGAATAAAATTAATTTTACTTACAATGTCAACTTAAGAATATCTGAGCATGTTCGTCCAAATTTCTAAGAATGTTTGTATCGATGTATTCGATAATGAGTTTGTCACCTTCAATCAATACTTCTTGTTTCATCAGATCTCCAATTTCCACATCCATTTTTATAGGACTGATACAGTACCCATCCAGCTGTCGGAAAAGTCTTAATTTCACTTTTTCCATTCTGTTATTATTATTTGTAATGTTAGAGGAGTCACAAATGCTATCTATGGCTCTGCCTAAGCTCCATTTTGTGCTGACGAACACCCCAACAGCTCCCTTTAAGTCTGGGTCCAAGTTAAGATTATCGATTTTCACCAAGTTATTGACATCGTCAATAACCTTCACAGTCTTTGGTTCCATGTTTTTAGGTTTGCCGATAGCAAAATATACCCTATCAGAGACAGGGACAGACTTAGGTCCGACAGCTTTCTGTTTGATTCTCATAAGGTGAATCTTTGATGCAGTCTTCACCTTAGCAGACGATTGTAGAGCTTTTCGTATATTTTCTGTTATCTGTATAAATAACAGATAGGGCAAACATTATTCCTTATAAACATCAAGGCTACACATACAACATTGATAATACTTACAGTTTCCTGTAGATGTTGGTTGGCTAGTTGGAACTGCTTTCTTGGGGCTTCGAACTGTTCAATTTTCGCCGCCATAGTTTCATCATCTATTTCTGGACATGTTCTGTAAATAAATAAGAATAATGAGTTTTATGGTAGTCGATTAAGAGCTAGTGAACTCCAGACCTACATTATTTTATAATAGTATTTAACTTAAAAGATCTATATTTGAGCAAAAATGGTGAGAACAGTCGGTCGACAATCATGCGACGGCAAGCAAATGGTCATGGGTTCGATTCCCACCTTAAGCAATTTTCTTTGTTAAGTTATTAAAAACCTTTTGGTAATATTAAAGATACTGAATAAAACTTACGGATGAAATCTGTGCTCAATGCAGTAATGTTTCTTGCACTTTCCACATAGCATTTCATGTAGATTCCCCTTCCTGCATCCCTTCTCGGAGCATTTAAATATCTGGTCATCGCTTTTGAGGTTGACTTCCTTAGGTTTAGGCGCCAACTCGCACTCGCTTGACGTGCAGTGGTCCAAAAAGTGGACTCGGCATAGTACTTTGCCGCACTTGCACTGGAGTGGTAAGAAATCGGTTTGGTTGCAACCTGCTTTCTGGCAGTGCTCGCCGAGGTCAGGGAACTCCATGGCGGCTTGAAGAAATCGAAATAAGATTGTCGCAACAGAATCCCACATACGTAAGGAGAATTTGGTTTAATACCAGACGGAAGAGGTAGTAGTGCTTTTTAGCCAATGTTTACAACAAAAAACTGGTTATTATATGATAGGAAAATGATCCTGCTTTTCCTTTTTACACTAAATAACTTTTTCACATTCACTGAGTAAAAGTTTACAAAACAACATGGGAGGAAACTTTTATGAATAAAATCATCCTTCTGTGATAAAATCAATAAATTGAGCCATCATGAATCAGCTGAATATCAATGACACTAATGACAGGACACAGATATTCATTCAGAAGATTGTGCATTTTTGACGGAATTAAGAAAGGACTCTAATACAACAGCATTGAGTCTATATTGCCTTGAGTTATTTATATTCTATAATCCTTTTTCCACCTGTGCTGTAGGGCGTAAGCACGCGTAAGGCAGATCTTTATTTCACGACGTTATTAGTAACGTTTATCTGTTATTGACCTGTCCCAATATCGAAGTTAGGCAAGAAGTTACTTTCAATTTGATGGCAGCTAAACCACAAGCTAAACTGTCTCTAGAAAGCCATAACAAATGTTCATGAGAGTAGGTCAGTTACGTATACACAGGCGCTAGGGTTTCTGCTCGAGCTTTCTCGAACTCGAGAAAACTCGAGAAATTTGGCTTCATTCGAGACGAGAAAAAAATTACCGGAGCTCGAGAATTCTCGAGTTTCGATTTTGATGCTTTAATATTCTTGAAAGGCTATTTTCTTAGACAAAAGTAAGTTTTTAATTATTTAATAGGTCAACGTTGCTTTTAGACTGGCCTAGTCTTTCCTTTTTTAACTGATTTGATTTGCAAGTAATGATCTCAATCGAAACTAAGTAATAATGTTCACCAACGAGTATGATATTTGTATGTTTAACTCTGACTGATTTAAAGACTGAAAAATTTTTTAACTAGAGAGTTACCTTACCTAACAGACGTTAGGTTAGGTACTCGTGCCTCCTCGTAAAGTTTATGCAAATCGTTATCCGTGACAAATTTAAAAATTTATTAAAAAGTTTTTTTTGTTCATAAAAAAACAAAAAAAATCTCTGCTCTGAAATAGAATCTATTTATCGTAATTTTGCTATTTGGACTTGTATTCTTTAGAAAACAAATGATTCATTTGTAGCTCCAGATTTTTATTGTTATTTATTCTTAAAGTACACGCGACTTAATGACTTTTGTTATGATTATTAGTAAATATTAAATATGAAAGAAGATTTTATTTTTTGTTTGTTTCCTTACCAAAATATGTGGTACTAAATTCTAATATTGATTGTTGTGCATAAAAGTAGGTATATTAGATTAAAAAACCCCGTGTTTTTATTAAATTTCAACCGATTTCAGCAGTTTTCATTAAAAGACTCGAGACCCGAGAAAACTCGAGACTTAGGCCTCGAAAATTCTCGAAACTCGAGAAAAAAAATAAGTCGAGAAATCAGAAACCCTAACAGGCGCCTCTACCTACGGGCTCACCGTTCACCCGATTCGTAATCATATTTTAAACTATTGAAAAAACCATTAAAGTACACCAGAGAGCAGAAATATCAGGAGTCGCAGCGCGCGTTTATTTCCATACAAAAAAATTTCGCCATTTCCTGAGGGGGACGAGGTAATGACATTATTTTGTGTAACAGCTGATGGCGCTGAGACACTATCGATATTTTTGTCGATGAGAATCATTGCTCTATGGTTCATAGTCTATGGCTCGTTTAAAAAAATGATATGAATTAATTTATTATCCTATGGGAGATTCAACATTTCAGATCTCTATTTAAAGGAAAATACGCAAAAGTTTGGCATTTCTTCCCTAGCACGAATACGAATTGTGAAAGTTAAGAGTTATATGTATGAAAAAAACTAAAAAGTCATTTATATAGGCTCTTAAAAAGCACTTTTACACGTCCCAGTATTAACCCTACCACCATTACCCTACACTACCCATGAAATAGGTACCTAATATTCTTATATACCAAACATGACCCACGGCCACACTCCCTTGGCAAAGGGGATCGACTATCAGCCTTAGGCCCGGTTTCCACCAAAGCAGAGCGGTACGGAGACGAGAGATGTACGACGAAGCTGGCAGGCTATTTCCACCAAAGCGGAGCGGAGAAGAGCGCAGCGGTGCTGAGACGAGAGGAGATGCGTGAGCTGTGCGTAGCTGTTAGCTGTCAGTCTATTGCTATCTATGAAATACCGCACTGCTCCGCACAACTCCACACCGCTCCGCTCTTCTCCGCACCGCAAGGCAGCGTCAAATTCTATAGAAAATCAAGTGCACCTGATTCTTCTCCTCTTGATTCATTTCCATCGAAGCGGAGGGGAGTGAAGATGTGCAAATAAGGGAATCTGATTGGATTCAAAAAACTTCTCTGCTCCACTCCGCCTTAGTACACTATCCTTAAAATATTACACAATTAGGAATTTTTGCTTTCCAGTCATTCCAGTGGCAACACTTCTAGAAATTTAGTTTTTTGCAAATTTAGTGTATTAATTAATGTGAAATAAATAAAATAATATTTACCGATGGAATGTAATGTTGTCCTTTTCAAGATTTGATGTTTCAGATCTCTTCTTACAATTAAAAACACTGCAATTCACCATTTTTATCGCAGCACGTTACTCTTCAATAGTGACATTTGGAATATGTCATTGGTGGCGCTGCAACTAGTTTTTATAAACTGAGTGAACCACTGGTCTACTTACATTGCTAGAGGGGATTGCCTGTCAGTTCCACTCCTGTTATTTCTGCTCTCTGAAGTACACACGTTTCTTGCAAATTATATTTAAAGTAGCAGTAGATATCCACTGCACAAGCCTGCAGAAGGTACAATATGCCACAGTGTCAAGCATGATGTGCCGCACTATACCCTGTATTTTTTGGAAGGAAAGACACCCTTTATGTTGTTATGACATAATTATAATCGAAGGCCCAAAAACCTATGGCCCAAACAGACACTACGATGGAGTCTATAAAGATTTAGATTAAACTAATTAAAACAAAAAAGCATCACAAGTGTCACTTTACATTATCATGCCTTGTTCAAGTGGTAAATTAAGCAAAGGTTTCGTAGCTTCTGGATTTGACCAGACCCGATTGAGACCAAAACGTTCCATATTCCTTTTCTATTCAAAATGCCTTATGCCATTACAACCGATCAAGCTAACTGCGCACCACGCTGGAATCCCCGCGTTTTCCCTGTCGTCCGTACCAGGGTCGATGTGACGTGACGTCACCAGGTGCGCAGTTAACTTGACCGGATTGTAAGTACTATTTAATGAGGCGTTAAAGATTTAAATGAAACTAATTGGTTATTTAAAAGCGATTTTATTGCAAAAAGAAATAAATTAACACCCTTGTAGACGGTAATATTCAGGTAGAGGCAGTCTTACAAAAACCTGACTTTTCTTATATTGAAACTTTTGTTTTCGCGAACATCAGACGAGAAACATATGAAACTTATGATAATTTATTAATAAATAAATATCATACTTAAATCTTAGTGCTATTATACACTTTAGAATAATACAGAGGTACTCGGTAGTCATATTTGTAATAATTCTTACAACTATCGAAAATATACGTATAAAATACTTTTCGGTAAAACTAAAGAGGTATTATTATACTGATAAGACTATGACATATAATAAAGAAAAAAAAAATACAACGCACATTTCTGTGCAATAGAATATTTTCTAGCACTTTGACCTACCACAAATAAAATTATACGTACTCTTAGACTGGGTTACACCATCTTACTTTACTTTTAACAAATGTCAAAAATCTGTCAAACTCTATACAAAACGCACCGGTTATCGTTATTATTACCGTTAAAGTTAGGTGGTGTAACCCAGCCTTAGTAATTTCTAAAATAACTGAGGTTACAAACAGAACAACGTACAAACTTTAAAACTTCCTCATTCGATTTCTAACTTTATAGTCACTACTGACAAAGGGTTATGCCCACTTAGTATGGGACCTTTGGCCTGAGGTGGACAGACATTACAGCATGTAATTTGTTATTTATTAAATAGTCTATACCAGTAAGAAACAGAATATAAATATCATTTTGTATCCAAGAAATTAAAAAAATTTTTTTTGGCTTAAGACTAGAAAGGTTAGAAGCAAAATAAAACACCATTTTTTTATTATTATTATTTTAATCTGACTCATGGGTCAATAAAATATTGTCTAGGAACTAGGCAGGTGGAAATACATGTTCCTGATACCTTGCCCAGCTCAAAAACCACTAAATTGTCATAACATGAGCACAGCGACCTACTGTTATTCGGCCAATATAAGGGCAAATGAATCCTCGTCCCATCATGTGTTTGTTGGGGCTCCACAGCATATGTAGCAGCTCGATCAGCTCACTGCCATCAGGGATGACATATTTGGTCATATCCCCGCAGCTGAAACAAAGAAATTAATTATGGTATCATTCAAAATTCATTCTTTAAGATATTGAGATGTGATGTCAATTTTTATCTATCAGTTAGAAGTATTTGTATAGAAAAAAATATACACTTTGTTCAAATATATCAAGCCAATGTCTCTAATAAAATATAATGAAAATAATTATAAAAAAACTTACTTGACGAGGTGAAATCTGTTCCATTATTACATTATTTTCGAATATGTGATTCTCTTTCCGTGTTAATATGCAGTCTATGGAACGTATTTGTAACAAAGATAATCCACGTTAACTGTGACCAGTGCTAGTGGTTGCTTCTTCATACAACATTAACTATAATAATAAAGAAATCGCAGTAAGGAACCATAGACTTGGCACGACTTTGTCTAGATTTCATTACTTTTTAGAGATAAACAAGCAGCTCCATCGAGACTTGGCTAGTTTTTTACAGAATGTTTTTAGTGGGATCTGAATTACCTTAAGCACTAAATGCACTTCAATTTTATCAGATACAGTCAGAATGGAGCACCCAGTCGGAGGCTTCTCATCGCTCAGTTCACTGTACGCCAATGACTGCAAGTTCCTGTAAAAGAAAAACGTTTCGTTGCTTCGTTAAAATGTAGTTCACAAGCACAAGTGAAATAGTAGTGGTAAAGTGACGCAGTTATTTTTTCTTTATAAGTAAAAATATGGCTAGGGCATGCTATAGGGTCATATACAACAATTTTGGGCAATATCAACTAGTGCCGGTTGGTTTACTAGGTACTTTATTTCGCAGAAGTCAACATGAGGTACTTTCGCGGAAACGTTGCTTTTTGTACGCTTTGACGTTTTAAATAATGTGGTATCGTGGTTAAACAAATGCTATAGTTCTATCAAAATGCATAATCTGCTGTGTTATCAACTGCACATACCTGAACAATGCCCTTAAATGGTCTCCCTTCAAGTCTTCCGCTATGATGAGGTGCGCGGTGGTCTTCTGCTTGTTGGCCAGGTTGTACTCGGACCGCGAGGAGCGGATCAGGTGCACCATCTTGAGGACTGTCTCCACGTCCGCTTCGATGGCTTCCGACCGCCAGGGCGCGTCGGATTCCTGAGGAAACAAGGGTATTTTTAGTTAAATGTGGTTGCTAAAACAGAGTCATTTTCTGGCATGGTGAACATCACTAAATATCGATTATCGATAAAATTGAATTATCATGCTTTTGAATAATTACTTATTATACTTATTGTTTTAGCTTACAAACCAGTAAAAGTCCCACTGGTCTGGTATGCTACGTACATTACCATAGCTGGCTACACAAACGGTAGCTAGCATAGGAAACCATTCAAATATACTACTCCTATTGCAACTAGTGTGTGGCCGGGATCTACAGCTCGACCACAAATAAAAACCCGACCAGTGAAGGTCAAGTTTGTCCCGGGGGAAAGTTAAACTGTCATTGGACCCGCAATGAAATGAATCAGAAGAACATAAGAGGAGTTCGAAGTTAAGTTTCGACTTCCCGCTCTACTCCAACTGTATCGTGTTTAGTACAAACTTGTACATCATTATCTTACCGTTGGATAGCTGGCCACACAAATAGACGGGCATGACGTATCCTTCCTCGGCAATCGTTGGAACAGCTCCTCAGTGACGAACGGCATGAAGGGACTGAGCAGCTTGAGGCCATAGTCCAGCAAGCTGGTTTAAGAAACCAGTCAAATATCCTACTGTATCGTTATCTTAGTGTATCGATATCTTACCGTAGGATAGCTGGCCCTGTAGTCTGAAGCTAGTAAAGGAAACTAGTCTAATAATCTACTATCTTACCGTTGGATATGGTCACCAAGGTTATCTCGCACCAGCTGCAGGTCTTCATCAACCGCTGCCTTCGCCGAATTCTCGGCATATACTGGCCCGAGAAAATCTCCAACGTCGAGCTATTGGAACGCTGCCACGAAATTCCGATCGACCAGCAGATCAAGCGCCGCAAGTGGAACTGGATTGGCCACACTCTCCGAAGGGACCCCGATCACATCCCTAAGCAGGCTCTGGATTGGAATCCCCAAGGAAAACGCAAACGTGGTCGACCCAGGTAACTTGGCGACGCACTGTAGCGGACGAGGCGAAGAAGATCGGCAAGACCTGGAGCGAGATCAAGCGAGAAGCTCAAGACCGAACGAGATGGAGGACTGTTGTGGACGCCCTCTGCCCCATCTAGGGGACATAGGACCATAAGTAAGTACCGTTGGATAGCTGGCCACACAGATGGAAGGGCATGACGTATCCTTCCTCGGCAATCTTTGGAACAGCTCCTCAGTGACGAACGGCATGAAGGGACTGAGCAGCTTGAGGCCGTAGTCCAGGGTGGTGTAGAGAGTACGCCTGGCCGCTGCCTTCTGTTCTTCGGTGCCTTGCGCGAACACTGGTTTTAGGTACTCCTGAGGGTTAACAAAAAGATTTTCGATAAGTCAATCGCGAATTTTAAGATTTCACCATTATTAAACGTCAGATTTTTTCAGGCTTTTTCGAATTTCCAAATCAATACTTACTAAAATGTTATGATTTTATTTGATAAGTTTATAAAAATATTTTCCAAAAAAAACATGGTCCTTCGAGCCAGATTTGGGATGCTACGTGTTAACGTGCTGTTAACACGTGTTATTGTTAAAAATGGCCCTGATTCTATATACATATTGATAGTATAACAAGAACTTCAGTCCTCTATGGAGTAGTTAGTAGAAATAACAAAACAGTCGGAGCAAGTACACTATGTGGGAAATTGGCCGAGAGGTAATAGTGTGAACACCATTTCGGTTACTTTCTCTTCCCCCCACCCGTGAGTCACCCATACTTCGGTGTGAGATCTAGCGATTCGTCTCGGTTAATTTTCCGCATAGTGTACTTGCGCCAAATAACTGATGTCTAAATAACGGATTTGATTAGACGAATAGATTGGTAATAAAACTTAATTGTGGTAAAAATTGCAGCTAATTAGTTTTTGCACTGTAACACCTTACTGTCACAACTGTATCACCAGTTGCCAGAATGCAACTCGCATGAAATACAATATTGCAAAGTCAACATAATACAATGTGTCCCTACAGCACTAAGGCGAACCTTATTATACTTTAATAGACACAAAAACTCACCAAATAAACATCGCAAAGGTCATACAGCCACAGGTTATAACAATGAGTAGTGGCTGACGGGAAGTCGTATGCTTGGAAGCCGGCGTTCGCCTTCTGCACGGCGAGGGCCAGTTTGGACAACATCCACCGGTCCATTGGAGCCAGGTCGGCTGGTACATTTGGTGTGTGGACCTGGGAAATTATGGTTACTATTTTTTAATTCTAAGGTGCAACTGGAAATGCGAGAGTAATTCTTGTAAAAAATTTGCTATATTTATACGCACAATACCATAATTTTTGGTTTTTTATTTAATGAAACCCTTTATTATTTACTGCAAAGCTTCATTTGAAGAGTAGTATAAGCGTCGAACTTTTCATATTGTAGATTGTCGAACTTTTCATTTTCATATTGTTCTACACTTATGTAGAAGATGACCACACCGAGGGAGTTTAGGATCTGTAGTTTTTATATTGGTAGATTTTTAAGTCGTTTAAATGAAGATAAATTGGAAGTTGTAGTCATCTGCTAGACATCAGGCAACACAAATATTAACGCACATTTTATCGCCAAAAGATGTAGGGTGAAGTTTTCATATTTTAAACCTTCTTACTAACCTCATAGTGTCCTACAGAAAGTACATAAGTGCGAACTTGGAAAGCTTTTCTTACTGACCTCATAAACAGTGTCCTACAGAAAGTACATAAGCGCGAACTTGGAAAGCTGTTCTTACTGACCTCATAGACGGTGTCCTTGGGGAAGTACATGAGCGCAAACTTGGCGGCGTTCCACAGCTTGTTGCAGAAGAAACGGTAGCCTTGAACGCGTAGGATGTCCAGGTTCAGGTCTCGGCCTTGCGTCATCGCGCATAAGGCGAACCTGTGGGAAAAACCATACGTTTATTTGAGCCATTACAACGGTAAAATCTGTTTTTCATCTTTATTTTTTACAAACATTAGAGAGAGAGAGAGAGAGAGGGGGGGGGGAAGGGGAAGCTAGAGAGATGAAGATGGAATACAACAAAAAGGGAGTTAAATGAAATGGCCGTGGCTTCCCCACTCGTAGGCGTGACTTAAGCCTTACTTTCAAAATCAAATTCTTTAATGTAGGCTCTTTTCAGAGCACATTATACACGTCCTAAATGTTCTTCCCATACCACCTCTTAGGGACATCATGTCAGCTGGTGCTAAAAAGACGTGGCGGAAGAAACTCGGGAGACACTCATAAGAGTTAAACACAATAATAATTACACATTACCTTAACCTTCAGATCCAGGTTCGAGTAAGCGAGCTATGCTTGTGACTCACAAGACAAGTTGTGAGAAAAGGGTAGGGGAGAGAAAGAGAGGGAGAGAGAAAAAGAGGGATTTAAACACAGTGGGTGTGGTTTCCCCATTTATGTGCGTGACCTAGTTTTACCTCAGCGCATCAGTCCCGCACTCCGGTATCCCGTTAGGATAGTCCTGCTTCTGGCCAGACTTGGCCCGTTCCACCTCCTTGGGGTCCAGGTTGGAGTCCGCAAGTTGCGCGTGCAACTGCTCAAGCGTCACTCCGCGCACCACGTCCACTGGGTCGATGACGTTGCCGAGGGACTTGACATCTTACGGCTCTCAAGATACGAGAGAGAGAAAGAGAGGGGAAGAGAGAGAGAAAGAGAAGAGCGAAAAAGAGAGGGTGAGAGAGGAGGAGAAAGAGAGGGGGAGAGAGGGAAAGAGAGGGGGAGCGAGGGAAAGAGAGGGGTAGAGAGGGAAAGAGAGGGGGAGCGAGGGAAAGAGAGGGGGAGAGAGGGAAAGAGAGGGGGGGGAGAGAGAGAAAGAGATGGGGAGAGAGAGAAAGAGAGGGGGAGAGAGAGAAAGAGAGGGGAGAGAGGGAAAGAGAGGGGAGAGAGAGAAAGAGAGAGGGAAAGAGAGGGGAGAGAGAGAAAGAGAGGGGGAGAGAGGGAAAGAGAGGGGGAGAGAGGGAAAGAGAGGGGAGAGAGGGAAAGAGAGGGGGAGAGAGGGAAAGAGAGGGGGAGCGAGAAAGAGTGGGAAAGATAAAGAGACAGGAAGAGGGAGATAAAGAGACAGGAAGAGAGACAAAAAAGGGAGAGAACAAAATGGGCGCGGTTTAAATTCGTGGGCGTGTCCCAAACCTTACCTCAGCGCGTCAGTCCCGCACTCTGGTATCCCGTTGGGATAGTCCTGCTTCTGGCCAGACTTGGCCCGCTCCACCTCCTTGGGGTCCAGGTTGGAGTCCGCGAGTTGCGCGTGCAACTGCTCGAGCGTCACTCCGCGCACCACGTCCACTGGGTCGATGACGTTGCCCAGCGATTTGGACATCTTGCGGCCGTGCGCGTCTCGCACCATTGGGTGGAGGTAGATTTCTCTGGAAAAGGGAATCTTGGATCGTATTCTAGATCGTGTATTCATAGCGTGGTCGACACCGGACAATCTGAACACGTGCGGCACGCCATAGGCCCGGAACACACGGTGAAACGCAAACGGTCTAACAGTTTGACAACGGTCAAACCGGTTTCAAACTGGTCGCGTCATGTGTGGTCTCTCAACGGAATTTATGGCAGAAACTTAATATGCAACTCAAAAGTAACTAGAAGTTGCAGTTTCGTTGCTATTGCGTTTCACCGTGTTGTCTGGGCCATAGTGTGTATTTTGCGCGGCAATCCCGCGTCCGTCATTAAATCTGCACGATATTAAAACATCCTCAAGTTCTATTCAACAGTACGCAAGCAGAACATCGTGAATCGTCCGGTGTGAACAAAGATATCATTCTAAGATTAACTTGCCAGCATGATATACATACACTATAATGAAAACAAGAGACGGAGCAAAGTTTATTTATGCAATATGCCACTTTAAAGGCAGGCTTTCAGTACAAGTATATCCTAATATAAAATATGTACTTACTTGAAAGGTAGTTTTCCTAAAAGTCGTTGACCGAAGAACACCATTCTTGCCACCCAGAAGAATAAGATGTCGTGTCCAGTTTCCAGCAGTGTTCCAGGATAGAACGCCTACACAAAGAAGACCATAAGATATAAAAATAATGTTCCTTCCATTTCTGGGGTGTCAGACTATATTAGGCCTTAGGCGTATGCCATCGTTAAGTTAGAATGAAGGGTTAACGTGCACTCAAAACCCGGAATCATTTTCCTTCATAGACAAATTTCAAGCAAAAGACCTCACCTGTAAATCCTCAGTCTGGTCAGGCCACCCGAATATCGAGAACGGGAACAGTCCGGACGAGAACCAAGTGTCCAGGACGTCCTCATCTCTCGCCAGGGTGATGTGGTCGGCCGGCACCTGGTATTTGTTCGCTGCTTTGATACGAGCCTCTTCTTCGGAGTGTGCTGATATCCAGAAGTCTTCGTCTTTTTTCTGTGGGGTTAAGGGTTAGGATGAGTTCGTCTTTTTGCTGTGGGGATAAAGGTGAGAGTTGAATACACAAGAGATGTGGTGGGTTAGCTATTTAGAAGGCTTTAGGAATGTATTGCTATACTATTTTTATGTTTTTTTACCCGTCTTATTAAAGGGTTAACAAATAGCTGAATGTCTTCATGAGCCAGTGATGAATGTAGAGTCTACAGTCTCAGGCTATTTTGTATTGCGAAATAGCACTTCTACAACTAGATTTGGAGCCACGGTGTTAAGCTTGAGGCGCTGTCGTCTGTACATTGATCGTTATATTTGTTATGGTGGCTATAGTCCGGTCGCCGAGCACGTTGAATTTCGTCCAATGACCCCAAACTAATAATAATAATAAAATACTCTTTATTGTACACCACATAAAAAGAAATAGAAAGAAAACGAACACATAAGGTACAATTAGGCGGTCTTATCGCTATGAAGCGATCTCTTCCAGACAACCTATAGAGAGGACAGTTACTTAAAACAAATGAAGTACCTACATACAAACTACCCATCCTTATCGCTCGCGCGTAATTATATTGCTGTCGCGACTGTGCGAAGGGCGGCCGCAGTGAGTGTGCGAGCGCGATAGCAACATAATTACTCGCGAGCGATACGGATGGGTAGCTTGGGGTCATTGGACGAAATTCTACGTTCTCGGCGACCGGGCTTTAGATGACAATTCTGTTTTGCAAGTCTTCTCAATTTTGGTTTATGTTAAAATTAGTTTGACTGTAAGTTGCATAATATGGGTATTATGATGTTGTGCTATTGGTAATGAAAACCTTATATTAGTCTATTAAATAATGTTTTCTATACAACATAAATAAAAATAGATGTAAAAAGTAAATAAACAGGCACGTTTATGTGCTACCAGCATTCACACCAAGGTTTCAATAATCATAAAAAAAAACTTAATGCAATCTACAATAGCTGCCAACAAAAACGCACATAATTAGTGCATTGACACATGCAACCATTAAGTGCAACTGGAACGACAAAAACAATACACTATGTATAAAATTGCATTTTGACAAAATCCTGTGAATCCTTTGCCTGAGTTATGAAATAATTAATTTTATATATATAACTTTATTTTTTTCCACTGCCATAAATGGAACAGTTTACTGTACATAATAATGGGGTGTAAAATGAGAGATTATACGCACCGCGTGTATTATTTATCAGGCAAAGGCTAGCTAAAACCAACCAAAAAGAACAAATTGATCAAATAAAGCACAATAACTAGCCAAAGACTCCACGCATGCTTGTATGCATGTATGCTTACAACGTGCGCATTTTATGCTAAAAAACAATACACGCATAAGATCGCATACATGACTGTGCTTTTGACGCTTGCAAATCACGCATGTATGCTAGTACTGTACACATGTATAATGTGCGCTACCAATGAAGGAATGCATGCTACCAACGTATGCATCTATGCCAACAACGAAAGCGTTCTAGAAACACACACGTGCATGTCAATAACACACGCATGTATGCTACCAGTGCACGCACGAATGATTACAAGGCACGCATGTACGTATAGGCATGGAAATAGGGAATATGCAAGGTTTTTGATTTCTCACATTTCAGTAGCCTTGGTAGGTATTATCAAATTAATCAGCTTTTCTTTAACAAAAATTTCAAAAGACACCTAAGACATAAGACGTTGGAGATCTAATGACGTCATTGGTCATTGAGAATGACACACAAGTCCCATACAAGTTACTATGGGCGGGTGACATTTGACGTCACGCTCAGCTATTTCCATGCAAAGTTTAAACACTTGTAACTAGTTTTCATAAATTCTATGATTTAACTAACTGTTTATTTAAACATAACTGGTGCTAAACATATACAACTTCCATTTGAATCACTCTATCTATTTAAAAAACAGTATCAAAATCCATTGCGTAGTTTTAAATATTAGTTTATTAAATACGTACGTTTACGTAGTTTTAAATATTAGGGACAGATAGCTGAAAGCGACTTTGTTTTCTACTATGTAATGGTTTATTATTAACTTTTAAAATCGATGCATATTCCCTACTATGCGCACGCATGTATGCTACCAGTACACGCATGCATGCAACATCACACGCATGTATGCTACCAGTACACGCATGCATGCAAACATCGCATGCATGCTGACGTACGCATGTGGAGCGCGAGAGCGCGGCGGCGACGGCGTCGTGGTGGCGGGCGCGGATGCGCGCGCACTTCTTGCGGCCGCTGCGCGTGCGGCGGCGGCGCGGCGCCGTCTTCGTCTCCTCGTCCGGGGCGCGCTCCTTGCCGGGATAGTCAGTTCAAATAAAGGATAAGCAATCATTTTCCTATCTTACGTTATTGGTTGGGTTTTTATGGCGGTCAAGCTGTAGATCCTGGCTACACAGGAGTTACAGTGGTGGGAACGAGAGGTGGAAATAGTCCCGTATCTTACACATTTCTTTCGAATTAAAATTCATACTTTATTAGTATGTAGGCCCTTTTCAGGGCACATATACACGTTCCAACATAGCTTGCCCTACGACCACTTCAAGACTAGATATCGACTGATGTAAAGAAGTGTCGAAAGAATCTCAGCTTTGGTATAGTTTAATCAGCCAGCGGCTTACTCTTTCTAAAAGACCTATACAGATAACTGAAATCGCGTGACGTCATATAATTTTTACACAGCACGCAGCGCAGCATTCTAGTCACGGCTGCTCACCATCCAGTTCTATTGAGAAATCGTTTTTAGAAATCTCTTCGTCTGGGGCGCGCTCCTTGTCGGGATAGTGAGTTCAAATACAGGAACATGCAAGTTTTTTTTAATTTCTTACACTTGTTAAGCTTTGGCATTTGTTAAATCAGCCAGTGTTTTTCTTTATGAAAAGAAAAACTTAAGATTTTCAATACGCGTGACGTCACACCTCAAAACAACACACAGCGTTTGACATTTTGGGCGCGTTCCTTACCAAGATAGTCAAGGAGTTTTTTCTTTCTTACGCGCTCTTTAGCTTTGGTCTAGTGAATTCAGCCAGTACCTTCTATTTTCTAAAAAATACATATAAGGTAGATATTTGAAATCGCGTGACGTCACATCTTAAAACAAAACGCAGCGTTCCATGGCGTTTTAGGCGCGTTCTTTACCAAGATAGTCAGTTCATAAAGGACCGTTTTTTCATTAGCTTTGGCATAGTAAATTCAGCCTGTGCTTTCTAAAAATGACATTTATTTATGATACAGACATTTGAAATCGCGTGACGTCACACCTTAAAACGACACGCAACGCAGCGTTACTAGTCGCGGATGTCCACCATCCAGTGGTAGTACCACATAGGCGTGGTCTTCAGCTCGCCTGAGTAGTTTTATTGGAAAATCACCCATATTCCTTAGCTAAAAAGTTCCAAGATAGCTTACCTGGGTGGTCAACGTGACCTTATACGCGGGGATCCTATGACCCCACCACAACTGGCGGGAGATACACCAGTCTCTGATGTTTTCCATCCAGTGGTACCAGGTCACGTATGTATTAAGCTTGCTTGAGTGTCTATAGTAAAATCACTCATATTCCTTAGCTAAAAAGTTCAAAATAGTCTACCTGGGTGGCCAACGTGACCTTCTACGCCGGGATCCTATGTCCCCACCACAACTGGCGGGAGATGCACCAGTCTCTGATGTTCTCCATCCAGTGGTACCAGGTCACGTATGTGTATTAAGCTTGCTTGAGTGTCTATAGTAAAATCACTCATATTCCTTAGCTAAAAAGTTCAAAATAGCTTACCTGGGTGGCCAACGTGACCTTATACGCCGGGATCTTGTGCTCCCACCACAACTGACGGAAGATGCACCAGTCTCTGATGTTCTCCATCCAGTGGTACCAGGTCACGTATGTATTAAGTTTGCTTGAGTGTCTATAGTAAAATCACTCATATTCCTTAGCTAAAAAAGTTCAAAATAGCTCACCTGGGTGGCCAACGTGACCTTATATGCCGGGATCCTATGTCCCCACCACAGCTGGCGGGAGATACACCAATCTCTGATGTTCTCCATCCAATGGTACCAGGTCTTCTCGTGGACATCGGGTATGATCTTCAGTTCGCCTGACTTGACGGCTTTGATCGCTTCTGAGGCCATGGTGTCACAGCGAACGTACCTGGGGAAGGAACGTGTCATCATCAGGTCATTTAGTCTAGACTGCATGAGCACGGTCGTCATCAATAACTAGAGGCATATGGAGAATGAGGTCTATACTCCCCACGCGGGCTAGACGGATTGGGGCGATATGATGTTCGCATATTTTGTCCCTTAGTTGCCTCTTCTTTTTTATTTTTATTTTTTATCCCCAACGAGGAAGCTCTTGGCCTGTATCTCACCTGATGGTAAGTGATGATCAGGCCGAAGGTGGAAACGAGCTACACCCGGAATCCTCAACCACGGAGGAACTGGCTATTTTACCTCTAACTGCCGGAACACAACAATGCTGTTAACATTGTTGTTATGGCGACAGACTTATGTAAGATGATGGTAGCTAGCCAGGCGGACTTAGAACAAGTCCTACCACCAACTAAACCGAACAGAAAAATCTGCTCCCACTGGGAATCGAACCCGGGACCTCTGCATCTGAAACAGGTGGTCTTACCACTAGACCACAGAGGCGGTTGAATGAATCTTCAATTCTTCTAAAACGCATAACAAATTCAAATTCAAATTATTTATTGCAACTACCGATTACAAACCGTCTCGTTATCCTCTTCAGATAAGCTAAGTATATTAAGTTTGTATTTACCACAATAGTTAAGCTGTTCGCATATGACGGGGATCGAACTACCGACCCTAGAATCAGCAGTCCCAGTTATCGCCTTTATCTTACCCCTACTTATTCTAAATATGCACTTGGGGCTCGTTCCTACGGCAATTCAGTTTTGCGAGATCCAGTAATGCAGTATCCCGCAAAACTCGTGTCGTGTGAAATGTGTTTTTAAAATTCGATATACAAATTCAAACTCAGTTTTTTATGGGACGCTGAAAACGGGATGTCTGTGTGAACGTTAATATTAAAACAGAAACCTGTTTGTATACTACTAAAGCCTGGTCCGTGAGCACGTAGAATTTTGTCCAATGACCCCAAGCTACCCATCCTTATTGCTCGCGCGTAATTATGTTGCTATCGCGCTCGCACACTCACTGCGGCCGCCCGTCGCACAGTCGCGACAGCAATATAATTACGCGCGAGCGATAAGGATGGGTAGCTTGGGGTCATTGGACGAAATTCTAAGTGCTCCGCCTTGGCGGAAACTGTGCCTTATAACAGCACACTCGATTGTATTTCCACCTGCCACTCACCATTGCGGCTTCAGCATCGGTTCCACTACATCCTTGGAGCGGCTGCAGAGAGGCACCACCATGGCGTGGTCCTTGGTCTTGCGGTATAGCTTCAGCTGCTCCAGCATCTTGACGATGTTGCGACGGGTGTCGAAACGCTTCATGCCCTGCGAAGAAAATTATAATCTATCTATATATATAAAAGAAAGTCGTGTTAGTTACTTCGCTTATAACTCAAGAACGGCTGAACCGATTTAGCTGAAAATTGTCAGGGAGGTAGTTTAGAGCCAGGAGAAGGACATAGGATACTTTTTATCCCGTTATTTATTGCCATTAAGGCGGAACAAAGTTCGCCGGGTCAGCTAGTAATATAAATAATCAAGAAAATTTTCCTCTTTGGTTAAATTGTCTATCAAATGTCTAAAATTTTTGTTTCATATATTTGACGGTCAAGCAATTATGGTTCAATGTAGTTTAGATTTTTGGCCTTTTTAACTGCATTCATGCAGACTTGATTTAATTTATTTTTAAAGGCCCCAGTGGAGCGTATTGAAGCATCCTAGTTTCTGTCTCTGTCTCTCTCTAAACCATTTGACAGATAAACATTACTCATAATATTCGACACACCCATTTGCGTGAAGCTTTTTATTGAGTCCTTGAATTCATACAATACAAAAGTGTATGCTCTTTTTGAATCCTAATTGATTTTGGGGTACAAGTTAACTACATAGCAGATTCTGCCCAAACTTGCTACTGGTTAAATGAGATTCTGTAGTAACTCCATTTAAGATAAACTTACCTCAAACGGCCCGCAGTTGTCGAGCATTTTTCCTTCGTCGTCGAAAATAGTGATGAAAGGCAGGTTGTGCCGCTTGCCGATCTCGTAGTCATTGGGATCGTGCGCGGGAGTTATTTTCACGGCGCCTGAAATAAAACAATACATTTTATACTTTGGTTTAATAATATGCAATTTTTTGGGGATTATTTAGGAATTAGGGGGCTAAGTGGACGTCATGTGGCTGAAATGATAATGATGGTTGATGACGAATGTGCCATTTGCAATCCATTGCTGATCGAAAGCTACTTTTCAAGGTTCTGGTACACTTGCGCGAAAGACATTTGCGCGAAGAAACATGCGCGATAAGACACTAGCGCGAAAGACAATAGCGGGAAAGACTTTTGCACGAAAGACCCGAGCTCGAAAGACATTTGCGCGTATGGATACTTACGCGAAAAGACATGAGCGCCAATGGACGTTTGCGCAGAAAGACAGTGAAAACCATTTAAATATTTTATTTTAAAGTTTAAAATATTTTTATTTCGATTCCATTCCCACCTGTTCCGAAGTTCATGTCCACATACTCGTCGGCAATGACGGGCAGTTTCCTGTCCACGATCGGGTGAATAAGATTCTGGCCGATAAGGTGTCTGTACCTGAGACAATAACGTTTCATTTATTAGTAAGTTCTTGATGAAGAAATAAATAAATACCCTTGCGGACAATTTTACACTGCACCATCATCTAGGCCAGGCATATTGATTCGCGTTGCGGCCGACTATAGCTACAGCGTTCATTACTGGTGCTCGATATCTTATTGTTAAAGATTTATCAGAACGATTACAGTTACTTTAACGATTTTTTTTAGTCTGTGGTCACCTCCAGTGCGGTGTTTTTAGTTATGTACAGTCACGGAATGAAAAGGTTCGTCAGTTTTCAAATTGATTCCTTCAACGAATCGCGAGCACATATTACCTTTTGAAACTATGTTACAGAATAATCTCGAGTTAGAGAAAATAATCTTTAACAGTTCGTCAGTAAAGTTCAAAATTATTCAGATCTAAGTTGTTTGACGATTTATCTTGTCAAGATTTATTATTATGATTGCTAAACTAAAACCTTCTTGTTGGTTCAACCTGCCATTATTATTTCTTATAAAATAAAAAAAACTATTGTCAATTGGTCAATGTCATCATTGCATTGCACTGATGATGGGATAGAAAAATAAACAAGCAAAACCTTATTCGTTAGCAAACGTCATATTTATTTAAATGTTAGCAGCACTGTTTCTTGCACTGTTATGTTGGCAGGTTTGACTCTTATCAGTACCTAGTGCAAGCGAAAACCGACACTAAGGTGACGAACCTTTTCATTGCGCGACTGTACAATTAATTACAGAACTGACAACCGATGGGGCAGCAAGGATCTGTAATCTGTAGTGGAGGCTACATACAGGAAAGCGTAGCGGGAACGTCCGGCCACAAGGTGGACCGACGACCGCATTAAGGTACCAAGAAAGTACGGATGCAGGACGCTGCCAACCGGTCAATATGGAAATCATTGGAGTAAGAAGATAAGAAAAACTTTATTTACACAAAGAAAAAATAAAAAACAGAACAAAGGGACTTAAAACTAAACACGCATAATTGTGCCAAAAAGGCGCTCAGCATTAATCTAGCCACGCGTGCCCCGACGCTGGTTTTCAGCGTAGTAGGCCTATGTCCAGCAGTGGACGTCCTGTGGCTGAAATGATGATGAATAAAAAATGCTTGTCTATGGTACCTGACGTCATTAGGGTGCACGGCCACCGCTACGTCTCCGAGCATGGTTTCCGGGCGGGTGGTCGCCACCACGATCTCGTCATCAGTACCTTCTGCTTTGTACGCGAACAACACTAGTACTCCGAATTCCACCTGTTCAAATACAAGAAATTATACATTATTTTCATCTTAGAGCTGGTCCAGAAACGCATTTTTTCAATCACGTGATCGTAAGGTAGGCAGTAGGCACAGTCAAAGTCAAATACTCAAGTTCGTGACTTACAAAGTAGCCAAAAAGTTCGCAACACGTCTTTGTTACAATGAGGTCTATCGTTTTAGCGCTCACCAGTTTACGCCACTGTAGAGTAAGGTCCTGTCACTTGCTAGTAGCGAAGACAGTGGCGCCAACTTGTGAGCGCTAAAGTGGTAGGAGGACTATCGCATTTGCACTCATCAAGATGGCGCCACTGTAGAGTAAGGTCCTGTCAATCGCCAGGGGTGCCAAGTTGGCACTGCCAACTGTTTAGTATAAAAACGATAGCCCTCATTGGAATAAGGTTGTGCTGTCAATTTTTTGCCAGTTTGGGTGTCGCGAATTATTTGACGCTGACTGTACTAAAGGTTCATCCTTTCTAAAAGCAGTTGCGCGTTTTGAAAACTAAACATTATTTCATTACATATTTGAGTTGCGTTAAGGCATACCTTAGAATCGTATCCAGGAATGGAGAGGAATGTCCTGCCGGTGAGTTCCATTTTGTCCACCTCGATGTCAGATATCGCGCTCTTGAGTGTGCAGGACCAGTTGACAAGCCTGTAAACAAAAAAGTGATAATGTTACTCGCAATAATAGTGACTTGACTTACGAAAGGACAAGTTACAAGCAAAATTGTAGGTAAGTAAAAGTAAATCTTTCTTTTTTTCATCGTGAACCATACGGTCCAGTCTAACGAACCTAGAGAATAGAGCTGCAAGGCTACTCCAAAACGCTGTTTAAGCAGGCCTGGCTCACTCCGCGCGGTACATCCGATAATTACCTACAGCGAAGCGCCCCGCCGGCGGGTATTATATCAGTCGAGTGTCACGCGCGCGCTCGTCAGGACGCTGGCGTGCGTTGTAGTATGATTATAATTCTATGATCGAAGTATTATTTAAAAATGGACATAAAGAGAAAGAAATATTGTGCGGCGTTCGGGTGTTTAAATTCGAAAAGTAATCTACCGGATTTATCTTTTTTTTTCGCTTCCCAAAGATGCTGAAAGGTATGTTGGCCATGTAGGTAATCAATAATTCTTAGGATAGTATAGGAACCTAACCTACTATGAAGGTTTTCCATAATGAATGCATACTTACCTACATACGTACCTCATTACAAATAAGTAGATTAATTATTTTTTCACTAGACAGCAACCCTAACAGCGTAAGAAGAGTTCAGAGGCACGCGATAGAAAGAGACAAAACTTGTAGGTGAATAAAATTGTAGGTACGTAGTGCTGTGCGAGCTGAATTCCACTGTATCGCGTCGTAGCAAGACTCGCATTTATTTAAATCGTCTTGCGGAGTAATCCTTCTGTACCTGTACTATTACTTATTCTGTGGTTTAAGTACATAGTTTCGGGTCTAACTGTCACCGTCGCTTACACTGGCAACTCACTTTGCGTGAGAGAGGGATGGCAACATTTGGAGTTTTGGATAAGGTTTTTTGGAGTAACCCCGCTGTTCTCGCCCGCCTTTTTAACCTGTCATTGGTCACGCGACCTGTCATTGGCCTATGATCGCGTCGGCGATGGCGATCTGCACGCGTTGGTGTGCTTGAAGCCTTACAAAACAAAGAATCGCCTAGAAGAAAGTGTCGCCTACCTGTTGGCCCGGTAGATGTCGCCGTCGTCGTGCAGGCGGATGAAGGCCTCGTTGACGGCGCGGCACATGCTGGGGTCCATAGTAAACCGCGCGCGTGTCCAGTCGAACGACGAGCCTAGAGAACGGAGCTGCAGGGCTTTGGGTCTATCTGTCACTGTCGCTCTTACTGGCAACTCACTTGGAGTGAGAGGGATGGCAACATTTGGAACTTTGGATAAGGTTTTTTGAATCCCGCTGTTGGTAGATACACCCACCTTAGATACGTCGAATGACGAGCCTAGAGAACGGAGCTACAAGGCTAAAAAAACGCTGTTTACATTGTTTCGAGTCTATCTGTAACTGTCATTCATACTGGCAACTCACTTGGATTGAGAGGGATCGCAACATTTGAAACTCCGGATAAGGTTTTTCGGAGTCACCCGCTGTTGGTAGATACACCCGCCTTAGATACGTCGAACGACGAGCCTAGAGAACGGAGCTGCAGGGCTTTGGGTCTATCTGTCACCGTCGCTCTTACCGGCAACTCACTTGGAGTGAGAGGAACGGCAACATTTGGAACTTTGGATAAGGTTTTTTGAACCCTGCTGTTCGTAGATACACCCGCCTTAGATATGTTCGTAGATACATCCAACGACGAGCCTAGAGAACGGAGCTGCAGGGCTTTGGGTCTATCCGTCACTGTCGCTCATACCGGCAACTCACTTGGAAAGAGAGGGATGGCTACATTTGGAACTTTGGATAAGGTGTTTTGAACCCTGCTGTTGGTAGATACACCCACCTTAGATATGTTCGTAGATACATCGAACGACGAGCCTAGAGAACGAAGCTACAGGGCTTTGGGTCTATCTGTCACCGTCATTCATACCGGCATCTCACTTTGCGTGAGAGAGATGGCAACATTTGGAACTTTGGATAACGTTTTTCGGAGTCACTCCGATGTTCGTGGATACACCCGCCTTAGATACGTCGAACGACGAGCCTAGAGAACGGAGCTGCAGGGCTTTGGGTCTATCTGTCACCGTCGCTCATACCGGCAACTCACTTGGAGTGAGAGGGATGGCAACATTTGGAACTTTGGATAAGGTTTTTTGAACCCCGCTGTTGGTAGATACACCCGCCTTAGATACGTCGAACGACGAGCCTAGAGAACGGAGCTGCAAGGCTTTGGGTCTATCTGTCACTGTCGCTCATACCGGCAACTCACTTGGAGTGAGAGGGATGGCTACATTTGGAACTTTGGATAACGTTTTTCGAATCCTACTGTTGGTAGATACACCCACCTTAGATACGTCGAACAACGAGCCTAGAGAACTGAGCTTGAGAGCTAATCCAAAACGCTGTTTACATAGTCTCGGGTCTGTCTATCACTGTCACTCATACCGGCATCTCACTTTACGTAAGAGGGATGGCAACATTTGAAACTGCGGATAAGGTTTTTTAGAGAAAGCCCGCTGTTGGTAGATACGCCTGGCTTTTTACATAACAAAACAAATAATTATAGATCGTTTCATCCACGAAGACGCGCCGCACCAATTTTAGGTCGAGGGAAGTGCGGGGTGCGGGGAGTTTGCTCCGAGCAATCCGAGCGTCATTATTGTAGTGTGCGTGTGCACTCATGGTTAATTTAGCGTGTGCCAATAACACTCAAACATTAGCGGAAGAATGTTGGGGCGCGTCTTCGTGGATGAAACGATTTATATCTTCAGTGTCGCCTACCTGTTGGCCCGGTAGATGTCGCCGTCGTCGTGCAGGCGGATGAAGGCCTCGTTGACGGCGCGGCACATGCTGGGGTCCATCGTAAACCGCGCGCGCGTCCAGTCGAACGACGAGCCTAGAGAACGGAGCTGCTCGTAGATGCGTCCGCCTTTTCTGTTTGGAAAAGGTTACATAAATTTAAAAAAATATTGACAGTAATCCAGCTCTTGGCTAATCCGGCGCATCCATCCTGTAATTCGACGTGCCTATTTATTGTTCATCGTCATCATCATCATCATTTCAGCCACAGGACGTCCACTGCTGAACATAGGCCTCACCCAATGACTTCAACATCGCACGGTTATTGTTGATTCTACATAATTTTCCATTATTTTTCTTATAATAATTATAATTTGTCAGATTCTTGGAAAAATTCCGGATTACTAAGGGACTTATAAGCAGTACTGTAAATTCGGTAGGTCGCTTTGCAAAACGTTTTTAGGATTACGAATATTTGTAATAATAAGTTAATAACATGAATCAAATGAAAATCAAAACATTTATTCAATAGGTAGGTAGGCCTTTTTCAGGGTTCTTGTACACATCCCAAATATAGCTTGCCCTTCGCGACAACATATGGGCTGGTTCTTAGAAGAAACTCAATGTAAACTTTACACACTTTAAACTGACTACAAATTTCTAAAAATCCCGTTGAGCCCTTGTTAAAATGCTTGTGTGATCACCATCACCACCACGAGTGGACAATTCAGCAAGTCCGACCCCTGCACCGTTCGGCTATCGTGGTTATAATGAGAGGTGATCGAGAGTATCGAAAGGTTACAACAATACAATATAAATTGTACTCACTCGTTCTTCCAGTCCCATACTCTCTTGATGAACTCCTCTCGACCGAGGTCGTGGCGTGACTTCTTCTCTTCTCGCCAAAGCTTCTTCTCCACCACCACTTGGGTCGCGATACCGGCGTGGTCGCAGCCTGGGTTCCAGAGAGTCGTGCGGCCGTTCATTCTGTAGCAAAATGACTCTTATTCTAGTGTTGTAGGGATTAAAATTGGAAAACAGCAGATTATTCTCCACCACCACTTGGGTGGCGATACCCGCGTGGTCGCAGCCCGGGTTCCAGAGTCGTGCGGCCGTTCATTCTGTAGCAAAATGACTCTTATTCTAGTGTTGTAAGGATTAAAATTGGGAGGCAACAGATTATTCTCCACCACCACTTGGGTCGCGATACCGTCGTGGTCGCAGTCCGAGTTACAGAGTCGTGCGGCCGTTCATTCTAGAGCAAAATACTCGCATGATTGAATTTGATCACCTACAGATTGTTCTAGTCACATTATTTCAATTAAAATCATGTTTCAATTTTTCAACAAATTTTACACTGGTAAAACCTGTGTTAAACCACAGGTAAGACCTTATTATGTAATTAATGCTTTGTAGTTTTTTTGAGTTTCTTGGCTAATATTTTTCTGTGTATAGCATTTTATCTAATAGAAATTATAGATGATGAGGTTATCTAGAAACATGATAACATGTAATATATAACATGTAAAGTTTATTGCTTCAGTGATAGCACTTTGTTCTTTAGAATATAATAGGCTAATCTAGGGCAGGTATGTATCACCCTAGACTGCATCTCACTTAAAATCAGGTGCTATTGCGGTCAAATATCTGCCTTGTGGTGCTGCAAAAAAAAATTTAAAAAATTATACTAAATTATTACCTGTGCCACCTAGTTAGGGCATCTTGGACTGCGTTAGTGAGGGCATGTCCCAAATGCAAGCTTCCAGTGACATTAGGGGGAGGGATCACCATCATGAACTTGCCTTTCGGATTAGGATCCAGTATTGATTTTCGCTGTAACAAGATTTAGTGTTATAAAATAGGCTTATATCTCCCATTTAACTGACTTTTAGTTTTAATTTCTAACAGAAACTAGAAATATTTGTAATATTCTAAATTATAGTCAACAGAAATCATCCAGCAATTTGGAAAAGTAGTCTTTCAAAATATTTTTCCTTTTTTACTTCTATGAAAAATTATTATCTGGCTATTTTTAAATCCACATTTTAGAGGAAAAATATTAGAACCATCTATAAGGTCTTGAATTTGCTGTACTGAGAAATGGAACAACTAATGTAAAACATAAAGACGTATGTAAATGTAGCCTTCTACAACACAACATGTAAAAATAATTTCATTGGTTTTTGATCTTATGATAAGTGAATTTGATTCAATTTATAGAGGCAATATATTCGCCAGAGCCTTAAATAGAGTGCTTAAAAGGGCTTGCACCCAGAGCCGTGAAAAACTATATAAAAAAAGCCTTAAATAGAATAGAGCATTGTATTTAGTTAATTTTGTTCCAGCTTACCCCATACTCTGGCTTGAAGAAGCCCTGCTTCTCCCACCAGGCATACCAGGCAGCCTCCACATACTGAGGGCTGTAGGCATCGGGCATAGACCCAGCTATGTCTTTCTTGTCTCCTGGTGCTGTATTGCCAGTGTACACTGCACTTTCTTTTGTTTCTTTAGCTTTTTTCTGGAATAAAATATTTTTTAAGTGAATTAAAGTTAACATGAAAATATTAATTCATAATTAATTATAGATAGTGATCACAATGATTTTAATAAAGAAAATAACCTTTAATTACAAAAAATATAGATTCTATTGTTTTGAAAGCTGTTCAATCTTCAACAAATTGCACAACAGATCACAGTATTACTCATTAGAGAGCAACCGCAATTACTGATGTAATAGCAGTAACAATTGCAGGTTTTACTTTCACTGGACCACCTAAGTAAACCTTGGAAGGTGAGACACCTACAAGGAAATACATTGTATGACAGCTAAGTAAACATTCATAGATCGAGTGAATCACCTAGAAGATTCATAATTTAAGATAAAAGAGCTATAAAAATAATTACCTCTGGCTTATCTTTCTGCACAGCTGGCGCGGCATTTTTCTTATCCAATTTCGCTTTAAGTTTTTCCAACTTTGCCGCTTTTTCGGCTTCTTTCTTCAGTTGTTTCGCGGTCTTCTCTTGGGGCTGTTCCCCAGAGGGACCATTGGTGGTCTCGGTGTCAGTCATGATTTACAAAAAGAAAGATGAATTAGATTTTAAAACAGTAAATAGCCACATTTGCAATCGTGCATGCAAAATGTGCTGCGAGAGAATGACGACAATGACGTTAATGACATTCGATCCATTTGACAGTTGACAGCTAAGCAAAATAAAGTAGAGAACACACAGTTGAATTATGAGCTACTAGGAAATACCGGTATCGATTCTCGATTAGCATGCCAATTGTCACATCACTCAAACGCGCGCCAGGCAGCCGAGCGAGCGCTTTCGCCATCTTGTTTTTTCAATTTGCCGAACGCGTTGGTTCTCTTGTGAATTTTATTTTATTTGATTGGATTGCGGAGTCCCTGATAATAATAGACTGTAAAAGTGTTTTATTTTATTTTTGTGCTTTAAATTGGCGTACACATCATGTCTGATCGAGAGGTACTATATTTATCTAGTTCGTCGACGAAGTCGTTGGCCGCGTGCGTTTTATTTTGTTGTGTGCTAGTTATTTGCTATATTTAATCTCGATGGACGTGCTTGGGCATTTCAGAGGAGTCGTTCGAGGACCCGCAACGGTTCCCGGGAGCCTGCTCCGAAGCCCGCAGCCATGTCTCGAGGACACAGCAGAAGCCGGTCGCGAACGCCGCCCCCGCCAAAAGCATCAAGCCGGAAATATAGAAGCCCGTAAGTAAATAACCGACCTTCGACTTGTATTTATCGTTCTTTGGTGTCTAAACATTTGTGTGGTATTTTTGTGGGGCTCAAGGATAGTCGTTGTTTGCAAAATCATAACCTTGTCGTCAATGCCGAGTATGTATGATTGCGCAATTTTGAGGTAGGCATCCGCGTAGCGTAAATACATGCGTGTGATGTCAACAATCAAGGTTAAATATCTAGTCTGCTTACACGGAAAATAGCTCAGCTTTTTAACATTGTTAGATCAATATAAAACTAAAATTCTGTTTTATCAATAAACAACATGTTTCTATGGAATTGGATTATGTATCAAATTGCTATGGTAACCCTTATGGAAGCTATGGAACTAAAGTAATTGGTTAGATAATTTTTAAACCTAAGCATTGACCAAATTAATGAGTATCATACAGGCGAAACATTAAATTTTCCTAGAGCCTCACATGTTGAGCAAGTTATGAAGAGTTTTGAAGGCACCCTGGTTGGCATGTTATTGATAAAGAATAACATCCACTACTATCATAAAATGCATCTTTTCCTGGCCTTTTTGTGAAATAGCTCGGGCGAATAAATGTCTTAGTAGCATATTGAGGGCTGTAAGAAACAGTATCAAATCTGCTCGGTTTTTATTTGCTAAGTTTTTAGTTTTACTAATACTGTTTGTTACAGCAGTCAATTGATTTTTTGTTACTTTTTTTTGTGTGGTATTTTTTATCTTTCAAGCTTGTATTGTGTAAATTGAGATAAATAAATGTAGGTAAGCTAGTATGCTTTGAGTCACAAGATATCAATTAAATACCTACCTAATTACATTTTTGATAAATTCTGTTTTCATGGGACAAAGAATTCTATGAACTTATGTGGTAATTAGGACAAATTAAGCCACAAAAATAATACCATTTGTGTAATTTTTGCTGGTTTTTTTGTAATGTAGGTATGTACCTACCTAAGTTTATCAAAATATACTGATTATAATGATTGATTGATATTTTGTCACTTCAACAACAGCAAAACAAGGATATTAGTTAATATCTGCAAATAGTTAAGTATTTATAAAACTCGTTTTTTAATTACTTAATATTCATAATGAATCAATTACCCAAATTAGGTATTTTGACAGCTATCTGAAGACGAGTTATCTGAAGACCTTATTAAACTGGCAAGATTTTGATGTTATTTTTCTCATCTTGATATACCAGATTACTAGATCTACACTAATATTATAAAGAGGAAAACTTTGTTTGTTTGGTTGTAATGAATAGGCTCAAAAACGACTGGACCGTTTTTAAAAATTCTTTCACCATTCGAAAGCTACATTATCCACGAGTAACATAGGCTAAATTTTATTTTGGAAAAAAATAGGGTTCCGTAAAATATGTAGATAATGTAGTCCACGCTCGCGAAGCTGCGGGCAGAAAGCTAGTGTATTATAAATTAGTAGGAATGAATCAAGTGCTGCCATAGTTTGTGGGTTATTCCATATTTGTGTTATAAGGACAATTTGTGTATTTATTGCTGAGCTAAATAGCATCAAAATTAAAGGGAAATTCCATAAATATATTTGATAAAACAAAAATTATGTCACTATTATAGTCAGAACTATTCTGAAACATCAAGGGGCAAAAATTCTGCAAACAAATTCTATAATTAATATGGGATGATTCAGTATTGCACAAATACATTTTAGTTAATTGACCATATTAAGGCTGCGTTTTCATCAGAGATGTGCGAGGAATCACAATAGAATCGCTTCTGAAGTAATTCTATTGGTTCTTTACAAACACATCCCTTGCTACGTATCCTCATACATCTCTGGTGGAAACGCAGCCTTATTAAACTTTCACACTTCAATTGCATGCCTTATAACAGGGGTCTCCAAACTTGGAAGCCTTAGGGCCATAATAATTTTTTTGGTATATCGCAAGGGCCATAACAATTTTAATTTTTCTGCCCACCTATGCAAACATAGGCTTAGTCTTAAGCTGTCACCGGCCGGATTGATGGCAGTGGCGTCGCGGGCCGTAGTTTGGAGACCTCTGCCTTAGGCCCTTTTCACACGTCCCGGTTGCCGGCTAACCGGCGCCGGCTACCCGGCGTCAAATGTATGGGCATGCCGGATTAATTACGCCGGAACATGTGAAAGCTACGTACCATGCCCATACACTTCACCACCGGGTACCCGGCGCCGGATAGCCGGCAACCGGAACGTGTGAAAAGGCACTTATGGTGCGTCTACACTAGGCGAATATGCTCGCGCGGCAAACTCGATATCTTGCTCACTCAAGAGCAGGATGTCGAGTTTGCCGCGCGAGCATATTCGTCCAGTGTGGACGCACCATTATAATGATGACGAATTCATGGTCAGTGTTGTAAATACCCTTAATGGTTTATTAAAGCGCATTATGACGTAACCCAGGGTCGTGGCTTGTTCCAGGACTCGCTCGCGCTCGGGCTCGCCCCGGCGCGGGTATCGTGGCTCGCGTTACTCGCGGTCTCGCTCGCGCTCGTACTCGCCGCGCGGCTCGTATCGCCGCTCTCACTCGCACAGCCCTATGTCCTCCCGCCGTAGGCACCTAGGAGACAGGGTGAGACAAATTCCTGTATGTGCACTATGTTTTACATTTTTTATTATTGTTTGCGATGACGTCATTGTGTGTTGATGTATGAAAGCAGTTATTTTAATGCTTATGACTTGTTTTTGTTCACAAATCTAAAGCTGATCATATTAATGGACTACAAGAGATTTTTAACTTAGTTCGTAATTTATGTAAAATAAAAATACATTACACACTATTATCTCAACGCAAACAAGAGGCTTAACCTCACCAAGAATCAGTATTTATTTAGTTGACTGCTGGCTTTTAATTTTAATATAACGTCCATAGAATTAAAATTTTAGTTTTGACTAGAACTTTGAATCATTCCAATCTCATCATAGACTCATTTTTAAAGTAGCTCTTGTGAATTCATAGTAAATTAATTGAATTTCTCGATGTTAGTTGGACCAGCAGTCTATTAGAAGCGCGTAAATATTAAAAAAAGTGTATTCATGATGTTCCCTTCTTACTTACAGGAAAATCCGACACCCTCGAGGTGTTTGGGGGTGTTTGGACTCAGTTTGTACACGACAGAACAGCAGATTAACCACATATTCAGCAAGTACGGCCCCGTTGACAAAGTGCAAGTTGTTATTGATGCAAAGGTGTGTATTATTGTTTATCTTTTTGTTTCTTCTTTGGAATGGTATCCTTTTATCTTGCAACCGTCGGTCTTATCGAAAAGATTATTTTTTTTAATCTTCCGCGCCAAAATACTAATAGACTTGAGAGCCAAAGTAGCGTAGTATGATGCGTTGCGGCGCTGCACCGCAAAGATTTCGCCGTATCGAGCGGCGCGGAATCGCACTTCTCCTGTGCTAGCCGCAGATATGTAAGGCGACGCAGCGACACCGCTCGGGCGTCGCACTGTCGTCGCCACACATCGTGTGCTTCAGCTCTAATACACGATTCGTGACTTTAATGACGTTCCGCCATTATTTGCCTAGTAACTTTCGCGCTCCTGCAGTGGATACTAAACGACCTGATCATTGCTTCCACAGACGGGCCGCTCCAGAGGCTTCTGCTTCGTGTATTTCGAGAACCAAGAGGACGCTAAAATAGCTAAGAACGAGTGCACCGGAATGGAGATCGACGGCCGCCGTATCAGGGTTGACTTCTCCATCACGCAGCGAGCACACACGCCTACACCCGGCATCTATATGGGCAAGCCTACGTAGTGAGTCCTTCCATTATTGTTACACCCCTACTGATATGACAGTGATATCGCAAGCAAACGAAAGAAGGAATGAAAGTCCAGCGTAGCTATAAGCTAGCACGAAAAACTTACGTAGTCGTTTACGTATTCGACAAAATTCGATACCCAGCCTTCGAATTCTATCGTTGAATTCGAAGGCTGAAGGTTGAAGGACGGAAAAGGAATGAACGTGACGATCTCGACTGTCAAAATTAGGTAGGTTTCTTATACTGTTCTTCTCTGAAGTTCTCTGAAGGTCACGTTCACAGGGGCGCTGTTTAAGTTTTCATAATACATAAAACTTTTGATGGCGATTCGAATACGCAAACGAGTCGGAAGTCGAAAGATTTTCGTGCTAGAGGTACGGCCTCTTCAAGGCGAGGGTGAATAGCCACAGGGTAGGTATGCCTGCTGCCACGTAGTTAGTGGCCACCCACCATTAGTGGTCTGATATCTGAAGGGTAGGAAGTTGAAACTTTGAAAGTGTCAGTATTATTGAAACCAAACTTGTACGTGTTTAGGCAAAGTTTTTATACAGTAATAAATTTATTCTTATTATTGGCTAGTGTCTACCACCGGTGGCGCGTTGTGAATACTGAATCGCGAGCCGACGCCACTCGCTATACTTTAAAATATGCAGTCAACCTAAAACATAGTCAAGATAAAACATCCAAGTAGCGAAAATCTTTAAAGGGTCATTTATTTACATAAAAATAAAATAACAAATTGGGGTTTTAAATAAAAATAACAAGTGGCATCAATTTACCACCTAATCCTTCCAAGTAGAATGACGAGAATGGAACATGCAATCCTTATTTTTTATTATTTCAACTTCCCACTGTTCACGATTTGAAAATATTTGTTCAAGGCGAATGGCGATTCTTATCGCATGTAAGCAAGCATTCATTTCAAACCATATAATACATACAAACATCGTAGATAAAGAATAGTATTTGAAATAAATCAATAGACTGCAGTTCATGTTTGAGAGAAATGTTGGGATTATGTACTTACTAGCTTTCCGCCCGCGGCTTCGCCCGCTTGGAATTTTGTCTGTCATTGAAAAACGTTATCGCGCGCGTCCCTGTTGCAAAAACCGGGATAAAAACTATCCTGTCTTTTCCCGGGACTCAAACTATCCCTGTGCCAAATATCAAAATCGGTTTTTTGGTTTAGGCGTGAAAGCGAGACAGACAGACAGTTACTTTCGCATTTATAATAATTAGTATAGATTTTTATATTTTTTGGATTCTGTACCAAAATGTTTATAAGATCATGTTTGTGTATTAGAATTTAGAGATCTAATATACAGATGATGAGAAAAATAGAGGAAATTGAGGAGAGTCTGAATCTTACATAACCACAGGCTATTATCGCAATTTTACTCGTAACCCTAAGGTCCTAATTACAAAGCAATGGTAAAAACTCGTATTATGTTCTGTGATAGGTCTAAATATTGATTCAAGCAACCAGAAACCTCAATGCTTAAAATGAAATTGAGTTGCGTTCTGTAACACTCATCGTACTTTGTAATCGTGTTGCTGTGTAGTTTCCAACAATCACTGCAATTGTATCTGTATTTTCTGGTTCAAGCTGAAAGATGTTGGTATAGCAATGAGCAGATTTAGAGTGAGCCAGCTAGAAGTTAAGTTGGCCCACTAAAGGCCTGCTTGCACATTCCTTTTGTGAAGTAATTTTGTACAAACAATGTGTGTACATGAAGCTAAGATTAAAATTTTTGTTACAGTGTAAGCAGCAGAGGTGACAATGGCTATGACAGACGCAGGGACCGAGAGTAAGTCCTTTTTCCACAGTTTAACTCTTCGCCATAGATCTTTATTAATTGCCAATTTCATAAAAGTACATCAGCAGGTTATTCTTTGCATAGTTCTTTCCCTTTCTCTTCAGTTTGAACTACCCAAACAATGGAAGCCATTCTCTAATATCAATCAAACTGAAAGCATACAATTTCGTCACCCATTACAATATTTTGGAATCGTCAAGAGTCAGCAAACTTCACTTCACTTACTTTAAATAAACTCAAAGGCAATTTTACACATCTTTTAAAACTAATTGGCCAGACTTGCAGGCTGGAACGTTTGGTTAAGTTTTACCTTTCAATTATGGGCTATAGATCGTTTCATCCACGAAGACGCGCCCCACCATTCTTCCGCTAATGTCTGAATGTTATCGGTACACGCTAAATCATCCATAAGTGCCACGCATACAATAATGACGCTCGGATTGCTCGGATCAAACTCCCCTTCGCGCTTCTTTCGACCAAAAATTGGTGGGGCGCGTCAGCTTAGTGGATGGAACGATCTATACAGGGTGTTAGGTAAATGGGTATATGAGCCGACACTAGCCCATGTTAACATGGGCATATAAATGGTATGGTGAAGTCAGAAATTTGATATCATCATTTTAATTTTTTAAATTTTCATATAAAACAAATTTTATAAAATCCGATTTGTATGAAAATTAAAATAATTATCAATTTTCTGACTTCACCATACCATTTATNTTTGATATCATCATTTTAATTTTTTAAATTTTCATATAAAACAAATTTTATAAAATCCGATTTGTATGAAAATTAAAATAATTATCAATTTTCTGACTTCACCATACCATTTATATGCCCATGTTAACATGGGCTAGTGTCGGCTCATATACCCATTTAACTAACACCCTGTATTAAAAAAAATCACTGCCAAATTCGTTTCAAAAAGCGGCAGTTAATCACACCTAACGACAGACCGTCTTCCAGCGACTATTACTACCGAGGCGGCGGCGGGTACCGCGAGCGCGAGTACTACCGGTCGTACCGGCACCGCTCGCCGTCGCCGCACTACCGCCGCAGCCGCCGCTACGAGCGAGAGCGGTCCTACTCCCCCCGTAAGTCTACCTACTACCACCCGCAGCGGTAGTTCCCACGTCCGCTGGTCATGGACACGCGTTAGGTTGGTTTCCACTAAAGGTTCGGCCAAACCAACGCGAACAGCCTGCGCGCGCGCCGACTGCACGCGTATTTGACCGAACCTTAAGGCTGGTTTTAGAATCGCGCTGACCGCTCGCTGATCGTCGGCGCTGACAGATCAATATGTATGTAATTGAAGGGAACGTTCCTGAGTGACGCTGATCGCTCGGCGCCGACGCTTCATACGTTTTGGCTGTCAGCGCTGATGGTCAGCGTGCGACAGCGTGACTCTAAAACCAGCCTAAGGCTGAGCAGAGCGGAGATGTGTTTTGAATAATCAATCAGATTTCATACTCCAATAATGATGAAATCTGATTGGTTATTGAAAAAATTCTTGCCTTGGTGGAAACCGGACCTTAGGCTAGGCGCGCACGATGAGGTTATTATGAATCTTAGCAATTAGTTGCTGATTGTATGGAAACTAGCGTCACCTACAATTAAACGCGACGCTGTCATTGATCGGCGTACCTGACTGCAGTCGTGTTGCTATTGTTCAATCAGCAATCGGTTGCTTAGATTTCTAATAATCCCGCCTTTGACAATATCGCTGTGACAGTACAGTGACTTTTACACTTTTGTAGAGAGAAAGAGAGACATACTGTCACGGTGACAAGTCACCCGTGAGCGCATAGGCTTAGGTTCAAAACGTAACGATCATTGCACTGGCAGAATAAGGATAGGCGCGAATAAAATGTATGAAAAAATTAGTTCGTGCATTCACTATAAGTGGCTGCGATGTCGATGCACCATTAGATTTTTTTCTTAGGTTATTGAACGAAGTTATAGTATACAATCCTTTGTTATGTACGCGACCAATTTGACGAGCTAGTAGTATAGCTGAATATGGGCAAATCCATAATGAAGTAATTAGTAGACTTTAAATATTTAAAAGTCACTTAAAAGGATTTTTTCTCGTCTTTACGTTTACGCTTAAAAATAATGCAGTAAAAATGTACGTAATGTAAAAAACTCATGGATTGGAATTATACACCATACGTGTTGGTAAGCAATAACGCATTTTGTGATGAAATTGGTCTTCAATATTATTACAGATAAACTTTCAGTATAAATAGTAAAGTTGATTATCAAATTGTGTGACAAATATTTACATAAGTTTACTCTGAAGTAGATAGTATTATTTTAAGCCTGTATTGAGGCTTTTTCCGTTCCTATCACGTTTTTTTAATTTTCCATTAATCAATTTCGTCAGTCAGTGTCTTGCGTTGTCCATGACCAGATTAACTTCTTATTCTAACACCGTAGTTTCGTATTTAATATAAAATATATCAATTAAAATTAATAGTCGTGTGTATAAAACTACGCTGCTAGATTGAAGTGTTCCACATTGCGTGACGCTCACGCAAGCATTTTTGATTTAAATTCCCTCCAGGTACAGACGACGGCACACCAAACTGACAATACATCTTATGTAGATGCATATAGATGCTATTTTACAGCAAAATATTGTCTGATGTGCTCTTCACTGTACTAAAGTGCATCTAAATGCCAGTCACTATTTTTCTACACTAATTTTAATGCTTACGTGACCATCACTAGATTTAGATAATAAGATTCATAATTAAATGTAGGACCATTTTGGCTTAATTGTGTTAGGAATATAATTATCTCATCATGTCACACAATCTATCATTCATCGGTCACACTAGTGTAAACCTAGCCTAATATACTGACATGTATGACGGAATATTGTATTTTGATTTGCTATTTGTTTCTGTAACACACACATTAGACCACAATGTCTACATGCCAAAGACACCCAAAGATTGATCATTCTTCAAAATTTACAATTTATGTATTCCCAAAATTTTATTGCTCAATCAATATCTTCAAAATTTGCCATGTCGAAATTCATTAGTTACCTTTTAGTTAAGATATTTTTTAGAATTTCTCTGACCATTTATTTTTGGAAATGTTAAGACCAAACGTGTGCATAGCTCGAACAAGTCAACAGTATGTTCAGTGTTACATAACAATTAACACCAAAATAATAAGAACGTCAAAAATATGACTTACTGACCTACAATTTTATGTAAAAAATCTAACAACAGTTTTGAGCACTTTCAAACGCTTTACCCAAGTGATCGGCAGCGTTCACACAGAATAACAACACTACACACAGGCTAACATTTCTCAGTTAGGGAATCAGTATTGTGGCGTGACGTCATGGCGTCAAAAACTTCGAAATTGTCACGATTAGTCGGTATTCGGTACCGGCATATATTTTTTTTATCCACAACGAGGAAGCTCTTGGCCTGAAAATGAATATTCTCCCATTACGCCAAATATTAGTTCCGATGATTTGGTATTGCTTGCATTTGCATCACGATATTTACAAAAGGTTCAGGCAGACAAGCATTCGCTCGTATGGTCTAAACAACAAACAATAAATAGTTGGAGAACGTTCAGTGTGTGCTATGACGCTGCTATAATGCTGTGCTTTCACTTTGCCCATAACACCATGGTTACTCCCCTGTTTGACTTTGCAGGTCGTTATTAGTAAGCGTGACGCTGACGTCATCTTCAGTTTAGTGTAGCTTTCGATACACCACACCTTCCCAAATGTCTCCACTGGCCTTTTGCATTTATACTGTACCGGGCAGGCCGTAGTTATGACGTTGTCGCGAGCCGCTCGCACCGGCCGACTTCCCCTGGCAGGCGACGCGATAGTTGCTATCCACGTGATACAAAGGGTTCTAGCTATAAGTTAGTCTGTAACGGCCTCCGGCCATAGATGCCTCTAGATTGTAATACTAGATCTAATAAAGATTCTACTTTAAGTCTAACATTGATTTTGTTTGTTTGAAAAGGTATTGAAACAAGAAGTAAAGGATGAAGTTCCTTGAAACTAACTGTGTTGAAGTTTTGAAAATGTTTGATTGAAAAGTCCTTTCGAATGGCGGTTGCCGAAAATCGAAAACGTCCGGGCGACTAGCGGGCGAGGCTTAAAGAATATGATCGGGTTCCGAGGCTGAAGCCGCCGACCGAAGCCGCCGCAAGAAAGAAGCGCGCACAGATCATATTCTTTATCTTCCGAAAACTAAACACTACAGTATTTAGTACTTCGTGATCCTTTGCATTTTTTCGAATCCATAGTAATATGTACTATATTATTTTATGTATCAGCATCGATTCTGATGACACATTATTTCACATTCTTATTTTTATTAGTGTAGTATTGTGTTGTGAGCGACATTGTTATAATAAATAATAGTTTTGTAATACCATTATGGTTCTTCTTCATTCATCGTCCCACCCGATCTTTTCCATTATCCTTTCTAACCCCAACCACGGGATTATGAACTTTGGTTTCCACTATGATGAAGCACGCAAGTTTCGTTTTAACAACAGTAATTGACAAAAAATAAACTTACATAAAAGTAGTTGGTTTTGTCACTGCATTTCAAGTCGCAGTATCATAGTGGAAACTCAAGTAAATTGACAAAATTATATTATATTTAAGTAGTAGTGGGGTTTACTTATGTATTTATTGCAGTAATAAATTAAATAACACTTGCACTAGTTACTTTGGGTGATTATCTAATTTTATCATGTAGATAATTAAAAATTAGATTGGTTGAGATTATTATTATATTTACTAACTAGGTAAATATGTAGAAAATTGGATTATTTATGTAGAGTATTGTAGTTGGGATACATGTAAATAAAATGCAGGAAATCTGAATTGTCAGGTTTTATTAAAATTCTTAACAATGCCTATGTATATTATTATAAATACATACCACATACGTTAGTATTGGCACTCGTTCCAAAATATGGCAAACTCGGCACCACTAAACTTTAAATAAAATAATAACAATATAAAAATAATGACAGCTGCAACAAAATTATATAAAATGGATAGTTTAATTGCATTGGACGCACTTTGGATGATTCTGATTGATTTGTACTCTTATTCTAAACTCGGGGGTTTTATTTTATAGCAGAACATTTGGTAAGTTGTAAAACTGCAAAATAATAAATTAAATTAACGGAATGCTTAATAATACTGTAATAACGGTATATCTTGGATATTCATTGATATGCTTAAATTATTAACAAAATAAATTCGTAATACATTATGACTGTTAAAAATAGCGCAACATAAAACAAGATTCATTATACTAAGCACAAGCTTGACAACAAAACTTACATGTACTTTACTTAGCTATTCTGTACACACCTGAGGCCCGATTCGACCAAACTTTTATCCGAGAATAACTCCTGGCACATTGACAGTTTCAGTATGGGAAATATGTCAAAACTATTTATTCTGAGATTAATATTTACTCTTGTTTGGTCGAATCCACCCTAAGTTGCAGACAATAATGCGTTGTCTAATGCAGCTATCGAGAATGGTGTGTGAACAGCGTTTCAAGGTATGTTCACATAAAGCCGGGTCTCCAGCTCGTGTTTTGCCCTATACAATCAACAAAAAGTCAAAATTCAACAAAATATCCTACCAAAAATGTTGAATGTTGACATGTTTTTGTTGATTGTGTAGGGCAAAACGCGTTGGAGACCCTCCCGGCTTTACAAAAGTTGGTAAGGGGAGGGGACAATAAATATACGCCCGCCCTATAATGTCACATCTTTAGACAGCTGTATTATGTATATAGATGACCCACGCTGAACTGTCCCGCCAAACTCAATGACAGGGGGCGCTACCATCGTTCAACTATATGGTTTCCAACATGGCAAAAATCTGAACCAGCGATCCGGTATTGACGGTGGCGCCCCACTGTCAATGTCATCGACAGGACAGTCCAGTATTTTGGAACTATACAAACCGCTGCATCCTGCTGCAGTAGATACAAATTTTGGCAAGATGTGTGTATGCACAATGCGAGCAGCTCTCATTGTCTTAAAAGACCCCAACTATCCCTCCCACCAATTTAAATATTTACTAGAAAATAATATTAGCATCAACAAGCGCCATTTAAAATTGACGCTTTTGTCCATCTACCCGACAAATCAAAACAAAAAATGCTACTGACTGAACTTCATCAACGTCTGAATCAAAACAAAAAATGCTACTGACTGAACTTCATCAACGTCTGTAAGTAGTACGAAACCCGCATAGAACTAACAGTGGTCTAGTCAGTATATTGATCACCTGGGTGATCAAAGTGGACTCCAGGCTACACTTAGGTGTCCCTTGATCACCCATAGATCAGACTTGTGGACTTATCCATGGGTGATCAAAGGACACCAGTGTTATTTGGAGTTCACTTTGACACCTGAGTGATCAAATATCTTGAGTAGAATATAAGAATGGCCATTTATAAAGCGGACTATCTACTAAGAGCTATCACCCTATGGGTAAAGGGACGGGGATTATATTTTTCTACGATTGAGCTGCAAAAATATCTTGGGCGGAGGCGTCGAAGTAAGATTTCAGACTTCTGTACCTACTACAAAGCAATATTATAAATTCGTCATAGTGAAAGAAGGCTTATTGCACGCCAATTGAAGCTTATAATGGGAAATAATGTAAACAATTAGCGTTAACGGGGAATAGTGAACAAAAAGTTCACTACTCCCCATTGACGGGGATTGTCAACGGGGAATGGTGGAGCCTGAAAGAATAATAAAATTGCAAACAAGCAAGTTGTATGCTTATGTCAGAGTCAGTTTTAACGTTAAGATTACATAGTGTAAATTAAATTGAATGATTAGCCAGAATGGCGTGTATTCTTTTGTTGGCACCTACGTTGAATTGTCAAAATCTCCGTCATAAAATAAACTGCCAGCTTCATCTCAAAATTAATGACTACACTAATACCCACTTAACTTACTAGCTAATGGCAAGATAGGATGAGCAAAAATGGAACAAAACATCTATGCTATGCATCAATACATACTTTTTCTATCGCTGGAATTTAACTAAATGCCTCTATAGTTAATCCGACGAAAATAGCTACATTACTGCATAATTATAATAAATTGTTGGAACTATTTTATATTGTAAAATGATTGAGCGATTCTTGTCCTCTGTAAAGGTCATAGCACACTTATAAAACCGGAAAGGGTTGAACATAAAGCCTTTCGTAGCGCTGTCAACCGCGAGGCGAGCCGTTTATGTAACGGTGCGGATACTGACCGCCTTGAGTTGATACCCTTCTGACCCACCGCACTACCAAACCACACTACCAGTAGTGTCGTGGGGAATATTTTTTCCCTTCTACACTACCAAGCCAGTAGTGTCGTGGGTAATATTTTTTCCCTTCTACACTACCAAGCCAGTAGTGTCGTGGGTAATTTATAAGGGACTTACATCTTCATTCCCATCGACACTATACTACCATAACTAAATATAAAATTTGTAACCATATAGTTATGGTAGTAAAATTACCCACGACACTACTGGTTGTAGTTGGTAGTGCGGTGGGTTAGAAGGGAGTTGATACGATTTCCATCCGTCTCCGGGTTGATGAGTGTGCTTTATCTTTTAACTTGTTGGTACCCGAGGCTTATCATTGTTTTAGCAGGAATTAAAGCTCATTCGTATTCTGACAAATACAGCCTTGTTTATCGTTAAACTTGTCTTGCTGTATCTATGGATATGCATGTAGTTGGTACAATCACTAGAAATTGAAAATACTGTCCTAAATACTACTTAAATTACTACACGAAGGCTATTCGCTATAATATCAATAAATAACAGAAAATTCTGGTTTACTACGATTTGGAGTGTAGAATATTCATTATTCGCATACTTTTTTTGGGTAAACAAAATGGTATAAGTTACATTCTATATCATTCTACTTCTACACAGGGTTATTATAAAACAGCGACTACCCATGCGTGTTTGTACAAATATTTGTAACATTCAGCTAAAATAAAAATTAACTCTCCACTGTACACACAAGGGTTCTTTTGCACTAACTAATATTTGTACAAAAACGTAATGAGTAGCTGTGCCAGGATATCAATAACTACATTAATTTCATAGAACAAGTTGGATAAAATTCTATCTAGCGCTAGATCTTTGAATTGAAATTATCGTGATAATTGAAAAACTACCCAAGTTGAAAAATCTAAATCCATTGGCAATTGAGTACTGGAGCATATACCCAGGGGAACTATTAGGTGCCCTACAGGCAGCGAATGGGTTGCTTACCACCGCCCTAAACTCAAGATCAGGGTAAATCGAGACTGTTTTTGGTGCCCCTTTGTTTAAAACTTACACATCACATCAATTTGTAAATAACTGAATACAGACAGGCTGTGGCTGGCAAATAATTCCACTCCTCATTGCGAAAGATGTTGCATAGTTACCTTGCTAGTCGATTGGTTGCGGTAGAGTAACGTCAGCGTGGGAAGTGTAAGTTATATCTTCTGGTATATCTGAGAAGACTTACGCGTGTTCTGCTGCTGTGTGACGTCATAAGTGCTACTGGGACGAGGGTGCGAGAGGGTCGTGCTGCAGTGGAGACTGGATTAGCTGAGTTAGCTCAAAGAGCTCCTTTTGTACCCTTTGCACCACCGGCCTGCACCACTGGTGGTGCAAAGGGTATTTTTAAATCCCTCTTGCACCACCAACAAATAGTGCTGTGCTACCATCGACTGTAAAACAAGTAGTAGACTGTAAAATACTTAATAATTTAATTGTTATAAATAAATCAAAACCTACCTAAAAGTTTTCATTTGTGTGTGTGTAAGTGCCTATAAACATTTCACTTCAGACCCACGATACCCCGGGCCTACATCCCACATACAACGAATAAAGTACCAGGGCAACATAACCATAAAGGAGCTATTTTATGATACATGTTTATTTCTCGGATTAACCAAGAAGAATTTGATATAGCTCCTTTATGATTATGTTGCCCTGGTACTTTAGGAATTATTCGTTGTATGTAGGTATGAATGGTTGTTATTATTTTTTATGTTATGTTGTCAAATCTGTCCAGTAGTTTCGGAGCCTATTCAGTACAAACAAAGAAACAAACAATCAAATCTTTCCTCTTTATAATATTAATATTATATGATTATAGATAAATCGTTTTACAGTTAATGGTAGGGCGGCACTATTGGTGGTGCAAAAGGGATTAAAAAAGGGTACTTTGCACCACCAGTGGTGCAGGCCGGTGGTGCAAAGGGTACAAAAGGAAAGAGCTTGTGGCGTGGTCACGAAGCAAGGCGCCTCAGGTAAATTAGAGGGGGTCTTCTTTGCAGTGGTGACTGAAGTCACCTCTAAATTAGAGGGTCGTACTCCTGCAGCAGGAACTAATGGACCTGATCATGGTGCTTCTCCTGCAGCGGAAACTGGACCTAATGATGAGTGTCCAGGTATTTAGATTCTTGCTCCTCTGAATGACCTTATGACGACGAAAAGTTGAGTTGTTAGAGCAAGCAGCGTGGCATGGTCGCGATGCAGCAGTCGTCTGGTAAATTAGTCACGTGCTCCTACAGAGGAAATTGGACCTAATGATGACCGGCTAAGTATCAACTTAGAGCAGCAGAGTAGCGTGGTGTGATGCAGGCGTCTCTGGTAAATTGGACAGGATCTTGCTCCTCTGAACAACGAAGAGTTGAGTTGTTATCTTATAGCGTGGTAACTTTTGTAAATTACGAGGGTCGTACTCCTGGACCTAATAATAAGTGGTCAAGTCTGAACTTAGAGCAGCAGAGTAGCGATGTCATGATGCAGATGTCTCGGGCAAATTAGACGCTCGTTCTCCAGCTCTAATAGTGGTGAAGAATGTTATCTTAGAGCAGCAGCGTGGCGTGGTCTCTGTCCAGGTGCCTCTGATATATTAGGGTTGGTTTCCAGCAGTGGTGACTGAAGGCGCCTCTGGTCGCTAGCTAGCTAGCTTAGGGCTGCAGCGTGGCGTGGTCACGATGCAGGTGTCTGGTAAATTAGATAGTCGTACTCCTGTAGAGGAAACTGGACCTAATGATAAGTGGTCAAGTATCAACTTAGAGCAGCAGCGTGGCGAGGTCACGATGCAGGCGTTTCTGGTAAATTGGACAGGATCTTGCTCCTCTGAACAACGAAGAGTTGAGTTGTTATCTTATAGCGTGGTAACTTTTGTAAATTACGAGGGTCGTACTCCTGCAGAGGAAACTAGACCTTATAATGAGTGGTCAAGTATCAACTTAGAGCAGCAGAGTAGTGATGTCATGATGCAGATGTCTCAGGCAAATTAGACGCTCGTTCTCCAGCTCTAATAGTGGTGAAGAATGTTATCTTAGAGCAGCAGCGTGGCGTGGTCTCTGTCCAGGTGCCTCTGATATACAGTGTGAGTCACGTTAAAGTGTACATATGAAAATAGATGAAACTAGACCTGTTTTTATCGACAAAAAAGAGGTCAAAAATTTTTTGAGATTTTTTTTTTATTTTTTATAGAATTTTTTTTCTTCCAATTACTTATTGTAAAGAAAACGTAATAACTTTTAAACTAAGCTGTAGATCCTGATAAAATAAAAACAGTAATAATGCTAAATAACAGGCAATACTAAAAAAATACATAAAATAGACAAAAAAGGCCATCAAATAATAAAATATGATACTTTTTGAAAAAAATCTGCTTAAAAATTCGTGTTTTTTTGGTTATTTGATAAATTTCTCCAAAAAATGCCCCTATAACCGGTAGTTTTTATTACTTTTTATTGTTCTCTATCGTATTATCTTTGTAAAACCAAAAATCGCATGTCTCTATCCCTATCACAACATTTGCTATGATCTGATATTACGAAGGTAATACGATAGAGAATAATACAAAGTAATAAAAACCACCGGTTATAGGGGCATTTTTTGGAGAAATTTATCAAATAACAAAAAAAACACGAATTTTTAAGCAGATTTTTTTCAAAAAGTATCATTTTTTATTATTTGTTGGAATTTTTGGTGTATTTTATGTATTTTTATAGTATTGTCTGTTATTTAGCATTATTACTTTTTTTATTTTATCAGGATATACCGCTTAGTTTAAAAGTTATTACGTTTTCTTTACAACAAGTAATTGGAAGAAAAAAAAATCTATAAAAAATTTAAAAAAAATCTCAAAAAATTTTTGACCTCTTTTTTGTCGATAAAAATAGGTCTAGTTTCATTTATTTTCATATGTACACTTTAACGTGACTCACACTGTATTAGGGTTGGTTTCCTGCAGTGGTGACAGAAGGCGCCTCTGGTCGCTAGCTAGCTAGCTTAGGGCTGCAGCATGGCGTGGTCGATTGCAGGTGTCTGGTAAATTAGATAGTCGTACTCCTGCAGAGGAAACTGGACCTAATGATAAGTGGTCAAGTATCAACTTAGAGCAGCAGCGTCACGTGGTCACGATGCAGTCGTCTTTGGTAAATTAATTTGTAGGAACAGAGGAAACTGGACCTAATAATAAGTGGTCAAGTATCAACTTAGAGCAGCAGCGTGGCGAGGTCACGATGCAGGCGTCTCTGGTAAATTGGACAGGATCTTGCTCCTCTGAACAACGAAGAGTTGAGTTGTTATCTTATAGCGTGGTAACTTTTGTAAATTACGAGGGTCGTACTCCTGCAGAGGAAACTGGACCTAATAATAAGTGGTCAAGTCTGAACTTAGAGCAGCAGAGTAGCGATGTCATGATGCAGATGTCTCGGGCAAATTAGACGCTTGTTCTCCAGCTCTGATAGTGGTGAAGAATGTTATCTTAGAGCAGCATCGTGGCGTGGTCACGATACAGGTGTCTGGTAAATTAGATAGTCGTACTCCTGCAGAGGAAACTAGACCTTATAATGAGTGGTCAAGTATCAACTTAGAGCAGCAGCGTCGCGTGGTCGCGGTGCAAACGGCGGCGCGCGCGCAACGGAGCGGCGGCGAGCGCGTCAGACGGCGCGGGAGGCCCGGCGGCGCGCGCGCCTGCTTCTTGGTAGTACACTTGTGCGCCGCCGCACGACACGCCTACTACGACGCTCTCGTCGCTCCTGAGGACAAGATTGGGTTGGAGTTAATGGTGATAAATGGAATAACCCCTTCTGGACTTGTGTCCCTGTGTTCGGTTCGGTAATCCATGGTATACAGTGTGGCTAGGGAGTTGACGTTCAAAGCTAAAATTAGATTCCTTATATCAAGGTGGATCCAAAACACTACTATGTATGTTCTAAGATTTTGCTTAAGTCTAGATTTTTTCCTTTGGATACCCCTTGCTTGATATAGGAATCTAAATAGCTTTGATTGAACGTCAACTACCTGGTCACTGTATATATGCCGAAGAATTTGTCATTACCGAACCAAGGCCCTGATTACTCCTTTGGTAGAATCAATTACTTTAATCACAGGAATATCACATAACTGATGAGTATAAAGTACTTATTCTTATTCTGTGATACTACTACCACACAGTCAGGTAGCTGCAGGACTTCTGAAACACCGCTTACGTAGATTCGGGTATATCTGTCACTGTCGCTCATGCTGGCATCGCGCTTTGTGCGAGAGGGATGGAAACATTCCAACTTTGGATTACGGTTTTTGCAGTAGCTCCCCTGTAGTCCGCTGCCTCAGAGCCCGTGTCCAGCGGACTCAGTGCCCTATGCCTGTACCTACGTAGGAAAACCTAACAAAAATAACTTTACATACCTCAAAATAAACTCCGTCAGTTTCCTATCCTCAGCGAACTCGTTGTGTATCAGTCCCATAGTAGCGATGTCGAGCGCTGCCCAAGGCACGCCCTTGACTTACTTATGGTCCTATGTCCCCTAGATGGGGCAGAGGGCGTCCACAACAGTCCTCCATCTCGTTCGGTCTTGAGCTTCTCGCTTGATCTCGCTCCAGGTCTTGCCGATCTTCTTCGCCTCGTCCGCTACAGTGAGCCGCCAAGTTTGCCTGGGTCCACCACGTTTGCGTTTTCCTTGGGGATTCCAATCCAGAGCCTGCTTAGGGATGCGATCGGGGTCCCTTCGGAGAGTGTGGCCAATCCAGTTCCACCTGCGGCGCTTGATCTGCTGGTCGATCAGAATTTCGTGGCAGCGTTCCGCCCTTGACCGTGCCCCAATCCGGGTCTAAGCTCAGGTAGCTACAGGGCTATGCCGAAACACCGCTTACGTAGATTCGGGTATATCTGTCACTGTCGCTCATGCTGGCATCTCTTTTTGTGCGAGAGGGATGGAAACATTCGAACTTTGGATTACGGTTTTTGCAGTAGCTCCGCTGTAGTCCGCTTCCTCAGAGCCCGTGGCCAGCGGACTCAGTGCGCTATGCCTGTACCTACTTAGGAAAACTTAACATAAATAACTTTACATACCTCAAAATAAATTCCGTCAGTTCCCTGTCTTCAGCGAACTCGTTGTGTATCAGTCCCATGGTAGCGATATCGAGCGCTGCCCAAGGCCCGCCCTTTTTGACCGTGCCCCAGTCCGGGTCTAACGTCAGGTAGCTGTAGTCGGCCGCTTCGGGACCAGCGCCTAATGGCTCTATGCACTTCTGCTCGATCGGCCCGAGCGCGTTCAGAGAAGTTTCCCACTGGAAGCGAAAGGAATTTGTTAATGGACTGTGGTAAGTGGCAAAGGTAAGTTCCTTATTCGTGTCACTACAGTGATATTGAAAAGTAGAGGTTTTGAAGGTTTTATACGGCGTTAAAAAATATATAAAGATTTTAGTGCTTGAGAGTTTCCACTAGGGGCGCTGTACAATTTGTCATACATTTATTGTTACTTTTTTACGCAGTTTACATCGAATGCGTTTGACGTAAACACACACTACGCCCCGTGTTGTTAATTTTGGTCAGTAATATGACATAATATGAGTAGTTTGGAATAACCTTATAATAGACTATGAGATAGCGATAGAATAGATCCTGTAACGTTTTTGGAATCTTGGCACGTCATCAGTCAGTCAACTATTTGTTTTCAGGCTCGAATTTTGTGATCTTTTAGAGGAGCTGTGTCTTGAAATTATTGGTTAATGATGTCAAACTACTCAATGAAATCTAAGGCCCGTTTCCACCAAGGCGGAGCAGAGCGGAGCGGAGAAGTGTTTTGAATAGCCGCCGTCCGCTGTCACATAGTATGAAATTTTCGGCAGCGCGTCAGTCGCGCGTTTGTCGCGCTGCTAAATCGCCTAAATGTGTAAACGCTCTAAGACTATGATTAATCATCATCATTTCAGCCATACGCCATACGTGGGACGTCCACTGCTGAACATAGGCCTCCCCTAAAGATTTCCAAGTTGATTGATTAGTAGCGGCCTGCGTCCAGCGCTTCCCTGCTACCTTTACGATGTCGTCGGTCCACCTTGTGGACGTCTCACGCTGCGCTCTAAGACTTACCAGCGTGTTGATCGTCTCTGGGTCATCCGCCGCGGGCGCGTCAAGCACCGCTAGCAGCGCCATATTGTGTAGCCCGCTCACAAACAGCGAGCACTTCACAGCATTCTGGCTGTATGACGCGAGCTGATCTATGTCGTCCTCTGAATCGCTGTCCGATTCTGAGTCTTGCCGCTGGGTTTTTGGTCTGGAATATCATTAGATACGTACTCTTTATTACTACTGGAAACCACAATCATCATAATTAAGCGATCTCGATGAGACAACTCGAGAGGAGAGAAGGGATTGATTGTTATTGGGTAACTATAGTCCTTTTCATGTGCATGTGGATTGAGTGATCCTTGCTTCAATCTTAACAAAAATCGAGGAAGTTTTACTTAAAATATGTTAAAACATTGCGATGAAGTTTAAAAATTTGTTAAACCTANGGTGTGAGTGATCCTAAATAATCGTCATAACTTTGGAACGGGACGTGCAAGGAATTTCTGAATTTGTTAATAGTTTTAACATATTCTTAACAATTTTTCTATACTATAAAAAGAAGTGGAAAGGCTTTATTTTCTGAAATAAACATGTTGACGTTTTCTTAAAGCGTGCGGTATGAGTGCTCCTATTTAGTGGCCATAACATTTTTATCTTAGGTTTAACAAATTTTTAAACTTCATCGCAATGTTTTAACATATTTTAAGTAAAACTTCCTCGATTTTTGTTAAGATTGAAGCAAGGATCACTCAATCCACATGCACATGTCCTTTTCACCTAAGATGATTCGTATGACGTTTCGAGTTTGAAAGTTATAGAGATGTCACATTACTAAACCATAGCGATTTATCTATCGATGTTTTTCTAAGAGTTAGTAAAACCTACTTTTAGAGAAATATTTTGTATAGGTGAAAATTAACAAAAAAACATGTTTTTTTAATTACAAATATTATTGTAACAATTTTTATTGATAATATTCAAAATCCATGGACTTCGTGTTCAAAAAAACGATTCCTAATAAGTACTGGTTCTGTTTCTTAAATTAAAAACTATTAATTTATTTTCAATGCGTTTATTAAAGTTAACAATCGAAAAATATAGTTGATTTTTGTGATGTTTTTAATAAATAAGTATTCACTGCAATCGATTAATGAACCGCGGAAATAATCGATTTTGTTATACAACAAATACCCCAGCACTAAATCTATTCCGTTTCACACATTGCGTACATTAAATAAAAAATATTTTTACATCGTATTTAATTAAAATATAATCAATAAACTCAGATTTTACTATATTATTTCAAGACAAGAAGTTAATTTTTTTTATTATATTGCTAATAAAATACAACTATTTTTTCAGAAATATTCTGCATATGTAGTATGCGTAATATGGATAACCTTGAAGTGTCATACGGATCATCTTACGTGAAAAAGACTATAGCAGAAATGCACTCTTCTTGCTTGAGTCTTATTATGGCGTATAAGAAAAGATGTCAATATTCAGTCTTCCTGACACGATGGAAATCGATATACGTAACACTTCTTCTTCGGTAAGAGATTCTCTTAAATAAGGAACGAAATATTCAACAGAAGAATTCTTTGATTGTTTATAAATATGTTACGGTCAAAGTGATAAATGTGAAAATTATGAATAATCGCCGGTTATTATGAATAATTACCACATGATTCGGTAAATGTGATTAATATGAGGTCATTTATGTGTGTATAAAACTAAATAGGCGGCTTAGGGGCACCGCACCTTAACCTATTTTTCACTTTAAATCAAAACATTATGTTATGGGCATCATAGAAAAGTACTATTATGCAAGAAACATTCGAAACTCATTATTCCAAATTATATTAATATATGATATCAAAACGTTCAAAAGTTTGGTTGTACACGAGCACGTACACAAGATGTTGTTCTCTTTCATGAAATTTGTTACCTACTAAGGTTGAATTATTAAATAATCACTGTTAAATGTGATTAATTTATCACTTTTACCGCGACTGTCGGTAATTATTCATAATAACCGGTTATTATTAATAATTTTTAATTTATCACATTAACCGTAACAAATACATAAAAAAGAAAATTGTTAAAAATGTTATAATTACCTGTCAGAGAATGTGACTTGTCGTTCAGCGGCTGGCGTCGGAAACTCCCTCAGTTCAAGCGGCGTCATCACTCTACTGCTGTATCCACTCGACTTGTCCGAGAACGCTAAATGACTCAGTTTCTCCATCAAGGGAGTCAGCTGAACTCCCGTCAGTTTCTTCTTAAAACTAGTAGCCTCAGTTTCCGACCCAATCTGCGAATCTGTACTTTCCGATAACGATTTCAGAGGCAGCGAAAGCGATTTTCGCCTGGACTGATCCGTTGATAACGTTTTCGTCGAATCTTTGGGAATCTTCTTTGGCGTTCTTTGCGGAGACCTATTCAGCTCCGAATCGAAGTCTTCGAACTTCTCCTGCTCACATAATTTCATGTTGAAAGTGAACATGTTGTCTTCTTTGGATTCTTGCTTCATTCTGGCGTAGTATTGTTCTAGATACTGGTTGAATAAAGATTCTGAGATGGCAACGCCGTCATTTCTGAATACTGGGAAGAAGGGATCGTTGATTGTCAACGAAGACCGACGGCTTTTCATTATTCCATCCTCGTCTGGGGACGGCGTCATATCATCGTTGAGAGGCACTTTCGATCGTTTTAATTTAAACCTGGATGTCGCTCTGTTGGAAATTCTTTTAAACGTATCTTGGATATCCGTAACACTCGCGAGTTTCCTGATCGGGTCTGGTTTATTTATGTAGTGATCCGCAATGCAGTTCATGTCAAGAACGATTTGGTTGTCTCGTTTCTCGTTTTCGATCATTTTGGCACAGTTTTCGATGTTTTTGAGCACGTCTGGTTCTGGGGGCTTTTCTTGTTGCGTGTCTGGGTTTTGGCAGATGGAAAGGATGTTTCCGTGGAGTCGTTTGTATTCTACCATGGGTGTGGAGCAAACGCTGGTTTGTCCTGTGAAGACGGTGTCGTTTTCTTTTGCGTCTTCGTCTAATGATTTTTGGTTTTTGAAGCTTAGTGAGAGCTTGGTCGGTCGTGGTCGCGGTTTATTCGTGAAGGGAACGACGTCGGGCATGCTCGGTTTTCTTTCGGAGTCAGTCATGGGGTGTTCGTCTTTGTTAGGAGGGGATATCATGGTGTGGTCTTCTTCGGGCACGGCAGTGAAAAGCAAAGACTTGTCTCTTTTCATGCCTGTTTGGGGGAACTCTCTTACTTTTTCGCGTTCGGCCTCTTGATTCTGAAAAGGAAGCCTCTTATTAATTTACATCTGGAGCGCAATCAAACTGATTACTTTTACTACACATGGAAAAACTGATGTTGAAAGAAGAAAGTTCACCAATATACATATGAATATAAAGCACAGTAAAATACTTATCGCAATTATACATTTTCTTTGGCTACCACATACCTTTCTAAACTTTGCCATCATCTCCTCCCCACTGTGGTGGAACTCCTGTATCTTTTCCACCTGCTTCTTCAAGCTATCGTACGTCTTCTTCGCGACATAAACCACCAATAGCTGAGCACCTAGAGGCAAGGGCGTCTCAGTTTGAACGGTCTCTGCTGGAGACTTTATTCGGTACGGGTCCACCACTGTGAGGTATGAAGTCAGGCTTGGAGGCAGTTGCGTGGCGATTATTCTGGAAAAGTATACATTTATATTGTAATACCGCCCCTATTAAAACTACATAAGACTCAAAGAAGTTTGACAGCACACTAAACACTGATACGAGAATACTTCAACATCATCATAATTTCAGTCACAGCACGTCAAATGCTGAATATAGGCCTCCTCCAATGATTTCTATATTGACCGGTTGGTTGCGGCCTGCATCCAGCGCCTTTTTGCTACTTTTATGGGGTCACCTTGTGGGATACTTACTTATTATTGTACAATACAACGCCTCCAAGGACTCCTTTACTTTTGCGGCAGTGTTCCAGTATCTGCATGGCTTCCATGTAGATCGATGTGGCACTCTGAAACAAAAAATGCATACGCTCTCGTCATATTTTGGAAATATGAATTTGTCCTTGTCGCTTTTGGCAGCATCCTGCCGTGAGTGATGGATAATTATAATTATGATTTATCGACTTCGGGGCAAGTAAATAAATCAAGTAGTGACGACAAATTCGCACGTCATAGAATGTAGTTATTACGGCATGTGTCTCATATTATCTTTTACTGCTTGCTGACACACTATAATTATTACATTTCAAAATTAATTATGTTACTTTATCACTTCATAGTGAATGAAGATATCGTGAAAAGTGGTTAAAGCATTTCTTATCGACTTTGAAGTTTTTATAGAGCCTCTGGGTAAAGGGAGAAGTGCGGTCACGATATTATGAAATCGTCATCATACTTATTTGCCTATGACAGTACACTGCTGGACGTAAATCTACCTCAACGCCACAAAGCTCTGGATTATTTGAATTAGTTGTAAGTGTCTTTACCCAAAAATTATGGGCCAGCCTATCTGTTTGTGTGGCGATAGCGATAGACATTATCGTTCTACCCTGATCAAGGACTAGTGCTGGCGCCATTTCTATTTAAAGTCGAACTTTAGGTAGTCCAAATAAGCAATCGGAAATAACCAACAAAATCTTCACTTCCACTTCTTGAATGATAGCAAAAGCAAATAACCATATCGTTTCACTTCGAAATTGCATCTTAAAGTTTATACCAAAAGGTTTACATTTCTGTGTTGGTATTCTGTTTAGCGAATCAAAATGCAGTCGCAAAGTGGACATTGTATGAAAATGATAAAATGTACAATGTAAATAAACACTTCTCGTTATCAGTTTATTATCACTGTTAACACGCGGTTAGCAATCAAATAAATTATGTAAATGACAGGTTTAGGACAAGGGCCATTTTAGTTGCGTCCAGTGCTATATAAAAACGTGTAAATACAGGGTGTAGTCTTAAGTAGTCCGAAAGTAGGTTTTCTATGAGAACGCGGAAAGACATGTGCATATAGTTCCTATACTTCATGAATCCTTAAAACCGCGTAGTGTAGCGATATTGATAAGGAAAATATATTTTTGAAATTTTATGCCTACAAGTTGAGGTGAAAAAAAAGTTGTAAACAGCAATTTTAATCAGTTTTTTTCCTTCGCGTTATCAGCATTGCGATAGCCTTTAATTTTGATTACTTGACTTCAAGTCTAGCCGCTAACTGCAATTATTGGAGTTCGATAAAAAAAGTGGGACATCAGTATTTAGGCTACTCCCTTCAAGGTTATCTGAAGTTTCGGAACCATCCATCTCTCTCATCAAAAAGGTTATGGGACGAGATATCACACGGTATAATAATAGGTTATGAAAGGTAAGGTCCTGTAATAGAAGGTCCACGTATGATATTTCTGACAACACGTGTCGCGGGACTTTAGTAGTCATAAAACTCATGGATTTTTGAGTTGAGCGTCTATTTTAGTTCAATAGAGTCCTAGTATCACTGCAACCGTTTTCGATCTATTATTTTCTTAATAAATCGATATCATAGGGTCTTTAGGATCTCCGCTATATTACCAATATTAGGTTTCACTAATGCCCGTTTACACCATCAATCTCTAATTTTTATGTGACCCCTATGTTACACAAAATTCCTGTTATATGTTACCTACCTACCTATATAGGGGTCACTTAAAAATTAGGGATTCATGGTGAAAATGGGCATAAGTCCTGCAAATCAAGCCTTACCTTAGGAAGACTGAGCATTGGCACTCTCTGGAAGATATGACATCCATACTGCAGTACTGGCAAGTACGTCTCGAAGACCTGATACAGCTTCTCGGCCAGGCGTTTCTGGTCTTCCATCTGGGAGGCAAGGGCTAGAAGGTCTCCATGGTAGACCTTGATCATGGATGTGAGGAGGTTCGCCCGGTTTTTTAGTACCCAGTCGGGGATGTTGCGGTCGCTGCCTATGGCCTGGTAGAGAACAAAAAAAGACATTAACTCCATTTTAACTCTCACTGAGGCTGCATTTGACTTCCATTTCACCTGTTGGTAAATTTTGATATTAGTGATGAATGCATAATAAATAAATATACCCAGTATAGTCTTGATTTATCCATAAGATAAACCCAAAACAAAAAAATACACAAGCTTATTATCGCCTTTGACGGTATTCGAACCCTGCCGCAAGTCGCAACTAGCGTTGTAGTTCTATAGACGGACTACCGAATGCTTTAATATGAAAGTAGATTTCGGGTTTGTGGGGGAGATACAGCGGCCGGTATCAGAAGTCTATGGCGTTTCATGAAAGTTAACACAATCAAAACGAAAAAGCAATCTTACCAATATGTACCGCCCGTATTCCCTGATGATGAACTTGCCGCTCTGCAGCGTGATGGCCACAGGTTGGGAGAACAGAGACTTGACGCAGTGTGCTGTACCCACCACCTACGGGATAAACGGTATGTTGAACCTAGGGCAGGGATGGCAAATGTTTGACGTAGTCTTAGATGTGCCATCAAATAACACCTAATGCTACAATGAGGGTATAGTACAAGTGGCGCCACTGGCGAGTGACAGGACCTTACTCTACAGTGGCACTAACTGATGAGGGCAAATACGATAGCCCTTATTCAAAACACATTATATTCCTACTTTATTTTGTAGTGAATTTTGTGATTGATGGCGTGCCCTAAATATTGTGACGCGTGCCATTGGTTCGCCATCCCTGACCTAGGGTAACCTTTCATGGTCAAATGGTAGTTGGTATGTATGTATGTGTTCCAGTCTAGCAGGATTCGTATTCTGCACTGCTAGCAATATCAGTAACTCCATTTTTTGGCAAAACTATTTTAGATGAGCTGACAGGAGTTTTTTTAACAGCAAAATATTGGACTTACTGCTAATATCGCTAGCACGGCAGTATTCTAATCCGTATTTTGTGAAGCGCTATACAGGGTGGTAAAAAAAATATGTTTATGGTATTTCATAAAAATAAATAAGTACTGATATCAACTACTTACATGATAAGTTATTAATGTAAGAAAAAAACTAGTTTAGCTTGATGCATACAAAATATCTTGTGCCATTAGAAGTAATTGTGTTACAAAATATTTAACAACTCAATAGAAACTCACAAGACAACTTGATGACATCCAGTTTTAAATGGAACTACTCAAACATAAAACAGGTTTCAAATTGTGCAAGTTTAGAGAAGCGTCCAAATATTTCACAGTTGACAAACAGGTTTTTGGTTTTCTATGTTTTGCATAAGAGAATTTGTTAACTAAAATACACATTTGTTGAAATATTCATATCACATCTTATAATGTGATTCTTTAAAGTTGGAGTAAGTGCAAGGTGGTCAGTATGATAGGAAAATAGTTATATGGAATGACTTGCATAAAAGGTTTAGTTTTTAACATTCATATTTCTATTAGTTTGAAAATTATATCTTAATAGCCAAATCTTAATGGTCTTTATGAAAGTCGTTAGTTTTATTAAAATTTTCCATTGTGGCTAGTTAAGTACTTAATCTACATTGGGGAATTTAGCAAGTGTACCTATCTGCTAAAAATGTTTACATCTTTTGTTATTAACATAGTGTCACTTAAAAGGTTGGACTGTTGATAATAGTAAATTAAGTCTGGGTTGCTGCACCATCTTACTTTACTATAATAAACAAAGTAAGAAGGTGCAACCCAGGCGAAAGAGTTATCTGTTCAAAAGGCATTTTTAGATGACTCACCTGTCCTGCCAAAGCGTGCCTCTGTGTGTCCGAGACCCATCCCGGGTGGAAATACAGCACTGCATCCACAGGATCGTCCTCCTCAGCTGTACAACACTGTGTGTCGTACACAAACACTATCATCATTTCTCTGTAACAAGTTTTTTATTTTAGTTCCTGCACAAATAAATAAATAAAAACGGTTAACTGCACTTCATGCTATAAATTTCTTCTGAAAAATAACCATCATTACAAACTTATAGAGATTATATTATTATCCAATCTGGGATTAAATTTTTATGTTCAGACCAAATAACAAGTCGTCAAATATTTAGCATCAAGAATAGAGGTACATACACATTAGCATTGTTTCAGAATAAAGACCTAGAAATTTCATTTAAATTCACAAATCAATAAAACAGGCAGGTATTTCTAAAAAAAACTGTAAGCTTGAAATCAACCAATATAAAAAGGTAATTTTATGGATATGGCATGACAAAGTTTTTTCTTGGTTTCTTCAATGTTTCTATGAAAATTATACCACACAATTTTACTTCCAGATTCCAGTAACAATGTGTAAATACGTTATTTATTTACTTTCAGTCTGTTCATTGCAAGTCTATGTAATCTGCAATTCTCTCAGAGTAATGTACAGTTAGAGTAGAACGAGAATGATTGACCGCAAAACGTGTCTTCGAATCCGTATATAATTTCTATAGCATGGTTAATCCAGTTACAATCTAATAGAAAAATAGAACAGAATCTATCTCATCAACTTACTTGGCCATTTTGATATATTTCGTGTTTCCTAGACAAGTTTCTCAAATTCATACCATTTCACTCTTATAAATTAAAGTTTATAAATGCACGAAACACAAATTCACCAGCTACTTTTATTTTATTTTCATGTTTTCTTTACTGAAAATGAAATTACGCGACCTCCCGTCGCTAGCGAATTTTTGACACTTCATTCGGTGTTGCCAAAAGGTAGAGTGGAAATGTAACACAATGCAATGTTTTTCTATCGGGTGTTTACGAAAACTGATCGGATTTTAACGAAAACTGTAAAATTGTTTAGAGTTTTAATAAAGAGGAAGTTAATTGAATAAAATTGTATAAATCACTGGAACAATATTGGCAACTTCTTATTCCAAGCAGACTTTGATAAAATAAAATAGAATGTGTGTTTTTTGTAGAAAAATGAAATATCATCTCTAAGATCTTCAAAATTTTTATTGAATGGAATAAAATATATCAGGGTACAAATACGTCGAAATTGTACTACTACTTATTACATTTTTTCAACATAGCACACCAAGTTCGTTTTAGTCCCATTACACGCAACAGATGGCGCTGTATGCTGCAAAAGAAAATGTTTTAGCCAGATTTTCATAGACGGGTCAATTTCACCGGTTCTTGATAAAGTTTTAGCTGACCTAACGATATCTCAAATCGACTATTAAATAAGTTTACAATAGACGGCTAAACTGGTTTACCAATTTTGCAAGAAATAATTTAAGTATTTTGGCGCGTAACAATTGAAAAAGTTAACATCGTAAATAAATACTAAATGATCTCTCTCTTCGATCTTCGTTATGTCTTTCTTGCTTCATAACCATTTTGCATTTGCAAAACAAAATCTGTATTTTGTTATTATTGATTGGATGATTGGTATTGACGTGATAAGCAGATGACCTTTGTCGTCAGCTTACGCTCCCCGGATTCAATCACGACACTCACGCGCAGGATCCTGTTGTGTGGTAATGGATATAGGCTACCTATACTGATATAAGTAGTTTATGTACCTAATTTAAAGGTCCGGTTAGATCAGTATTTACGGGTAGGTATCTACTTAGGTAGGCCATAATATCATTTTTTGAGCTAAAGGTCACTCTCTAGTCTTTAATCGGAATTGCGACCTGTCTGTTTGAAGTGAAAAAAATTGGATGTGCAACAAAGTATCATACGCATACGAGACAGAATGTGTTTATTTTGTATTTTTTTTACCAAAAAGATCACTTAGAAGTAGCCAAACTGAAATGAAATCCAAAGTATATCTTTTTTAAGTTTTTTAATTAAGTTAATGCTTTAAACTAGCCTAGGCCTATTATGTAAATATGCAAACGAAACCTTTAGAAATCTTGGAATCAAACGTGCTTATTTATTAACAACGCACTAAAATGACGAATTTATATTCTTCGCCATCATATGCGGAGAAACAATACCTAGCTACTTTCTTCAAAGCGGCGACTACATCCGGTTCCGTTCACGTAATTATATGTTAACATGGCTTTTTATTATTTCACACAATCGGCGGACGGATGGACCCCTGCGAGAATTTTAATTGACTTTTATTGATTGGGTTAGTGTCATTGAACTTTTGTAATTGAACTTGCTTCATACAAGATAAAAAAAATGAAAATAGCACCTACAACAAACTTAGAAGAAGAACCTTGAAGTTTGACTTTCCATTTTTACGCAGGTTTGAAATATCTACCATTTCAGGTTTTATTCGAAGTAAGTACACCCATTTTTAAGCGCACCTAATATGAAACCCATCTCGAAGCAGCTCGTAGGCGAAGCGAAAATTAGCATAAAAGGCAAAAAAAAACATGCTGACCACTTTTTTGTTTAATTTGATCATCAACTAAACAGTTATCACTTTTAACAAAACTTCATAGTTCATTAAGTACCATTGGGAAGTAAGTAGATAGATTAATGATAGGCATAAACATGGGAAATCGTCGATTAAAATAATATTAGGCTGCACCCGCGTAGATTTCCGCTTGTCAACTCGCAGGAAGGAACTCTTTCCCCTAGAATAAATTGTCTCGTACTTCGTAGGTAACTAACTACTTTTAAAGCAAACATGACCTTCTATAAGTCTTTTGTGGCTTCATCCTATCAGCTCTACGAGAATATGCATGGATTTTGTACATCTAATCTGTGACGTCACAATAGTTCGCAAGTTAAGACGGTGCGACCCAGCCTTAGTAACTAAAAATATATAAGTACCTACTTAAAAGTTTGTTTCAAAGTTACCAAAGTAAAATTTCAGCACATTGAAAAGTCAGTTTTAGGACTAGAATTTCAGGTATTTTTCAAGAAGTGTATTTATTTGGTGTCGTAAGAGGCGACTTAGGGTCCACACATCAAACAGAGAACGGGCAGCAGCGCTCTCTGAAAAACATCAATCTTTTAAACTGCGATCTCCAACCCGCCCGCCAAGCGTGGGGATTATGGCAAAACCCTCCACTATAGTGGAGGAGGCTCATAGTCCAGCAGTGGACTGTAAAGGGCTGTTGATGATGATGATGATGTATTTATTTGGATAATACAACGACGTGTTAAGAAAGTAAGTATTTACTGAGCCAGATTACGCCAAATCTAATCAGTCAATCAGTTTGTCACACCTTACCTATTAAAGTGACGATCGCTTGCCAAACGACACGAAACCTGTCGGATCAATTTGGCACCTTCCTTCGGTCATTTTAAGCCTTTCCTCATACTCAGGTAAACATAACCATTACCTCACGGTTATCCTTTCCCTGGGTGCATTGACTCGCACAGAATTCCATATTTATTCAAAGCACGTATCGTGAATCAGAGGCATATCTCTTTGTCCTGTAGATCGGCGCACGCGCATGTAGGATAGAGATGTCTCTTTTTAATCCTGAAAAATGTGTGAAAATATCCGAATCTTCAAATAGTAACTAGTATAATTATATTTTTTTACAATGGATGATGACATACACACTAGTGACTTTCGCAGGAATACTATTACCTATTTTTTATTTCCCAAAGTTATTTAGACTATTGTCAATTTAATTTAGATTTCGATATCCTCAAGTTACCATTCAGTAACTTAATCTTTTTCAACAACTTGTCGGGAATCAAATAATCGGTCTTCACTAGTTAGGTTTTTATTGGCTGTCAAGCTAAGTTGTAAATCCTAGCTACACAAGAGTTGCAGCGGTGGGAATAGTCCCGTATCGTCAAGTTACTTACCTACCTATATTTTTGGGGTTTCTCTAACACGCCAAGGTTTCAGGCTTTTCCGTTTCTCAAGAAGAGCCGTAAAGCATTTCCCCTGTGATAACAGTAAGGGTCTTATTGAGGTAACTAAACTGTACTTATCAAGATCCGAATTTATATCTATCCGTATGAAATCCGGTCTCGCAACAGCTATAGCGACTCCAACAGAATGCTAACCACAATGAAAGTGAACAACGAGGTGCCGATGAATTAGAATTGTGGAGAAATTGCACAGAATTCGCATATAATGGTATCAGTGATAGTTGCTTTTGAATGTACAGTCGATGGAATAAAATATTGGTTGTTAATTTTGTCTCCTTCAAATGTCTAAAATAGCTTCGTCGTCGTAGTATAGAATTAGATGGAGGCAATAATTAATTATCCCTTTTCCGTGGTAGTAGAGCGCTCCTATTAGATTTATTAAAATTGATTTAGTTTGTCACAAGTCAGCGTTTAAATTATAGCATCTTAGATATATCTCGTTATTTTGATATACCTACGTAGTATGTATGACGTAAAGTTTCATCAAAATCCGTTCAGTAGTTTTTGCGTGTAAAAGTAACCAATATTTAAACACTTTTACAGTTATAATATTGTATTGGAATAAGGGATTTAAGAATTCAAATGTTTAAAATATCATCTAGTGAGCTCTATTACAATTACAATAAAAATATCCTTAGAATTTTTATTTATTAGAGCTCTCTGGATGATCTTTGAAGGATTGAATCTGGATCGAAGTACCTATTAGACATCTTTATGTTTATCGCCTATAAGTTTACTTAAGTTTTCTCTATCGACTGTACAGTGTGGAGAAAGAATGTCTGTTGCGTCATGGCGACTGATGTTTGGATAGTTTTTTGCCGAATAAATATCAATGGACGATTAAGTATTAAGTTTCGCGCGGCAGCTGGTGATAGTGAATAGTATAATGGTGGTATTTACAATGTTAATAAAACAGTGCGTGGGGCTCGCAGAGACGTTGGTCGTTGGTGCAGAAAACTTCTCGAGTGGCGACCACGGGCTGGAAGACGTAGCGTGGGCAGGCCTCCTACAAGGTGTACCGACGATCTGGTAAAGGTCGCGGGAAGAACCTGGATGCGGGCAGCGCAGGACCGTTCATTATGGAAAACCTTGGGGGAGGCCTATGTCCAGCAGTGGACGTGGTGGGTGAAACGACGAATAAAACTTAGAGCATTAAATATAACTCTACCTATACATATGTTTTGAATTAATTTCGTTGACATAACTTTCTTAACGGGTTTCGTTCGGGTTAACTTAGCTTTTATTGATTACTTTGTTGCAGTCTAGCTGTAGATCCTAGATAAGAATGGGATATCCCCCAATGGCAAGATAATAAAGACATAAAAAACAAAAATATATAATTTTTAGGAGGTTTTTCATGAGAAATGCTTGACTACTAAAGAGTCTGAAGTACAAAAAATATAAATTACAAATTAGTCACAAGAAATACAATGGCTTAATCAGATCATTTCGCGCAATAAACAATCTGGTTTAAAAAATAGAGAGAATAAGGATGATACTTTAAACTTTCGAAGTTAGTTTGCTTCAGTCGATACGTAAACCCTTGAAAAGGAGGCTGACAATAGTGACTGAGTTTCTTGCGCTGCTTCTTCTCAGCACTGGACCATTTACTGTCCCAAAGCAGTGGTAGGGTTAATATTGGGACGTGTAAAAGTGCTTTTTAAAAGCCTATTTGCAAAAATAAATGAGTTTTATGAGTTTTTTTATGAGTTTTATTTACGAATTGATTCGGAAAATCATATAGTTTTTTTAATGACACACAAACCTTTCTATTTTGTGCAAAAACGTCTTGTTCCTGAAGGATCGTGTCTTGTACGACAGTTGACAACAGGCGCGGCGTTGGCACATTCCAGCGTTTTTGTCGCCGCACGCGCATGATCTAGGACACGTCGAAGGCTAGAGAACGT